AGAGCTTACTCATGGGCGATGACCCTTTCAGTCCTATATGGCGACATAGAGATCACCCACTAACAGTACGAAACTGTTTCCCAGCGTCACCCTGTTACGAGCTTACTCAATGGGGTTTCCCTTCGGCTCCACAAGAGATCAGACCAAGAAGCGAGATCACCCAGACACCAGAACCTACTTTGATGGGGCATAACCCTTCGGCCCTATAATGTGACATTAGAGATCACCTGTGAAGACAGTCCGATAGAGATGAAGATTTGTGTGATAGGGGATACCTTCCACACCCTGGAATTGGCCAAGCCATATAATGTTGATAATTGCTATATCATAACATAGCATTGTCAATTTAATATTATTTACTTAATACCAAGAATACTCAAGGTTCAAGTTACATCTGTTGATTAGGCCAGAGCCTAAGAACGAGTAGTCCAACCCATAGGTCGAGAGCTACTAAAAGTAATGAGTGCTATTGAATGAATTATAAGTCCAGTCAATTATATATAATATTATTGTTGATTAACCACATTGTGAATTAACCAATTATTTATTCAGAGAGATATATCTAAAGGAACTATAAGTCCTTTAAAAGACACTGATTAATCACAAGTTAACAACGTCTCGTGAAATAACCAATTGGGTTTTCTATAAGTTTGAGGACACTAAGTCCAACAAGCTATTATTGTGTTGAGAGTAATAGAGATCTTTTGTAATATTTGTAGAGGTTTGATTAATCACATAGTGAAATAATCAGATTAAATAATTATGTAGCTTTATAGAGAGGACTATAAGTCCTAATTGGTTGTTGTCTTCAGTACTGATAAATTACACATTAAAGTGCTAGGTCAAATATTATATATAAGTATATAGGAAGGACAATAAGTCCTATTTGTGTATGTTGTAGTAGTAGATGTATATTGAATAATTATAATGTGAAATATATATATTAAATATATATTTGTATAGAAAGAACAGTAAGTCCCATACAATTATTGTAGCTGTACTACAGTTATACTATATCTACTTCCTTTTAGTGTCTTAGTAAACCTATTTACTAAGAGGATTTCTCAGATAAACAAGTGTTTTAGTGTTTAAATCATCATGATTAAATCCCTAAGAAATTAGGTCTTTAAATAATTATCATATCATTTAAGTGAAATTTCTCATATAAATAATCCCAATATTTCCCCTACAGTTATTATAAAATAACAGAAAATTATATAAATTTTCTATAGACTTAGATATAGAATCATAACGTGTATAATCTCCTTTTGTTTGACATCTGTCACATTAATGACGTATTGAATGACGTATTGATGTATTGAATTGAATTTTGATTATCTATCACAACTGTCAACGTAACAAATACTAGCAAGTTTGTTTATTTGTATTTGTTTAATATAATTAAATATAAAATCATCATATATCAACCGTAATATATAACTAAATTATCAGTGATATAAATAATCAAGGTTTACACCAGTAATAATTAATAGTATCCAGTAATGCTGCACTTTTAAATTCATATTAGTAGCCAAGCTTACTTTCAAATTCAAGAATGAACAGAAGATTAGAAGTTTAACATTCTTATTGCAATTGTACTTGCAATAATATATACATACAGTACTAATTATCAAGAACATTCCTCAAATACATGTGTGGTGAAGATTTTCCCAATATGCTATCTATTTGATTCCTAACCTCTAATGTAAATTTATTAAAGAAGTGAATAATCAGTGTTAGTGTTTGCTTTATTAATATTTAAAGTAATTGTCCTAACTTGATATTAATAGGTTCATATCTCCTTGGATACAGCCCAACATATACAACTAACTCGATAATGAAATTTATAAAATACTAATATTATTTTTTACTACTTGCATATCTCCATTCTATTCCCATAAATATTCAAAATATGTATATTAAATATAAATCCAATAAAGATTCACTAATTTTAACCCTGTCTGAACCTGTCCAGTCAATATAGCATGAACAAACAACACACATACAAACCTTATCGCCATGACAACTTCCTTTCTAAATATGAGTAAAATACATAGCCTCACAAGTGTCATACAGTACCAATTTTATACTGAACCTCATACCTAGTTAAGAGTAAATATAGTCAGAGAATCTTTTAGTACTTTTATTACCATTAGGAATTAAATCCACACCAATAATATCAGCATAATTAAATATTATTAGAAACCAGTAATACATACAGAATTGTTATTATCAGCTTGCTTACTACAATAAAATCAATATTAAAGTTTATAATAAATCAAGACAAAATATCTATTTAAATAATACAGGCTTGTTTACCATAAACACCCCACAGTCACATGAATTTATCTAATAACACAATTAATAATGTATTAAAAGTATTACATTCACATAATATTACATGCAACAGTTAAGCTGTTTCTTTGTACATCTGGTGTAAAACAAATCCCCACATGTAATCATGGATAATCAAATATAGACTAAGAATCATTAATCTGGTCGACCGAGTAATGGTATAAAAACACTTCACCATGAAGCGTTAAGTATGAACAGATATTCCAAACCAACACTGTAATAGTGTAATAAATACAAATATTTCATCATCATCATCGTCTCAACCATCACCAACCCACGACTGAACACAGGCAATTTCCACCGACTGACACAAGGAACGGCCCCACAATACACATAAAACAGTCACTCCAAACAATGGAGGTAGCCCACACCGCACTTGCATTCACAGGGTCGCCACTCAATAACCCCTCTCTCTCATCAATGGCTGTTTCCCCAGCAATGAGACCAGACCATAGTCACTTTAGTCTATTATCCTCAATAAATAAATAAATACTTTATAATAACTAGATATGAAACTGTTAGTATTGTAATAGTTCAATAGTTGATTCAATAAGTATTTTCCAAAACTGGACAATTAGAACATTGAATCAAATTGATGAAGTTCTATCAAACGACCATATAATTGGATTTTGTATATGAGTAGAATAACGTAAGTACGTAAATTATATTGATGTAAACTTTGTTCAAATGTGATTGCATTTAACGATATACGCATTACCTAAAGGTATATGGACTCGACTAAATACGTATTTTAATAGTTGTTGGGAAAAATATTAAGTATAGACTTTGCCTGTGATCACAGTCAAAAATCTAACTACGTAGTAATAAATGGAACAAGCTCACCGGATTCTCCAGTCTTCTATTGATTAATTTCACACACTTAATCCATAGTAATACACTAAGATCTCAAACCCCTTCATCGAACCAGTCCCTCCTAGATCTATATCCTAGTTATTTTTTTATTTTATTGCGCAGTTCCTTAAAACACGACTCCTGCGCCATTTTTTTTTCTCTTTTTTCTTTTTTTTTTTTTTTATTGCGCAATTCCTAAAAAGCAACTCCCGCGCGCCCGCCGATCTGCCGGCTCTCCTTTTTTTTTTTTCTCTCTATTCTTTCTCTAATAACGTCATAGATTATGTCACCGAAGGGTAGATATTTCAATAATCAGATTTAGCCTATTATTCGAACTGAACTTTTCTTTAAATTCAATTTAATTATATGTTAACGTATTTTGGTATTTTATATTAAATTGATTATCGAATTTATAAAACTTTAAAGGCTCTCATAAACCTTATTAAACTGTGTTGTATGCATCCTTTTTTACATCTGATGATAAAAGGTAAACTATAATTTAGTTATATATAAAATATAATATATTTTTGTTTAATTTATTAAATTTTCTTGTGACATCCACTACACTTTGGAAACACATCAAAGGAGTTTCCTTTCTGTGTCAATATTTCATACATGGTAACGTCTTCTCTGTACGCTATTGTGAACCTTGACTTTAAAGTTTGTTTATATTAAATAGCTCAGTTTTCGTAGCGGTCACCCATAGGAACCCCTGTTTCTTTTATGTACTTATGGTATTAAACCTATTGTACTATAGGCGAACCGTCACAAGCAACGTACTTTATCATTCATTTTATTACAAAAATAATAGACACAAGTAATGATACACAAGTATCACTGATTTACTTGTAAAGAATAACTGCTCGGGGCAAAAATTAGAGGGCTTCGCTGAATCGACGCCTCGATTGGATATTATATAAATAACGTTAGTTTACTACTAAGACTTAATCGTAAATCCAAAAATATATCAAAAATATGAATTTGAATCTGTAATTGCGTCTAATAACGCAGATATCATTCATAATTTTTAATAAACTTACAAACATAGTAATAAAGCTAATTAGAAATAAGCCTAAAGGCTTAATGTTAAGATAAGCATGCAAAACTTACAAAGGTTAGAATAGGTATAGGTAAAGGTATTTAAATGGATATAGATTACCATTTAAACTAGTTTACAATCAGTCTGATGTATTTATTTGTTGTCTCTCTAGCTAATTTTTCACAATAACGATTTACTCATAAAATACAGTAGAGTAGAAGAGTACTGCTTTATATAATTAACAACTGCTTTTAATAGTAACAATAGCATTGCAATGTTGTAAATTGAGTTTATAAGTAACGGATGAATATTTTTTCTCCAACATCCTGGCGTTGGTCCAGCGAGTTGGTGGGCCGAACTAATTTAAAGCGAAACATGTCATATAAGTGCTTATATCAATGATAAGAAGACACAAGGTCTCCTGATTTTATCAAAATCAAATAAAAATTACGAAACAAAACATAAAGAAAATATATTTTTATTCTGGTTTGTGTTTCATGTCTGATTTGATGAAATAAGAACTGAAACAATGTTGCGTTAATTACAAGACCAGTATATTCACATTGTAAAAAAAAGATAAGTTAATCAGAGCACTTCTAGAATATATGATTATTCGTAATTACTTGTAGAATTTTAAACTGTCTATCAGATATTTTATAGATTTTAATATTAAGTATCTTGTAGCTCTGCATACGTTGAAACATATTTATACCTACGTACAAAATAATAAACTGTGAAATTGTTTTTGTTTCAGGCCAGAAGAAAGTGGTGTGGCCACCAGTGCCCGAAACGAACGGCTATCATCAGCCACAACAGGTAATTATAAAACGTGTTTCATAAAAATACTTTTATAAAAATGCAAAAGCGATAGGTACTTTCGATGTATATAGAACTCGTTATAAAGGCATATAGACACGCTGCACATAGCAAGCGCTTAAGGTGGTGGAGAATCACAATAATTGCATGCACAATGCTATAAATATTTAGGACTTTACTCCTACACTGCGTTATATATAAGCTATGTATTATAAACCCCAACAGCAGAGTCCTGCGTACTACAACAACGCGCAGCATTCACCCTCCGTGCAACAACAGCCGCAATACCAGCAACCCCAATATTCACCCCAATCCCAAACACAATACCAAAACCAATCCCAGTACCAACCACAACCCCAGTACGAATCCCAAAACCAGTCTCAACCTCAATACCAATCGCCACAATCTCAGTACCAACCGGCATACTGTGAGGGCAAACGACAGGCCGCTACAGGACTGAGTAAACTAATCCCAGTCGGGCCGGGTGTTACCGCAGCCCCAGTATCCCCATCTAACTACCGCCAAGGGCCGTTGTCTCCAAGCGCCGCGCAACCCTACCGCCAGCCAACCAACCGCTGGGGCCCCGTACCAGCTCCTCTTTCTCCTCAGGTACAGGAATCTCCTTCATCGACTCGAAGTTGCAACGTCATCGTCGCTGATAGTTTTTTGTGTTCACGCTTCGCTAACTTTCTGTGTTTGTATAGCAAAATAAATATGTAAATATAAGCGGATACTAATTAATCACCGTACACCGTGAATGGATAGGTAAATTAGAACATAGAAAGCTGATAAACTTATCTGCACAAGCAGAAAAAATATCCAAGGAATGCAGCCAAAATTTTTACAGAATATACAATTTCAACTTCTACTTATCTGAATAGATGGGTGGATAGTTAAACATTGTTATGTTGAACACAGGGTTTCATAAGGGGAGCAAGTACACCACTTCATATTCTCCCACAGACAATCATGCTTGGATCTAACAGCAGCTGTTTCTTGTATAACGCTATTCATTACATAACAAAATAACATTACGCTGCATATTGACTTCTAGCTACATATTTTAGTAAGTAGATATTCATATGTAATTGTTTTGTATTTTTGTGTCTAATTATATTTCGATTATTTTAAAATACCCCGCAGACGAAGGGCTTATTATTCACGAAGAATAAAATTAATAAACCCATATACGTGATACACTGCTGATGTTAATATTTTGACTAAAAAGTATGCTAAGGGTATTTGGGATTAGTTTGCAAAAAACAGCCTCCTCTTATAAACAACCTACAAACATCTCCATTTAATTTGTGCATAATTGGTATCATGTAGTCCCTCGTCTGCACAGGCCCAATGTAATTAGATATTTAATTGCAACTGTATTGGTAGACGCAAGGATCGCAGCCGAATTATCAGCAACAGTACTCGCCACAACCACAGTCACAGTACTCGCCGCAAGCCCAGTCTCAGTACTCGCCGCAAGCCCAGTCTCAGTACTCGCCGCAAGCCCAGTCACAACAGCAATACTCGCCACAGCCCCAATACTCGCCGCAGCAGTATTCTGAGCCCGCGTATCAGCCCCCACAGAAAGTGTACGAGCCCCCGCCGGCGACGATCACTCTTCGCCAGCAGCCACCCATTCACCAGCAACCGCAACCTGTGTATACTAGTCAACCCGCCGCGGCATCTTTCAAAGGTATTCATTTAATGTATTAATATTATATTATGTATACAGAATTCATGGAATCGTCTGTCTATTTATTACATTTTTTAAGTAGGTTGATATAGAATAATTAAAAATAAACATTTATCGGATACGTTAATAAAACATAGTTAATACTATATAAATACATAAGTGAATCGTCTGATAGTAAGCAGACTACCTAAATTCGAATTATCAATTCTACATTTAGATGCAATTAAATTAAAATTAAAATGAGTATTAACTTTTGTTCTTTTATTCTCATAATTGACTTAAGCAGTTACAAAAATAACAAGTACATTAAATAGTGTAAAGCTATAAGGATTTTCTATCACATAACCAAAAAAATTTGGTTTTGAAATCTCCAAGTGCTTTTATTGAGAGTATATTCTAATAACTTCTAAAAAGATATTCTGCCTGCGAAGCAAAAATATCAGAAATGTTATGTAAAGAAACATGGGATAATACCTTCGGTACTCTTACAGCGTTTAAACTTACAATATAAACGAATATAAACTACTTTCAAAACATTAAATATCTTAGTACATATACAAAGTACGCGAAGATTGCAACAATATTGTTTTAAAACTGCCTTTTTATAAGCATTTCGTAATAGGACCTTACAAAAGTGACTCGTGACACATAAAAACTTTCATAACGCAGGTGGCAAGTCGTACAGTTTCTTTATGATCTGAGGAAGAAACGTGAAAGCTTCATAACAAAGAAAACGCGAAATTGATCTGTAAACTACTACTGTATGTAGCTACCTACATAAGGACTATCTAAGTCCTTTCTCCGTTTTCCCACAAAATAAAACTAAAGAATATCAGTATAACTTAAATAATATTCATATCATAAATATAAATGTAAAAATCAATATACTCTATTTTTTAACATTTACCACGTTTCTGATATAAATATATAAAATTTAAGATTTACCGTAATTCGGGCTTTTACAGTAACATAATATATAAACGTTTAGTGCGTGGTGTCCGCACTTGTGGTAAGTAGGTTGTTTGGTTTGGTGAAAGCCCAAAAATTACCTTCTTTTTATAAAAAGCTTTTATTTACATATCAACTCATATTGGTAAATCCTAAGATTAAGTAGTTAAACCTAAGATTAACTAATGTATGGGCTTTTACAGTAATATATATGTAGACTACACGATAAAAATTAAAATTAAAAATTGCGAATATTATTTTACTTTTTATAAAGACGATAGAATTTTATAGAACACTGTTAAAGAACTAAAATGTTATAACTTAGGAGGAGTAAACATGCGGGGAGATCAGAAATGGCCACCGCAATCGGTGAGGGAAGCCGTTGCGGCTGAGAACGAGGCTAGAAGGCTACTTGCCAAAGGCCCTGCCTGCAGACCGCGCAAGGTAAATTTGGAACATTTCCACGAATTTGAATTAATCATAAGATATTTCTAACAGTAAAGATACCCGTAAATATTTTTTTCATTTCAATATATAATATTTTTTTTAATATTAATTCCGAATTAGTGTTGCCACTAAAGTTGAAGCTAAAAATTTAATAATTATAATCAATGTTTGTACTGAAATGCTACAATAGAATTGAATATTTCAGAAAACTAATAAATAATCTACATTACATTTTGTCATGGTAAAATAAATAAATAAAGTAAAAAAAAGCCGTGTAAATAAATATATCATGTATTCTATTTCAACTTTAGTGACGACGTCTGAATTGTATTTCAAATCTTAAGATTTCATTATTATATGCATGCTGTATATAAAAATAATTTTGTTTTACACATTCGCCTATATTGCCCTTGTATATAATATCACAACAGTCCCTCTTGTAAAATATTCCTCAACTAATTATATTTTTTTTTTACGCAGAAGCTTCTAATAATTGTAAACACTATAAATTCACTTTACAAATTAAAAACTATTATTTTTGAAGCGAGTCTAAGTATACTGTAACAAATAAAGTAACTGAAATTATATTTATAGATAAATAAAAAATAAATCTGTCTTTCACATTGTAAGACTACATAAACATTGTAATTGAAAAACAGAGTTATGATGCCAATATAGTACTTATTTCACTGGTTTAAAACAATATCTACTTACATACCATACCTACCGTGACATAAGACTCAAAACATATAAGGTCATAAAAACAAAGAACAAAGAAAACCATTACTAAAATTTATAGAGTAAGCGATATATTTGACGGGAACCATTATCTGTTTTAGCTGCGTCAATACTCGCTTGCTGAATTAATTGCCATGAACGAGGTCTAACGTCGTTCGACCTCAGTACCTACCGTACATAGCTGGACTTTAATACCTCAGTTGTAAGTGTCGCCGGATAGTGTGACTATGTTTTGGTCAAGCCTCTTCTATTAACAGACTTCGGCACGTGTTGGAGGAACTCCGCTATAGTTTAGTTATGTCCACCTAACTCGCGTCTAGTTTAGGCTTCGCAATACTATTCTTGTGTGGTAAGCAACTGTTACTCATATACCAGTGATGATCTCATCGTGCTGGCAGGAAAATCGGTCTCTGCACTTCGCTCGACGTAATTATGTAGTAATTTTAATAGTTCTTATATTAGACAATTGAATAAAGCATAATTTAAAAGACCATTATTATTTCCTAGCTGTATAAAAGTCAGCTAGCTTCCAACCCAAACACTGGGAGGTATTTGATGTTTATCATTCGAAGTGTGGGTGGAGACGAAAATAAGAGATGCGAAGTATCTCGAAATCCGAAATGCAGAGACATTTAGTATGATGCTGCCCTAGTTTACTTTGCGTTTATCTCTCGTTCAGATATAACAGAGAAAATAAACGGACGTAACTAGATGTACCGACGCATCATTTTTTTATGAAATTAAGCTCTCGATTCCCTAATCTTTACTCTAGAAAATACTAAATAAATATTTACACCTTATCTTCTTTAAGCCCTATACCTAAAGAAGATAAGAATCTCCGAAATCCAGTGATTTAATTCGTAAATTTGAACGTTTTCCACTAATAATATCAAAGAATGATATTCGAGATTTACAGTAAAGCATTCAGAACTATTTTTAATCATCTGTGAAAGAAATATGAATATGACTAGACGATAACGGGAAAATAATGTTCCAAAATTGACCAAAATGTGATAAAGACAAACATATTGCTATAGTAAAGATAAACGAGTACACGGTACAGAAGCATTTGGGCTGTTTTAGTGCAGATGACTTTTGGGCGCGAATTAAAATCTTACTATTCTAATTGAACGAGTTAAATATGAGGGTTTTTCATATGTCGTTTTATAGAAAAAGTTGTCCAATATCATGATTTCATTGGGTTTCGGAATGTGTCACTTTTTCCACTACAGACAGATTAGTGAATTGTCAGCTTAGTTGCCTACCGACGTACATCAAATCATTTCATCGACTAAATCGCATATACCTACTCAATGACATCCATATCTTTCTATCTACAAAGCTTTGCGATGTAGACAAGTCTGCATGAATGTAAAACAAAATACGTTTTGTAACGTCCAGAATCCAAATTTACAAACAAATGAGAACATATATGTTGCACCCTACTTATAGAATTCACTGTAAAACAAAATGGCTAGTCGTATTAAAAACAGAACCATTTTTATTATGACGAAGATAAATCAACATTTGTAACTTGACACTGCACTATCCAGTGCAGTTCTTAACTAAATTCTAAACTTTTAAGCCACTGTCAGTCTATGACACTACTTCCACAAGATTTGTTAGTCATATTACTATAAGGCTTAACATCAGCCGCCATATTATATAACATTTATTTTCGTATGAAGATTCTTATTCATAAAAACTAACAAAAAAAAAGACAAAAGTATATGAGACAGTTCATGTTTTTATGAATAAGGTAACCCTCTTATTCATAAACCTTCATATAGACGTTAAAAATTGTAGATACATATAGCAAAAATCACAAAGACAATCCATCTAAACGTTCGATCCGTCGTAATACGAAACGGTTTTTTATTTAATACGACAGCTGATGCATTGCAGAGAATTCTACTATTTGTCTACGACATACACTGACACGACGAATTTTATGTTTCAGGTAAACAAGGATTACACATCCTTCTTCGCTCAACATGCCCTCAACCACAACTACCCTGGCTACCGGGCGCCACCTGGCACGCAACATTACGAAGACCTTTCCGGCCGATCTTCTTACTAACATAAAAACAAATCATTAGACTTACATCACCCGTAGCGAATATAACTAATAATTATTCTTCAATTCTTATCATAATTATTGTTCTGTTGTTTGTACTTAAATGGCTAAAAGTGTCATGAAATGAGGGCAAATCCATTTAGTGACGTCAACAGTAACGGTATTAAAACTTCTTACATCGTATTCATTACAAAATATACCATTACATTAGTAAAACCTTTAAATTGATCTTCAATACCGAATTCTAGGGTAGTTCCTCAAATTAAAGTACTTGTATAGACTTTAGGTATTAAAGTCTTGTTGGCATGTACGAAATTGGATCGGTACTTATTATTAAGTATAATTTATTGTTAACCACTATTTAGCATGTAAGAATTAAATATTTTAAAATAAAAAAATAAAAAAAATCATTAGTGAAAATTAATTATCATATTAATGATATTTCACTTTTGCTATATTTCTCTTACTTATATTTTCTTTTATATTAAACTTTAAATACGATGTAAATGTGCGGCTTTATACATTGCGAACGTATGCGATATAATATTTAATCAGCTTTTCTAATCACAAATGTAAATAACCGTACTTCTATAAAGATGCAGTGATGTTTATACATATAAATTATATAAGAGCTTGACAAAATTAATATTAATACATATATATTAATAAATTATTGCTACCAATTCGGCCATGCTTAAAATTAACTAGTCATGAAGAGATTACACAAATATTTTGTATATAAAATGTTGAAAAGGCTTTTGTTTCGATATTATGTAATTATTATTTTAATGAAATAAATTGTATAAATGCCACCATTAGTTTTATTTTAATTATTCAATGAAAGTTAATAAAGTAAGATTACAAAAATATAAATTATAATTAGACGAAAATATATTATAATCTGTATCTGAAGCTCTCCAAAATTATAAACATTAGATTACAAATTAAAAATGCATTTAAAATTATAAATCTGCATTTCTGTTATACACAACATGTAAAGCTTTCAGATCCTTAAATAAGTAATTCACAATAAAACACAACATTTAATACAAAAATATATTGTTATATTATATAATACATACACGTGCATACCACCCCGAAACAGCCGGGCTGAGGTGCACCCAAAATAATTTAGAAAACGACAACAGTGAACTAGCAAAGCTACAATCGGTTTTATTTATACACGCAACAAAGTATTTTGAGACTATTTGCTAATTATGTAAACAACAAGCTTACCATTCCACTATCACATTTCCGAAATATTATTCTGACATGTAGAATTTAACATATTTTTAACATAAAAACAATTATTGTTTAAAATAACAAACGCTATACTAGAGCCTGTATAGACATAGTCGCAGAGCACAAATTTTGCCCTTTCAGACAATTGCCAGGGGATTATTGTGTTATGAGATGCAATTTTGTTCTATTTTGGGAGACAAACATGTACGAGAATTGTAATTATTGGTCTGCGCAGTGTCTTAGAATTCGATTCATCAAAGTGCCAATATGACACGATTTAATGTGATTACATATAAATTATTCAGAACAATTAATAATTATATGTATATCAAAAATATATATAAATATATGAAACGTGTATCAATAATAAATTATAAATGTACCGTTCTATATAAAACATCAGAACCAATATAAACAAATTAGTTAAACTCTTGAAAATTGGAAAACAAATTTTCAAGAATTTTCGTAAGAAATCGTACAGTACAATATCAAGACTACGAGGTCAGTGCACTATCGATGCAAACATTTTAAGGTAGCGGGCGGCTACGCCTGTTACCCAATTTTAAACATATGTATAATCGCTATTTTTTTTACAAGTCTAATAAAGAATATATATATAATTTATCATAAGTCTACATTCCTAGTGTAAAATGCCAAAAGTAGCTCAATTTTAAAATCAGAAATATTAAAATCACTTAGAGTCTCCATTTATATATACTCTTAAAACCTTTACACAAGTCATTATTCCTTTCAATACACTTAACCCAGAAATAAAAATATACTAGTCTGTAAGTTTCTAAATCCCACAGACTTGATTTATATGATTATATTCCATCTGAAAGAAATCTCACGAACAAAATTATTTTTAATTTAAATTATGTTTGAAAAATTAAGCAAGACAAAAATCAATTAACAGCATCGCCACAATATATGACGTATTGATTGTTTATTTATAATTGATAATGAATTATTAAATCGTGTCATAGAAAAGAGACAATAAATAGGCTAACAAAAATTAGCTTCGACTATAAACAGCAAGATTTTTGAGGCGTAATTTTAATATCACAAAGTAACCATATTATGTACAAAATTGGCTTCGTAACCCATAGACGAACATTCTACAAAATTTATAAAACAAATTATTGTCAGTATTAAAGGAGTCAATCGGCAGTGCCGACGGTACAAATAATAATGGCTGAAATTGTTTAACCTGGAAAGGAATCATAATCATCATATCAGCCATTATCTGTCAGGATAAGGAGATTGAGAAAATTACATGGAAATTCTGTTTATCCATTTAACTGCTTTATTTTGTATCTGTTACTCTAGGCTTAATGAGCTTATGAACCAAATCAATAGTTTTTTAATATTTCTGGCTAATACAAGTAATTTGAAAATATTGTAAACGTTTGTTTTATATTCTGTCTGAATTGTATTTACTTATTATTTATTTATTGTATACTGCATTACACTATTACTGCAGCTGAATAAACGGGGGAAAAAACATGCGAACACAGGTTCACTATTAAATAAATCCGACTGGAGTACTCAAAAGGTTAACTTAATTTCTTTGTTTAGTCCAATGTAGCCAACAATCCGTTAGATCAATATTACCACATAAAATACAGAAAAAGATGAAACTATGAATAAGAAAATGGCAAAAATAATAGCAAAATTGTTATCACTTTCCTATATATACTTTCCTTTTTATATTAAATATCACACAAATTAATAATAAATACGTTTTTACACACACGTGTAGACTAATATAATTTTTGTTCCTCGCAACCAACAAATTGAAAATTATTTGTAGCGATTCGTCTAACATAACTAGCTAATGTGCAGGCTTCGTGTGGCCACCCACTTATGAGTTAACTAAAAAGCCCGTTCCAGAAACACCAAATGTTGAGATTATACAACGCTGTGCTTCAAGCAACGTGCATTATAAATGCAAAATGCATCACATCTAGGTAGGACGCTGAATCTAGAAGCGAAGAGTCAGGAAAAATTCCCTTTAACCATTCACACTCGTTATGTCACAGCTTCCAGTATTCAGCTATTTTTAAATTACTAATAGTATTCCGACATAAATAATATCAATGTCATTCTTATTATAATTAGACACTTGAAATGTTTTTATGTAGTTACGGAATATTTTTATTGAGAATATAATTATAGATTTAAAAAAAAAACAAATAATATATTAATATTTATAATTGAAAAAAATTCAATAATGACGTCCTCTTTAAACCAGTCTTTATACACAGGGACTAGAGCGCCCTCTTTAAAACCCCGTTCGCTTTGAATTTTTTTCATTGATAAATGTTCATATTTTCAATACCATTAATGACAAAATAAAAACACTGTAATGCGAGAATGTTATACTAAGTCTATGATTTGCGATACTTCTTAATTTATCCTTAATAGTATAGTTGGTGTGGTATATTGTCATATTACATAGTCAATGCCGAACAATTAATATCATATAAAAGAGTAAAACTCCGTTTCGCTGAGATTATAAGCAAATATTCTGATAGATTTACCTACCATTGAACTAAATAAGAAACAATTTAGCGATTATTAGATTTATTTTATATCACAATTATTTGAAATCACACATTGTGATCAAATTATCCTAAATGAGCATCAAATTTGAACAGATGAGATGTTCGTTAATGGTCAATCCGTCACAGGCATAATTTCAGTCTTTACATGGGCGGACATATGACCAAAATGCATAGATTTACAAAAAACAAAACCCATACAAAAGTGGTATATAAAAGATTCACCAAATAAAATAAAAAAAAGTTGTTGTATAATAAAGCATGAGTGGAGTAAAATATTACTTATATACATACACTTATGTAAAATATTCATAAATTTGTAAGAACTCTCGTTGTTTCTTTTAAATATAACAACAAATATTACAGGCTGATCAGAAATTAGTACAAATTTAATTATATGCATATTACAGTCGAAAAGGTGCTAATAAAAGTAGCGTCTCTTTTTTTGTAAATCTATACAGAAGTGTAACTGTATTGTTGTCTTATGGTTGACAGTCGGAATACTTTGATAATTTACTTATATAACGCGGTACGTAATTCAGACTAGTGAGAAACCCTGTGTTTGCTGTATTGCTTGCATTAAATGATATTTAAGCCTTTCTTTTGTTTTATACCTAGGCAAGTCTAGTAAGTTAAAACATGTATGGGCTACTGGAAAGTACCTATCGTCTGCTACAGGCTGGATTCGGATCTGAAAAAGCAAATTATAAGAATAAAAGCAACATGATAAAAAATGAAGGTAGATATAACATTTAGAGGCATAATTTATTATTAAAAAATCTATTTATATAAATAATTTCAAAACAATCAAACTTTATCATAAAAAAAATATCTATTATTTCTAATGAATTTCAGACAATTTCCCTATATCACTTTTTTACAAAGTGGCTCACCATATATAAAATAATGTCCTATAAATATAAACAATATCATCATCACAGACTGTAGGTACTAGACAATAATTAATGGACATACTTAAATAGATTTCATTTAATTAAAAAACTTTTGTAAATCTTTTTTTATACAACCTAGAATGGCAAACAAGCTGTCGGCTCACCTGATGGAAAGTGGTAACCGTCGCCTATAGACATGAGCAGTACCATGGACATAACAGAGTATACTGTTTCGCCCATGATACCCCATGCGTTGTTTTGTTAAACGTTTTATTAATTAAGGAAGACATGAATCTTCCTTAAGATGTATAACAAACTAAAGCCATTAATGTATCAGTTTGTTTCTATACTAGTTGTGTTAAGTAGCAGTTTGGATACATGCCTAAAATGACCACTAATAACATAAGAGGTTTCTATAAATATTTTGCAACATATTGCTAAGATTATTCTAATAAATAAAAATATATTAAGCTTACTTTTATATCACGCATCCCCTGTATAGGCACTCGATCACTGCCGGTCAAAAACAGTAGGAACTTTTTCTTGTCTTCAATCGATAGCTCATGGAACACTTCCCAAAACCATCTGTGTGCATAACAGAACATAACATCAATTATGAAGATTACGGAGATTCCACCCGATTTTAATTTATTCATTAACGGAAATTAAATGTCTTATTTCAGAGTTAACAAATCATTATGAAATTTGGTATACACGTACGATATGGGATGGAGAAGGATATAGGTTACTTTTTGTCCTGGTCACGCAGACGAAGTCACGGGTAAAAGCTAGTAATAGTATATATATAAAATTTCATAACAACTGGTTAAGCTGATGAGGTGTCAAAAAGTAACTAACAAACTTATTTTCGCATTTATAATATTAGTCCACCTACTAACAACATTAATTGAAATTTATTTTAATGATACTTAAAAGGACAAACAAGCTGACGGCCCACTTAATGGAAAGTGATAACCGTCGCCCATAGACATTAACAACACCATAGACTACACTGTAATGCTCATTGTACTGCTCTGTGATGAAATTCCAAACCTAAACATACATCCAAAGTTCACTATGGAATATTAGTAACATTATTTTTTTTTTTTTCTAAAATCCATATGTTGTTATTATTATTATTAGGTTTTACAATTCACTCACCTAACTTGTTGGTCGTTAGGAAAATATCCATTCTTGTACTCGCAGTTGTTCTCGAACATATCCCAATCATATTCTTCATTGCCAATCACCACTGACATTAGTTCGTGGGATCTGAACAATTTTATAATGTTGCTACCACATACCTGTAAACATAAATTTGTTTGTGACAAAATCACATTTTTTTATAGTGAGTATAAAAGTTACAAAGTTGAGCTACCAGTGAGGGATAGGAGAAGAAGTCAGTTCACTTGGCCTATCGTGATCATTACACTATAATTTAGCCACGATGGTTTTCATATGGAAGTGGACCTAATAGAATATATATATATATATATATATATATATATATATATATATATATATATATATATATATATATATATATATATATATATATATTCTATGGACCATGGACATAACAGAGTATACTGTTTCGCCCATGATACCCCATGCGATGCCATACCTGAGGACTCAGGTGTTATTCCTTTGTATCATGTAAATTCACTGCCATATCCCACCCTAAGACAGCCATGCAAACACAACTGCTTCACGATAGAAACACGAATGGGACAGAGGTACCGAAGCAATCGACTTTTGTACAAAGTCTCCCTCTGGGATTATTAGTTATGCGGACTGCAAGTTCCATATTACAGTTAGTATATAAGCTGTCAGGTTGACCTCCCCGCTGTCCCCTCTGTAAAACAATCGTGCTTAATTCCAGGTGTATTTATCACTTATAAAAATCATAAATAAAAATTACCTTTTGGAAACCTTGATTGAAGGCTTTGAACTGATTCGAAACGGATTTGTTCAGCAAAAAGTCCACATACAACTCGACATACTCCTCTTTATTCTCATGCGTAACCGGTACGTTCTCACCGTCTTCTTTTAAAAGGTGCACTTCAATCTGGCCAAACACTTCAGTGTTCACAGCAAAACATAAGCTGAATACCTTAAAAATAAATACGCATTCTGAATCACGTAAAGCGACTTCTATAAAGTAAAATACTCTTGCATTGGTCACATAATAATTTTTTTACCTTACGTTATTACGTTAATGTCGAAATACATTAATGTGTAAATACAGATAATATGATGCAATTACAAACAATCTGTCGATAAAATTATCACTACATAGTATAAAACATACTTCCAGCTGTCTATCCCTATGTATGCTTAGATCTTTAAAACTACTCAACAGATTTTGATGCGGTTTTTTTTTTAATAGATAGAGTGATTCCAGAGGAAGGTTTATATTTATATTACATACATAATATAGTAGAGAAACACTGATAATTTTAGAGGTTTCTAATATGATGTCGTAAACATATTTTTTAGCATTTCACCCGTGCGAAGCCGGGGCGGGTCGCTACTACAAGTGTTTAATACTTTAACATTAATAACGACAACTTATTAGGTTTAATTAATGTAAATTAGATTAAATTTGATAATATGGACTAAAACATTACATCGACCCCAAAAATTTATATAATTGAAATAAGGGTAGGAAGATGATGAAACTGAAGGTTGAATTACGTTTAGTGAACAAAAGGAAAATATAATATTAATAATGATCTATATTATTAAAATATATCATCATCACACTTTCAACTTAATTATATTATATGTTTAGAAACGTAAAAAAATCCTAAATACAAACCTCTTCTACATCGTCATCGGGATAGTCCAATAAGTTCTTCAAACTGTTAGCGAGAGTTGGATACAAATCCGTCAAATCATCCAACATGACCGATTCTCCCAATAATTTCTTATATAGCACCAGTGGAAATGGTACGTAGATTATTATAGAATTGTATATAGCTAGGCCGTATATTGCACCTGGTGGAGAAATGATTATGTATTTATTTAACATTATGTTTCGACCCTTTAAGATGTTTTATTTAACGATAAAACAGTGGACTATAAAACTGTTATAATTCTCGTTGTGTGAAGTTTAAATTTGAATAACATAATATAATTTAGAGCTACGCATACAGTGCCGTCGGTAGCGCGACGCGAAGTGGAGACAGAACCAACTTAAGCCGAAACCGCACGACGGATCTCAGTGTTGCAGTTCGATGAAGTTCGAACGATCATTATAATATATTTTTTTTTTATATTTAACATTAAAAAAGTTCACTTGTAAAGTGAACTTTTTTAATGTTAAATTATTTGCTTATCCATCACCTGTTCCATTACTACAATACTTATAGTTACAGTATTGCGATAATTTACAAAGTTTGTGAAGAAGCACTTGTGAACACAGTTAGTTTATAATCACACTATAATATACCACGGTATCACATAAGAAACATTGGGGCCGATTCTGAAACACCCTTTCTCTAAACGTATTTAAAAACAAAAATTTTCATTTGAAATTATCGCAAAATCTTTACTGTAAAAACCAGAATGAACTAATTTTCTAATATATGTCAAAATTATTATAGTTTATAATAACCCATAAAACAGTAACTTCATAAAATTACCAAATTATAATAATAGGTTAAGAAATAAGTTTAGAGAAATCGCATCTTAGAATCGGCCCCAATTTATGTATTCATACTAATTGTAACAGCAAAGTTCCAGTCACGATATCTCTCGAAATGATTCATGATTGATAATATTATTGTTGTCATATACATTTAATTATTAAGTGATTATAGTCGTAAGCTTTCCTCAAAAAATATTTTTTCAGGTCGTCGGAATTTATACGAATCGTGTTCGGCATAATAGTGTGGAACTAGACTTAAATATAAAAATTGTCCTCACCAATTAATTGATACATAACATCGTCTTCAAATGGGTTGTTGGAAAACCAAATCATATTGGTCTCCTCAGATTGTTTGAACATTCCATACACTGGGTCAAATATCTCCTTTAGTAATAACTGAAAGAATTCCTTCTTCACCCCGCCTGCGTCCTCTGCCTCCTCACCCTCGAATGCTATCTGAAACAATGATATTACTCACAACTCCTGTAACTAAATAATTTTTCAAATAATATTTTACTTTTATATTATCATTAAGAATATTTTTAAGTAACATTTTCTTCCACAAAAATATCTAATTCAACTGTAACCAAATTGGTATGGAATGAACAAGAGTGAAAACATACAAATTTGAGTAAATTGAAGAAATTTATTTTATATAATCACTTTCACAAATATTATAGCATATCATTAGTGTTTTTTTTTTTTTTTATTTTTTAAACAGATTTGTTATACTACTAAAATTATGAAACAAGTACAATTATTTCTTTAGAATAAAAAAGTCTACTTTTATTCTAATTCTATTTCTTTATTTAAAATAAAAATAAAATATAAAACATACCATCATCATCATCATCTCAGCTATTATCTGCCCACTGCTGAACATACGCCTCCCCCACAGACTACCATAAGGAACAGTCATAAAGTAGTAATTAATAAATTAAAAAAAAAATCATTTATTAATACACTGTAACAAACCAGTCCATACAAAAATAATACTCACTCTAAGAGGTTTTTTAAGCTGCGAACTATCGTGGCTACCAATTTGTATCATAGTGTCCCGAACTATATGCTCCCTTGACACCGTCAGATTTAGAAATTGGTCCTGTGAATGATACTGATACAGATATGTGGGATCGAACATTAAACGGGAAAGCATCTGAGTGGCTGCCCTGTTTACTGCGAGCTGCATTTGCAAATGTTGATCCACCTTCAACAGCAATGACTTGCACTGAACGTCGAACAGAAATGGGTAATTACACATATGGGGTTGGGATGGCTGAAAAAATAAATGTTAATCTTAAAAAATTATAAATCAAATAAATATGCTTATGAGTGTAATTCTTATATATTACATAATATTATATCTATATTAATTCTTAACAAGTTTTTTCCTATTATGTACTAGTTATATTATTGTTTTTTCTTCTAAGTAATTGACACAACAGCTGGATGCGTCATCTTATTTTATTTTTTTCTTTTTCGATTCATCAGAGGGAGACTTTGTACAAAAATCTTTTACTCGAGTACCTATGTCCCATTAGCGTTTCTATCGTTAAGTAGTTGTGTTTGCATGGCTATGTTTAGGTTTGAAGGGTGAGATAGGGCAGTGAATTTACAAGGTACAGAAGAATAACACCTGAATTTTCAGGATTGGCAACGCATGGAAGGTATTATGGGCGAAACAGTATAATCTGTTTTGTCCTGCTGGTACTGCTCATGTCTATAGACGACTGTTACCACTTTCCATCAGGTGGGCTGTCAGCTTGTTTGCCATTTTAAGTTGAATAAAAAAAATCGATCCATTATTCTTTAGTAAAACTTTTCAGTTTTACTGGAAATGACACCTTTAAAAAAACGGTTTCAAATTTACCTGTATAAAAGAATGTATACTCACATTTTTATCTGTGATCCAATTAATATAATCCGATGCGATATCTACGTAGCTACAGAGGTCCTCGACATAGAAACACTCAGCCGATATTTTAGGTTTCTTTGGATTGGTGAAATTAATTTTATTTAATAATGACAATGTGTCTAGGATTTGAAGAATGCTGTGTGTAAAATATATTTTCTGAAAAGTGCACAGTCTGATAGAGACAAAAAAAATTTAAATAAATAGCGATATATCTGTTAATGAATTATATATATTTCAAATAATAAAAATATTTTATTTCAAATAGTCAATCATTATGAACAAGAACTAATAAATGTGGATATGAAAAATCATAGGCTCAGGATAGTATCTGTGGTCCTAATAGATATGACAATAATAATTAGAACGAGACACCGTTATAAACAAAACACAAAAGTGTGAGCAAGATCAGAAATATTTTTTTATTTGTTTATATTTACCATCTCATAAGCATTGTTTATATCACCCGTTCAAATTAAATAGCTGTCGCTATTATATCGCACCAACGAGGAGGTACATTTTATATTTGTTCATTTGTCCAATGACGTCATTCTATTATTTCATAACGCATACATTTATAGCATTTCTATGGCATTCTCTTTCTACACGAAAAAACTGTAACCTAATAATAATAAACTACTTGACAACTATGTTATATTTTGTCACTGTGGACATAGAATTATTTGTAATAAATTACTATCATCATAATAATGTGGACAGCAGTGAATATATTAAACTGTTGTAACTAATTAACTTTAAACTGTATTCAAAAATTTTATTTAATATCTACATTTCATAATATTTTAATATTTTTTTCAGAAGATAGATGATTCAGGCAGTCAGTTACAAGTCTAAAAAAATCATAATTTACCTTATTGGCTCTCACCGCTGGTTGCATTAACTCATAAACAATAACGCTTTTAAATATGTCCACTAGCATTTCAAAGTATTCGGTAGATTGCGCTTCCCACCATTTTTGCACTATCTTTTGTGGTAATGTTGACAATTTGTTGAACGCCTCAGCAAATGGACCCTATAAAAACATCTACTTGGTGAAATAACAATATATTTCTCAATCATAATCTCTAAGGAATAGTACTATAACTTTTTTCATCCACTTTTAAATAGTAGAAACCAAATTGAAGATGCGAGAGTAAGTTTACGTGCTTATTAGTCTTACGATATTGTCATCAATTAATCGTTAATTTTATTATTATTATTTTTTTTTTTATAAAAGAGAATAATTTCTGAGGAATCATTGTTTTCAGGACCAAGAAACTGATGTGTCTTGCAAATGACTTCAAAATCATCATTATCATCTCAGCCATTATCTATCCAATGCTGAAAGTAGTATCTCAATACACTATCATAAAAGAATGATTTCCATTTTTTACTAATATAATTGTTATTTGTTATTACGTTCTTTTTCATATTTTATAAATTTATGCAATTGTATGTAACCTGTAATTCTGTATGTCGCCGCGGGTTCCTCATTTCGTGGTATAAGGGCAATATAAGAAACATCCTCAGTACTTCTGCATCTGGCGGAGATATCTTCATTTTCTTTATTATATTCTCTGTTAGGTGGGTAAATATCTGCAAGAGTATTATCATAACATCACTTACTAATACAAGAAATATTCTATTACATATAAAGTTGCCGTATTAATTTATTAAGACAATGAAAATCTTTGTTGCAAATTGTCTTAGTAAATAAACATATAAATTTAAACATTCTTAGAATTTCTTTTTATATTCATATTTCTGTCATTTAAAAAATGAAGATTTTACAAATCAGTCAGTCAGGAAGACATATTAAAAATTAACAAATATTGTACTTTTGTATTGTATCTTTGCAGTAAATGCAAATCAATATAGGTATAAAATTCATATACTACGTTCTTGATTAAAACATTCAGAAGTCAATCTAGATAGTCACACACAGTAATATTATAATGTCCATTTACAAAACATTTAACAATACAAAAAAATATTAAAATAATAATAATTAATATGATAACATACTAAACTGTTGCTTGATGGAGCCGAGTTTCGAGAGAAACTGTTTTCTCTTCAACGAATCTGCTTTCGTTAATTATTGCGAAGGACCAGAACTTCTTCGGCAGCTTTTAAGTTAACGCCAGGAACATTTTTTAAAACATTCAGAAGTCAATCTAGATAGTCACACACAGTAATATTATAATGTCCATTTACAAAACATTTAACAATACAAAAAAATATTAAAATAATAATAATTAATATGATAACATACTAGTTGCTTGATGGAGGTGTTTTCGAATCTGCTAATTATTGCGAAGGCTTCTTCGGCAGCTTTTAAGTTAACGCCAGGAACATTTTTGTTGCATCCGAAATGGGCATTATTATCCAGCAGGAATGAACCGTTCACGCACGCCAGCGAACCGAATACAGTCTCCAAATAGGCCATGAGATCCTAGGAAATATACAAAATTAATATTTTCAATCATTTATCAAGAAATATTTTGGATCAGCATGACACCACATGAAAGTAGGGCTATTTGGACTAGAATAGCTTTTAACACATTAGAAATAACATTTGGGAGTAGCATGCATAAATATATGTTTCTTTATACTTGGATAATTTAATTAACAATCTTATTATTACTTCTTTTTTCTAAATTAGTTTTTTTTAATTTTTTAAATTAAAAATATGACCGAAAAAAATACAGTGAGTGTAAAAAGTATTCGTACACCTAGGGTTATAATAAAAAAAATACGAATTTGATAGACTTTCCTCTATTTATTTAATTTAAATCAATACTGTTAAATAGTTTAACATTCCCGCACTTTGTTTATGATAATTTTTGTTTTTTAAAAAAAAAATTATGCAACATAAAAATATTTTTACGTTAACTAAGCAAATAATGACAAACAAAAAGTATTCGTACATTCATTCTTTTTTAAATGAAATTCTGTATAAATCATTTATTCAATCGAATTTTTCATATGCCTACAATGCCAAGGTCATTTTTAATACGTAGGCATAGATATTAGACGTTTTAGTTGCACTCGTGACAAGTATAGACGTGTTTAGTTACAAAAATGGGTCGTAAAGCAAAAGAAACGAGTGAAGAGGAGAGAAAAATAATTATTAATTTGCATAATCAATGCAAATCATTATGTGAAATTGCAAAATTTGTCAATAGACCACGTTCAACCGTACAGACTGTAATTGATCGGTATTCTATTACTAAAACACTAAAAAACAAACCCAGAGGTGGGGCGTCCATCAAAACTCACGCCTCGATTGGATCGGAAAATTTTAAATTGTGTAAAAAAAAATCCAAAAATTAGTGCCCCTCGAGTGTTACAAGAAATTAATAATATCAATGATTGCCATATTTCTGTCAGTACCGTTCGGAACGTATTACGTAGTAACGATTATCATGGAAGAACTGCGCGTAAAAAGTATTGGGTAAATGATATTAATAGAAAAAAAGATTAGAATTCGCAAAAAAATATATTAATGAAAAAAATCATTTTTGGCAAACTGTTATTTACTCAGATGAATCGAAATATAATATTTTCAAATCGGATGGACATCATATGGTATGAAGAAAACCTAATATGGAATATAAGAAAGAAAATTTATGTCCAACGGTAAAACACGGTGGTGGGTCAGTATTTGTATGGGGTTGCATGAGTGCTTTTGGGGTGGGAAAACTTGCATTTATTGATGGAATTAGGAATCACAAAACGTATATTAATATTTTAAAAGAGAATCTTCTCTCTAGTGCAGCTCAAATGGGTTTTAACAATAATTGGATATTTTTACAAGATAATGACCCTAAACATAAAGCATGGAATACTAAAGCATGGATCCTGTTTAACGCTCCAAAATACCTAGAGATTCCTCCTCAATCACCTGATATTAATATTATAGAGCATGGGTGGGATTATCTCGATAATAAAATTGGAAATCGACCAATTTCAAGTAAAGAAACACTAAAAATTGCGCTTCGCGAAGAATGGGCATTGTTACCGTCTTCTTATATTTTCAAACTAGTTGATTCGATGCCGCAGAGACTCCAAGCTATCATCAATGCTAACGGTGGTCCAACAAAGTATTAATATTTTTTTAATATTCATTTACTTACAAATTTTATAAGTGTACGAATACTTTTTGTTTGTCATTATTTGCTTAGTTAACGTAAAAATATTTTTATGTTGTATAATTTTTTTTATTAAAAAACAAAAATTATCATAAACAAAGTGCGGGAATGTTAAAATATTTAATAGTATTGATTTAAATTAGATAAATAAAAGAAAGTCTATCAAATTCGTATTTTTTTTATTACAACCCTAGGTGTACGAATACTTTCTACACTCACTGTAGGTGCATTGACACATTCACTGTCATAACCCGTAACTCTCTGGATTATAAACAATAAAATACCCAATTCTTTATATTTCATTGCCCATTTTTTTAATTTATATTAATTTTGAAGAATTAATCATAAGAATACTAACTTAACGCGGCGTCCACAGTCTTATCATCACCAAATTCTATTAAATGTCAGCTTATTTTCCTTTTCTAATAGTAGAAAATAAAAATAAAAATATATATAACTCACTTGGTTTACAACATCATCATCTTTTACAGTTTCGCAAACATAAAGCTTTGGCAGATTCAGTGTGAGAATCTGTTTGTTGTGTTCTGGCACCCGGAAATCAGCGGACGCTTTGTCACAATTGGTGATTAGGAAACTATGATCACCTCCCGCGAACACTTTCATGGGTCCACTGAATATGTCTGGAGAGAACTGCAAAGAAAATAAATATTTGTCACATAAATAAAAAAAAATTTATAGCTAAAATACGAATTTGAATTTGTTTTAAAACAAACTAGATTAACACATTCAATCTACATAGTTATAATAGTCATTCCAATTCGAGCAAGTACAATATTTTACATACTGCATATTTAAATAATTTTAAAGAGATAAAAGATTAAGAGACTATTAAATCATAATATAACTTATCTGTGGTGTGTGTCAATAATATTTATGATATATAATTCCACCATTAAAATTTTCGGATTTTAATAGTTAAGAATTGATTTAATTTTCGATTTTCGGTAATCAACTTTTAAAAAAGACATCTATAATATTTAAATACAATGTATATGAAACAATTAATCATAAATAGTAGATTAAATCAAATTAACTATCGCTGACACATAACACAGATAGGTATATTTTTATATCAATAGATATTAAAAGATATATTTCTACAATGGCAAAAATAAAAGATACAGCAATGCATTATGTGGATGCAATGGTAATGAACAAAGATATTATGTGAAACGACATATAGCAGGTGTATTTTATAATAACCACAGAGAAATTGGGGTTATTTAAAAAATTATCATAGTAGATTCTGTTAGAACTTGGATCTCCTTTGATAATCCTGGTATATGACGTCACCGCTGTATCGAAACTGGCCAACGCAGGAGTGTGAATATTAAGTATCTTAATTTTTTTAAAATTGTGTACAAAACAAACACCCTGATGTACGCCTGTATGCACTTATGTATGAATGAGTTTATAAAAAAAAAAGTAAATGAATGAACTAAATGAATTCCATACAATAAATATTAAAATAATGAGAATAGTCACAAAATAATTGCGGAATAATGATAAGTTGACAAATCGAAAACAAAATGCAATTGGCAATTCAACACAATTTTTGTATCAAAGAATTACGATTATTACGCAGACTTAATTGTCTATGGTTTTCATTAAATAGTTTGCGCGAACTACTATGATGTTTACTAAACTCGCCAACAAAAATTGGCAATGAACATAGATATTAGAGGACACTTAAATTTATATTTAATTAATATTAATCAACCAGTTTCGACAATGCGAAAACTTTGTAAACTTTAGAATCTAGAAATATTTTTGTAATATAAATATTGTATGTTGAATAGGCAAATGACTCAACATTTCGTTTCGAAGCACCCGCACTGCTGTGCTGACCATTTGTCGTGGGCTCCACCTTCGGTTTCTTCTTCGGCTGAAGAAGGATAGTTTACTATTAATAGTTATCATTTGCATAGGACCTACAGTTACTTAACTGTTCCAAAGTAATATTTATTTGGGCATAAGCTGAATAATTTTGAATGAAACTAATAATACAACTTTATCTATATAATGAAAACTGTTGTCAACTAATTATTTATTTGCTAAATACTATTTGACTAAATGATACAAAGGCCGGGAACTGTGTAACTAAGAAATAAGATCAATATTTAAAGCAAAAATAAAATATATATAAAATAAGATTAAAGAAATAGCAATGAAAAGGAAATGACAGTACACAATAGCTACATAATAGCCATTATATTAATTATATTCACCTTGCTTTGACCTGGATTTTCAGTCTGCACAAAAGCAATAGAAAAATAAGTTAGTTAACGAAGACTTATACATTGTAAACTGATATATATATATATAAATTATAAATTATTTACATAGGAAAAAACAATGTAATAAAAATTGTTCCAAAAATATTAACATCCTCTTCAAATGATTCACTATTGAAGTTCTCCCCATAAAAATGGAGGTGAATATGATAGTGAAGATGTAATGGCACAAGGATGAGTTAATCACAGTGCTGTAATACCTCCTACCTTCATAGGCTCACGCGTCATTACTTACCATCTAAATGATTTTATTTATCATATTGACATTTGTCACGACTACACATTAAATGAACTACATCTATTTTTTGTTTTAATATTAGAGCATGATTACAACAATCACCAGATCGTGACATTATATATAAAACCCTTTGCATTCACAGTTCTAACTCACTTATGTTCTGCCGTAAACAACTATGGCTGTGTTTTGATTTAAATGGTAAGATATGACAGATTACATGAAAATTATTAGATATAGACCTAATGCCTTAGTGTGTATCGTTATTGTCTGGGATTTATTTATTTATAGGTACATTGACAATGTTACATATAGTTCAATACAACACTTAACATGAACATGGTAATATATGCACACAAATTAAATATGTACAGAGCATTAACTATATAATAATTATAATGTGATGTGAAAATATATAATTAATTAAATTATTTGTACTTGACATTGGAAATAGAGGTTTTTTTAGGTATCTATAAACGACAAATATCACTACACACAAAGGATCTCATCAATCCATTTGCCATTTCAGGTCATTTAAAAAAGTACTAACGGGCGAGTCATCACTGGGCACGAAGGACACGGGCGTAGGCACCAAAGCTAAGGTGTGTTTACAACCGAGCTGACCGCGCGCGCCGTAGCCGCAGGCCAGGATGCGTTCTCCCACTCGGCACAGTAGATGGCGCCGCCCACATGCCACTTGCGTCACTGTGCTACCCATCAGCTCCATCACCTGACGCCAACCAAGATTCGATAAAAAATGCACTTAGATGCGCAATTTCAATTACTCAATTTTTTGTTATGGATGATAATAAAATGGTAACCCCGCCTGCGCTATCGGATAACACTGGCGGGGCAACAGGTCAGTTAGCCTATTGTGACGAATTCCACAAGAATTGTTCACGATGGTTTCCAGGAGGAACCACGTGGAGGTCGACCTGATAGAGTATATTGTTAACAATTGGGCGTTTAGACCCCATTATTAACAATTCCCCCTCAATTACTTAATTTAAGACTATATTTGTAACTTACGGAATCAAAAATTTGAAATTTGTAACACTCTTATTAATTGATACTACAGTCAATAGGATAAACAAAAACTGATACTCCATTGCCAACAATAGAACAATTCAACCATGAAATTCTCCCGGAAACTACTGTTATGGTGAGCTACAATGAACTTAGTGAAATCACTTCATCCTCCACTTATATCTGGATTTATCCAAAGTACAAAAAATAATGTTCAATCATTTAACCTTTACTAATTTATTTTAATTTATTTGCTCAGTAAAATATACCTGTCTTGGTACAAGTTCATCTTTTGTAGTTCCATGGCCTGTTTGTCCATATTCCCCAAAGCCACATGTAAATACACCACCGTCCAGTGTAAGAAATACTGTAAAGTCTTCTCCACATGCTATATGACATACCTAGAAAGTAATAATAAATAATAGACTAACAATAACATATTATTGAAAACTATAACATAAACATTGGGGCAAAAACCCTGAAAAGGTATTAGAATTATTATTTATAGTCCAAGTTGATGAGATTATTAGAAACTCAAAACATTTCAGAATTAAACACAAAATTTAAATACATATAAATAGTTTCAAATTCTTATTTAATATTTATGTATCTTCATGCCACAGAATAAATAAGTAAATATGAAATCACACACATTCAATATTTATTAAGAATTTTTTTTTTCTATACACAAAATTGGCAAAACCGTCTAAAAGGGAAGCCTATGTTCAGTAGTGAACAGTTAATGGCTGATATGATGATGTGTCCTTTAATTGTGATTAATAAACACATTTGGTTGGAGTCAAACAATATGTTGCCAGCTGGCATACATCTATCTGTCTATATTACATAGATTATTATTAATAATCTATGCATATATAAAACTTATCTGTCATAGTCATTAACAGTTGCTATAATTTAATAAAAGAATTATTAAATACAATTACATACTTTAACATTCCTTAATGTCTTTAGATGTGATGGATAACATCTGTGTTCTTTATCTTGTAGCCCAAGTTGACCATGAGAATTTTTTCCCCAGCCATAGACAGCACCAGATCTGTTAAATATAAATTAACAGCTATATATTATCTTAAATTAGATTTCTGAAACAGAAATAGGCTCGATATGTCTGCAGGATGAACAACTGTAGATTTTTTTTTTTTTTTTTTTTATTTTATTAAATGATGATAGATGGGCAAAAAAAGTCCTGGAATGGATACCACAAAAAAAAGGAAGAGAGGTCAACCAAACAGATGGTGGGCAGAAATGTCGGTGATGAAAAATGGACAGATTTGAATGAGAACAGCCCAATACAGGGATATGTGAAGAGAAAGGGGAGAGGCCTAGGCCAAAAAGGAAATTAATGTGATTTAAAACTTAAATAAGAACAAAGATTCATGAAATGATAATTATGTTGGACTAGAATAAATGACTATGTTATATATTATCTTTACACCAAGATCCAAAGAACAAAGACAATACCAAATGTCAAAGACAATTGTCTTTATATATCAGACCTCTATGCATGAACAGTATCCATTCAGAAGATGCTTTTCTACTACTTAGTAGAATCCTTCCTCTCTAAATAGATAATAATTTAACAATATTTTTCTTATCAGTAGTGTGGGAGAAAACAATGTTTGTTATATTGTGGTTAAATTTACTGATAATGCAGTTACTGATATCAGGTATGTAACTATGTAAATGTAAGCATACACAAGTTACACTATTTTATTTTAATTATTTTATGATTATGATGAATACATGATGTAACTACAATCTGTGACTAAGACAATACTGTGTGCTAGAAAAACTAAAATTTATTTTATTCAGTTTCCATTCCTGTTTTTATATAAATATTTGAAAATCAAATATGCTGTCATCTTCCTAAAGGTCAAATTCATGACCCTAAGAGGGATATGCCAGATATTTTTATTTACATAAATACTACTAAAACTGGCAAAAAATATAATTAAAGATAGCACATAAAAATATCACATAATTTTCTGTATCATTCATGGTATAGTATCCTATGAAATGAATTATCTATAATATACTACCCTAAGACTCTTGTGTTTGAAACTCTCATGGTCCAAATTTTAGACAAGTTAGATGGTGGCAACACCATCGGAAGAAACATGTTGCACCACCATATTCATACTTTCTATGTGTTTTTATAAACTAAAAAAATACTCACTTAGATAAAACAAATGTGTGATTGCTGCCACATGCTATCAATGCAATCGGTACACCAAGCAGTGATGTGATTTGTTGTGGTTTCATTTCCTTGTTTGTTACATTTCCAAGCCCACATTGCCCATAACTGTTTGCACCCCAAGCATATAGGTCTCCATCTAAACATTAATAATCATGTATTGCTTTTTTCACCATAACATGAAATATTAAATCCACAGATAAATCTTAATATCTAAAAATCCCATATTGCAATGTTTATTTACACTAATTTTAGAAACCACACACCAGATTTTAATAAAATTAGAAATGGTATTATGTGTTAATTGGTTTAATAGATGTTATGTAATCCACTATTTTTATATCTCATATTTTTTTATATCATTTTGTCTAAATGATGTATGTAAACCTAACATATGTACTTACATATGATGTATGTAAAACTAAACATAATAAAAAAAATATTAAAATTTAAGCATTGTTTGATTTGACTTTGAAATAGATTATCCAGATTTTCGATTATATAGAATACTCCTTTTTTGTTTGCTCCACCTTGAGACATAGAATAGTTTTTAATAAAAAGATCTTGTCAAGTATGCTATTTATTGGAATACATGGAACAAATTTAATTTTTATTTCAATAAATACTTGACACTTGACAAAATCTTGAATCCATGTAAAGCTACTCACCTTAGCTTTACATGGATTCAAGATTCACTAACCTAATAATAGGCAGACATTAATCTCAATAAATAGATAAAATATTTCAATCTCATATAGATATATTATCATGATCAACAACCTAAGTATTATAAGATCAAAGTTAATACATGATAGAGGCCATAGAATGCCATATATTTATTAAATTTAACAGTCACATTATGTTACTTCATTATTAAATAATGATATGACCAATAAAACTCTAAAAATTAATAAGATACATACTATTTGTCAATGCCATGGAATGATATGAGCCACATGCAACTTGAACCACATTTTTTGTTGCAAGTTTTTTCACTACACAGGGAACATTGTGTGAAATTGAATCAGTATCCACTACACCAAGTTGACCCATGCTATTGCAACCCCAACTATAGGGGATTCCCCATTCATTGAGTGCCAGAGAATGCTGAAGGCCACATGCTATTGATAAAATTTTATATTCCTTTAATTTTTCCACCAGATCTGAAATACAATTGGAAATATTAATATTTTAGTTCATTTCTATTTCAAGCATAAGAGTAATTTATTAGATTAATGCAATAGTTTACTAATTTCTCTCTATATCAATCTTACAAAAAACTTAGATAAATCTTTAGTTAATGATAGTAAATTGATTAAACAGTGGATGCGATGCAATAAATTATGTCACAGTCTCAATAATTAAAATACTTTAGACCCAAAATAAAATAGATCACTTGTGAGTGTATTTAAGTTACTAATCTTTTTCAAATTATAATTATAATTAATTTATTATATTTATAAATTGTAAACATTACTGAGGAAAATTCTATTTATTTGTAATTTTATTATATTTATTTGTACAATTAAAATAAAAATAATGAAAAAGTAACTTACCTGGCATTCTTCCCTCATTAGAATCAGTGTGACGTCCAAGCTGTCCTGCCTCATTACTTCCACATGAATATAAGTGACCCTGGTTAGTGAGGTACAGAACAAAGAATTCTCCTGCTGCTATACATCTGACATGATGACTCTCACTCCATTTTGATAATGTTGGTTTAATAACCTACGGATTCATTACAAATTCAGTAATATTTTTAAATTTACTTGTCAATGATATAGTAAAACATATAGCAGACAAAGGATGATAAACCCTTTATCATACATGATTTCTTAATGAGTCATAATGAATAAATATTACTTTTTTGTAAAAAAAAAAAATAACAATAGTTTATTTCTACATTAACGCAAAACTAACAAATATTGCAATATTATATATTTATAATATTCTAAATTAATTGTATACGGAGTTATTTTCATATATCATCTATCCATAGTAGACCTTGTTTACTGACACACAATAAAATAATAATAATCAACAGCAACATCTACATACAGAACAGGGATTTATATAAAAATATTCCCATATTATCATACTTACCAAATCAACATTTTCAGAATCATCTAAGCATAATTCGTGATATGTTCCATTACCCCAGCAAAACATTTTATAAAACACTTTTGTCAATGACAATTTCAGTTTAACCTTATACAAAAAAGTAATTAAATTTTGTTATGGAATCAAGTTATATGTTATTAAAAAGAAAATTAAAGGGTCTGAAAATTAGTGACAAAAATTTTAAACTGGAAATATCATTATGAAACGAATAATTACGTTTTTTAAAGTCGAGAACAATCTTTTCTCTTTACTTCTATATGTCATGTCATATAGGGTCATACCACTTCGATTAAAAAATAGTCTGTTTGAAATCTATGTAACCAATCCATTGAATTTGAAAGTGTTACCCTATAAGAAAATTAGGTCTTTTATGATATCTACTGATCTCAAAATTTTAGACAGAGATATATTATAAATTATTTTAGGATACGTGACTATTAATTTCTTTTATTATGTAGTTTCCTGTGGATGGTTACATAGAAATTTTTCATGTTTTATAAATTAAGAAATAATGCTTGTTTTTAAATTACGTAGTCTGTACATTATATTAGTGTCACCAACTTATCTGTGGAAAAAGCGCGGGAAACGTTTAAAAAAGCGGGAGTGTTTTTTGATCTTCTTTAAATTAATTTTATTTTTATTTATATAAGGATTAGTCTTTTTTATATATTGTGTATTAGATTGTATATTTAATTGTATATTTTGTAGTAATAGTGTTTGTTGCTGTAAATATTGGTAAGTAAATTACCTATATTAACATTATGGATCCACCTATAGACCCTGGGGGGACAACCCCCCAGGTGTCTGCAAATATAACTATTCCATTCAATAATAGTTTTGATATATTAGGTGAATCTAGTATGGACACAGATGGTTCTAGCGTTGCAAGTTCTAAACGTAAGCGAGTACGTGGTGAACGTCGCATTTGCAAACATTGCAATAAAAAACGAAGGAGGCACACCAAGGGTCTTGAATCTAAAATTAAAGATAGTGATTGTCAATGTATTGAAGATGAGAATCAAACTCAAGTATCAATACCAGTTGTAAACAATACCGAGTCTGTTAAACCTGCTTCTCCACCCAGTACTTTAAGCAGAACTTTGTACAATGCCGAGGATATAGCACCTTATGTCGTTCATGTACAAAAAAATGAAACACATCCTAATGATAACACTACATTACATCCTATTGCATTTGGTCGCTTTTTACACACTAATAAGATAAATAATATAGTGAATGGTAGCCTCAAAAGAATAGGAAGAAACCGTTTATCGCTTTCTTTCTCAAATTTTGAAAATGCAAATGCATTTTTAAATAATAGTAACTTAGTGACACATAATTTTAAGGCATTTATACCTTCTTTCCATGTAACCCGTATGGGAATTGTGAGGGGTATTCCTAAAGATTGGACAGAAGAGGAAGTAATCCAAAATATATCAGTACCTATAGGTTGTGGGAAAATTCTAAAAACCAGAAGAATAAAGAAAAAGACAATTAATGAAGGACAACCAAGTTTTATTAATACTGAAACCATTGTTATTACTTTTGATGGACAAATATTGCCAAAAAGAGTATTTATGTTTTACACATCATTAACTGTAGATTTGTACATTTACCCTACTATCCAATGCTATAACTGCTGTAGGTTCGGACATGTCAAGATGCAGTGTCGTTCAAATCCTCGGTGTTATAAATGCAGGCAAAATCATACAGGTGATAAATGTGAAGTAGATGAGGAAAATGTTTCTTGTATGTTGTGTAATGGTTCTCATTCAGCAATTAGTAAGAAATGTCCTGAATATGCACGTCAGAAAGCCATTAAAGAAACAATGGCCCATAGTTGTGTTTCTTATGCTGAAGCATCAAAATTTCATCCTCCAACTTCTAAACTATATTCAGATGTATTAACATCATCATCTCCTTCCAATAAATCTCATTTTCAATCTTCTTTCCTTAAAGAGAAATCATCATTACCACATATACAATCATCATATAAAAAAACAGTTACACTTAAACCACGCTCTCCTCAAAAAATACAACAAGGATATGATCGTTCTGCCCATGAAGCCATAGTTAAGGAATATAATATTCCTGCTCCCTCTAATGGTTGTGCATTATCATCAAATAATATTGACAATAATCAATCCATCATTGATATTATTCTCATGCTTATTAAAGTGTTATCGCAATCGAAAATGATACAAACAACTTTACCACCGTCCAACGATGCCATGTACAATGTATTTTCTTAATTATTAACTTCTCACAATGGATTACAAAGTCCAAATAATTCAGTGGAACTGTCGTAGCATAACAAATAAGAAATCAGACTTATTTTATTTGATTAATAAATATAATCCTTTTATAATAGCTCTACAAGAGACTTGGTTAAAGCCAGGATATCCTTTTAGGATTTCAGGCTTTACAAGTCTCCGTGATGATAGAGCTGACGGATATGGCGGTGTTGCCATATTGGTCAAAAACTCCCTTCTTTTTTCTTCTTTTTCGCTTCCTGTATATAGCGGCATTAATGCAGCTGCTATAATTATAAATGGTATCTGTTTTGTTACTTTATATATTCCTGATCCTACATGCCAAATATATTCACAACTAGAACAATTATTTTCAATTTTACCTAAACCTTTTCTCGTAATGGGCGATTTTAATGCTCAGCACCAATCGTGGGGCAGTTCTACTTCTAATTTTTATGGTGGAAAACTCCTGACGATAATTGACACTTACAAATTATGTATTATTAACTCAGATGTACCGACACGTAGAACTGCACCGAATGAAGGGTTTAGTGCTCCTGATATTTCAATATGTTCTTCTGATTTAGCTTCTTCACTGTCGTGGTATCCTCATTCCTCTACCTTCGGAAGCGATCACTTTCCCCTCATTCTTTCTTTTCCAATTTCCATTCCCTCAAGTCGAAAGAGTGGTCCTCGACTTAAATATAATTTATCAAATGTAGACTGGAATATTTACAAACAATATTTAGATAATAAAATATCGGAGTTACCTATTGTTTATCATGGAAATGAACATCAATGTTGTAATGACTTGATAATTAATATGAAGGAGGTTGCTGATTTATTATTTCCTGTTAAAAATAGTGCTTCAGGGAAAATTCCCTCCCCACCTTGGTGGGACAAAGATTGTACGGAAGCAATTAAAAATCGTAAAGAGGCTGAAAAAAATTATAATAATTACATGACATCAGAAACTTTTGAAATTTACACCGCAGTTTCACGTTCTACTCGAAAACTACTGAAAAAAAAGAAATTGGAAGGTTGGAGAAGATTTTGTTCTTCTATCTGTCCAGAAGTTAATTCATCAGTCGTTTGGAATAATATTAAAAGATTCAGATCTGCCTTCAGTGATCATACATCACGTTCTGCACTCGATTTAACTTTAGCGAATAAATTTTTAGATCGCCTTGCTCCTAGTTATGTGCCGGAATGCCTTTACAATATTTCTCTATCCGTCTCTGACGAATTATCCGAACTTGAGTCTCCTTTTACTCTTGTAGAACTTAAAGGTGTTCTAGCTTGTATTAAAGACTCTGCACCGGGAGAAGACGGTATACCGTATTCCTTTTTTAAAAATGCTAGCGATGCGACATTAATTTACTTTTTAAATATAATTAATTCCATAATTATTTCGGGAAATATACCTACTTCATGGAAGTCTCAGATTATTATACCATTTCTAAAGCCTCATAAACCACCTTCTGAACCATCTTCATACCGTCCTGTTGCACTTTCCTCTGTCTTACTAAAGCTAGCTGAACATTTAGTGAAGAACCGTCTAGAATGGTTTTTAGAAAGTAATAACTTACTATCCCCGAACCAGTTTGGTTTTAGGAAAGGTAAGAGCACCTTAGATAATGTGAGCGTTCTTATTTCAGATATTCATATAGCTTTCTCACAAAATTTGTCAATCCTCTCAGTCTTTTTAGATATAAATTCTGCCTATGATAATGTAATAATTTCTATTTTAAAAACTAAATTACAAGCTTTAAATGTACCGGTAATGCTTTCTAATTTCATTATTAATATTTTATCAGAAAGAACAATACATATGGATCTAGATGAAGATACCAAATTATCTAGAACAGTATGGAAAGGCCTTCCACAAGGATCTGTTCTCAGTCCAATTTTATTCAACATATACACATACGATCTAGAATCATTCCTTGATAAATCCGTAAAATTTTACAATATGCTGATGATCTCTTATTATATTTTATTGCGAAGTCCATAGAATCTGCTTCTGCCAAATTATCTGATTCATTAGATATGTTAAAAACGTGGTTAGATGCAAATGGTCTTAATCTTTCTGTAACCAAGAGTAGTGTAGTTTTGTTTTCAAGAATGAGATCACCGCAACAAATTAAGGTGCTTTATGATAACTCATACATTCCTATAAAGACTGAAATTAAATTTTTAGGTATCGTGCTAGATAATAAATTAACAGGTCTGTCCCACTGTAATTATATTTCCACGAAATGTGAGCGTAACCTCAACATTCTTAGGTGCCTTGCTGGAGTTTGGTGGGGAGCACATCCCGTTTCACTAAAACTTGCTTATAATGGTCTTATAAGGAGTGTCATTGATTATGGAACTTTTTTGTTAGCTCCAGGAAGTTCATTTGCTTTTAAGAAATTGGATTTAATTCAATCAAAGGCCTTGAGGATTATCTCTGGAGCAATGAAATCAAGTCCAATCAATGCTTTACAGCTCGAAGTCGGTGATCCACCTTTGGTTTTAAGAAGGCAATATTTATCTGATCGCTTCTTTTTTCGTTGTTTACAATTATCTGATCATCCGCTTATTCAAAAGTTATCTCAACTATATATCTTTATTTCGTCTTCATCTTATTGGAAACATAAAAAACCTCCATGTTTAATACAAAGTTATGAAAAATATAAATCCATAGAATCTCCCACTTTTACATCGTCCTGTTTTCCCATTTATAAATGCTCATATCAATCTTTAGTTTTATCTCCTAATATTAAATATGATTTTGGGTTATCAAAAAATGATTCAGAATTGAATGCCAAATTTATGTTTATAACTGACATTGAATGGAATGAATGGCACTACATCTTTACTGATGCATCAAAACCAGACAATAGCGGTTGTGTAGGTGTGGGTGTGTTTCATTCACAATTTAATATCGTTCAAAAAATTAAACTTCCACCGGAATCTTCAGTTTTTACCGGGGAATGCTATGGTATTTTAAAAGCTGTAGAATATATACTTTTAATGAAATTACATAAGGCAATAGTTTTCACTGACTCTATGAGCTCTTTGCAAGCTCTAGCCAAATATCCGTTTAAATCAAAACCAGTTTATCCCATTATTTGTGACATAAGACAAAGTCTTTATCTTTGCATGTTGAGAAGGTATTCCGTTTCTTTTGCCTGGTTACCAGGACACAGTGGTATTAGCGGCAATGACAAAGCTGACCTTATTGCAAGAGAGGCTGTAACTTGTGGTGATATGTATCCGTATCATAATTACTGTAGTGACCTAGCTTGTCTCCCAAAAATATATTTAAGGTATGCCTGGAAGGAATATTGGGAAAAAACAAGTACAATAAAAGGAAGATTTTATCGCCTTATACAACCCGATATTCCTTTCAAACCATGGTTTTGTAAATTAAAGCTTGGAAAGACCGCAACAACTATTATAACTCGTATGCGTCTAGGTCACGTATGCACACCTTCTCATTTATACAAGCTTGGTATTGTACAAAGTTCGTCGTGTAATTGCGGTGCTGAAGTGGCGGACTTGAATCATATATTCTTCTCATGTTCTAAATTTGACCACACCTCCCTTTTTAATCATCTCCGATCCATCCGTGTTCCATTCCCAACTTCTATTCTTACTCTACTTTCTTCCAATGATCCTATTATCTATAAAATACTATCTTCATATATATATGATAACAATATTAAGATTTAGTTATATTACATGAATACATTTATAGTTGCATCAATTGCTTTTCCTATATATTTATAAGTATATTCTCATATGTACAAGTATATCCTTCATATCCTATAAATATCCTAGACCTAATCCTTATCCTTTCTAAATTCGTTTGTGTTAGGTATTTTTATTACTATTATCGTTTCCCCGTTTTGTTCTTGGCAAAATACCCTAATATCGGGGTGAACGCCACATAAGAAGAAAAAAAAAAAAAAAAAACTTATCTGTGGAAAAAAGCGCGGGAAACGTTTAAAAAAGCGGGAGTGTTTTTTGATCTTCTTTAAATTAATTTTATTTTTAATTATATAAGGATTAGTTTTATTTATATATTGTGTATTAGATTGTATATATAATTGTATATTTTGTAGTAATAGTGTTTGTTGCTGTAAATATTGGTAAGTAAATTACCTATATTAATTAGACATTATGGATCCACCTATAGACCCTGGGGGGACAACCCCCCAGGTGTCTGCAAATATAACTATCCCATTTAATAATAGTTTTGATATATTGGGTGAATCTAGTATGGACACAGATGGTTCTAGCGTTGCAAGTTCTAAACGTAAGCGAGTACGTGGCGAACGTCGCATTTGCAAACATTGCAATAAAAAACGAAGGAGGCACACTAAAGGTCTCGAATCTAAAATTAAAGATAGTGATTGTCAATGTATTGAGGATGAGAATCAAACTCTAGTATCAATACCAGTTGTAAATAATACCGAGTCTGTTAAACCTGCTTCTCCACCCAGTACTTTAAGCAGAACTTTGTACAATGCCGAGGATGTAGCTCCTTATGTCGTTCATGTACAAAAAAATGAAACACATCCTAATGATAACACTACATTACATCCTATTGCATTTGGTCGCTTTTTACACACTAATAAGATAAATAATATAGTGAATGGTAGCCTCAAAAGAATAGGAAGAAACCGTTTATCGCTTTCTTTCTCAAATTTTGAAAATGCAAATGCATTTTTAAATAATAGTCACTTAGAAACACATAATTTTAAGGCATTTATACCTTCTTTCCATGTAACCCGTATGGGAATTGTGAGGGGTATTCCTAAAGATTGGACAGAAGAGGAAGTAATCCAAAATATATCAGTACCTATAGGTTGTGGGAGAATTCTAAAAACCAGAAGAATTAAGAAAAAGACCATTAATGAAGGACAACCAAGTTTTATTAATACTGAAACCATTGTTATTACTTTTGATGGACAAATATTACCAAAAAGAGTATTTATGTCACACATCATTAACTGTAGATTTGTACATTTACCCCACTATCCAATGCTATAACTGCTGTAGGTTCGGACATGTCAAGATGCAGTGTCGTTCAAATCCTCGGTGTTATAAATGCAGGCAAAATCATACAGGTGATAAATGTGAAGTAGATGAGGAAAATGTTTCTTGTATCTTGTGTAATGGTTCTCATTCAGCAATTAGTAAGAAATGTCCTGAATATGCACGTCAGAAAGCCATTAAAGAAACAATGGCCCACAGTTGTGTTTCTTATGCTGAAGCATCAAAATTTCATCCTCCCACTTCTAAACTATATTCAGATGTATTAACATCATCATCTCCGTCCAATAAATCTCATTTTCAATCTTCTTTCCTCAAAGAGAAATCATCATTACCACATATTCAATCATCACATAAAAAAACAGTTACACTTAAACCACGCTCTCCTCAAAAAGCACAACAAGGATATGATCGTTCTGCCCATGAAGCCATAGTTAAGGAATATAATATTCCTGCTCCCTCTAATGGTTGTGCATTATCATCAAATAATATTGACAATAATCAATCCATCTTTGATATTATTCTCATGCTTATTAAAGTGTTATCGCAATCGAAAATGATACAAACAACTTTACCACCGTCCAACGATGCCATTTACAATGTATTTTCTCAATTATTAACTTCTCACAATGGATTACAAAGTCCTAATAATTCAGTGGAACTGTCGTAGCATAACAAACAAGAAATCAGACTTATTTTATTTGATTAATAAATATAATCCTTTTATAATAGCTCTCAAGAGACTTGGTTAAAGCCAGGATATCCTTTTAGGATTTCAGGCTTTACAAGTCTCCGTGATGATAGAGCTGACGGATATGGCGGTGTTGCCATATTGGTCAAAAACTCCCTTCCTTTTTCTTCTTTTTCGCTTCCTGTATATAGCGGCATTAATGCAGCTGCTATAATTATAAATGGTATCTGTTTTGTTACTTTATATATTCCTGATCCTACATGCCAAATATATTCACAACTAGAACAATTATTTTCAATTTTACCTAAACCTTTTCTCGTAATGGGCGATTTTAATGCTCAACACCAATCGTGGGGCAGTTCTACTTCTAATTTTTATGGTGGAAAACTCCTGACGATAATTGACACTTACAACTTATGTATTATTAACTCAGATGTACCAACACGTAGAACTGCACCGAATGAAGGGTTTAGTGCTCCTGACATTTCAATATGTTCTTCTGATTTAGCTTCTTCACTGTCGTGGTATCCTCATTCCTCTACTTTCGGAAGCGATCACTTTCCCCTCATTCTTTCTTTTCCAATTTCCATTCCCTCAAGTCGAAAGAGTGGTCCTCGGCTTAAATATAATTTATCAAATGTAGACTGGAATATTTACAAACAATATTTAGATAATAAAATATCGGAGTTACCTATTGTTTACCATGGAAATGAACATCAATGTTGTAATGACTTGATGATAAATATGAAGGAGGTTGCTGATTTATTATTTCCTGTTAAAAATAGTGCTTCAGGGAAAATTCCCTCGCCACCTTGGTGGGACAAAGATTGTACGGAAGCAATTAAAAATCGTAAAGAGGCTGAAAAAAATTATAATAATTACATGACACCAGAAAATTTTGAAATTTACACCGCAGTTTCACGTTCTACTCGAAAACTACTGAAAAAAAAGAAATTAGAAGGCTGGAGAAGATTTTGTTCTTCTATCTGTCCAGAAGTTAATTCATCAGTCGTTTGGAATAATATTAAAAGATTCAGATCTGCCTTTAGTGATCATACATCACGTTCTGCAATGCTATTCACTAAAAATCTACCGCAACGCTGCGCCCGCCGACGAGCTCTAGGCTGATCAGCCTTGCGAACGACCGTGGCTACAGCGCTGCGGTAATTGGTATTCACTAACGTGTCAAACCTCATCGACGAACTGTAGGCTGTGATAACTCGAGGCTGTGCGCACGGACGAGATAGGGCTTGCAACAAAAACCGTAAAATGAAACCGATAACTGTAGAAATATAATATTTTATTGACAAATGGAATGTTTTATTCAGTTTAGAATGTTATTTAAATAAATATTATATAAAATAAACATAAATTTATACATCAAACATTTGATTTTGTTTTTTAAAGTTAAGATTTGTTTGAATACCCTTGCTTCCATTGCCGTAAAATAAACAAATAACACTTATACGTAGGTACGTAGAGAGTATTATATTCCTTGTACTTAACATTCCAGAGGCGCACTTTTTGTATTTGTTTATTCTCTTTTAAAAATAATTAATAAAATTAACGTAACTTTACCAACGTTTTATAAGTTTGGATGTATCTATCAAATACGTAAGTAAAATGTGCTTTTTATTTACTTGTACTGTTTTTAAGGTTATATTTTTAGTAACTAAAATAAATGCATATCTCGTAACATGCCATGAAATGAGGTCCCTTCGCAAAGTAGTCGGAGATGCTGATGGATTATATAAAGAATCAGACATTGCTTGTGACAGGACATACACGAACAGAAAAAAGGATTAATTATATTTTTGTGGAGTATCTTAAATAAATAACTAATTTATAATTTTAGAATTATGTGTCTAATTGGTCTTATTGTTATTTTTAGGTCCACGCCGTCATTTGACTGACAGTATCCCGATGACACTTATCTCCTTCACAATAGCAGCCTCAACTAGAAAGAGAGTAGTCTCACAAAGATTTGTTGCCACTGAAGAGCACCGAGTAGAGACAGAACAAATTTTGATAGAGAATCAGACAACACTAGTTCATATCTTATAGCTAATGAATGAGATATGACTAAATTAAAGTCAGCCATTGTACGATTTAATTAAAAATTTTTTAAAAAAATTTCAAATAATTTTTATTCAATTAAATTTAAAATATTATAAATGGTAATTCTTTATGATTCTACCATCCATTGTGAAGAAGGGGAGAAACCTCAATTTTGGTTTTTAAAATACTAATAGATTTTACAATAATACATTTCTAAAAATATACACTGCCAAACATAACAAGAGTTATTGGAATTATTAGTTAAATCAAGTTCATTATTGAAAATATAAGATTAAATTATGTCATTTAATAGTCATTAGTAATTTTGAAATATAAGTTTCATCTTATATAATTTTCAAATAAAAACACAATTACAATAAAATTTTATAATTATAAACTTGTTTCAATTTCAAATAAATAATTTTTAATGAATATTTTTTTTAATTTCTTACTCCATACTAGTTATAATATGAATTAATTATAATAATTTTAAATTAAAATATACATTTACAACATAATATAATATTAATTTTAATTCACAGGTAGACAAAAATGTAACAATAAAAAAGTATTTGAAAATAGTTTTAAGATATAAGTACAAAAAGTATAGCTAGCTTATTTTGACTACAAAATTTTCTTTTGTGCTTCTTCATTTTGTATAGATGATGTAACTGCATCATATTATCAGCATATCACAAACAATACAGCAATACACTACTATTATTGTGGCTGTCCAAGGGTTTGTGTCATGCTACTAAATGAGTTTCAAAATCACCTGAAAAAAAACAAGTAATGTTAATTATTTTTAATTAGCCACATAGCCAATCCTGAATTTATGTGTGTCATGTTTTTTAAAACTATGATTTTGAAACAATTTTTTATAATAGTTTCAACCTGAATGCTAAATTTAGTGGTCTAATTTAACAAAAATTAATTGACATGAATTAATAATTTACTACATGTTTAACTAAGTTGGTTTCTTTCTAACATATTAGACATAGTTATTTTTATACAAAACCAGAGGCCACTAAGCTTATGGATCACCTAATGGGAAACGGTTACCATGATCCATGAATATTTGTAACACCAGAAGTATTATTATGCATACTAGAATACTTGTTACACACCATTATTAACTAGCTAGTTGTTCCCTACACAAACATCTGCTGACACAATTAAGCTTGTCTCAATAAAATAAACAAGTGCACACAATCACTGCAAAGTATTCTTTTTCCTGCTTTAAATTTATTTATGTACCTAATACCATCAATTAATAAAATTTAAGTTACAAACCTTTAGCTTTAACAACTCTCTGGAACAGGCATACATGGTGACAATTCTTTTTCTAACATATTGATTAATTCTTCAGAAAGTCGGTAATGATGAATATAATCCACATCACATAAAGTTGTTGATTGTCGGCATTTCTTACAATCATTTTCTATTTTAGCTTCTTTCAACAAATGGGTCATTACACATAAACGGGCAGCAATCGTTTTTAAACACAAATTGATAATTTCAATACAATTAATAATCACAGAATTCAAGAAACAAATAAATATATTAGATGAATACTATGCAAACAGCGTAGAAAACAAAGCTTTTGAGTTTGACATAAGAAATCGAGGCTGTAGGCTAGGCTGTCGGCGAAGGCGAGGCTGATTTTTGTTAGTGAATACCAAATACTATGGCAAAATGTCAAATCGCACAGCCTTGAGTAGTTCCCGTTTATGCCGCTCGTCTTTGAGCTCGTCTTTGGGCGCTAGTGTCGCGTCTTAAGAATTAGTGAATACCATTTCAATATTTCATCGCTGCGTCAAGGCTGATGTCTAGGCTGTTTGCTTAGAGAATAGCACTACTGCACTCGATTTAACTTTAGCGAATAAATTTTTAGATCGTCTTGCTCCTAGTTATGTGCCGGAATGCCTTTACAATATTTCTCTATCCGTCTCTGACGAATTATTCGAACTTGACTCTCCTTTTACTCTAGTAGAACTTAAAGGTGTTCTAGCTTCTATTAAAGACTCTGCACCGGGAGAAGACGGTATACCGTATTCCTTTTTTAAAAATGCTAGCGATGCGACATTAATTTACTTTTTAAATATAATTAATTCCATAATTATTTCGGGAAATATACCTACTTCATGGAAGTCTCAGATTATTATACCATTTCTAAAGCCTCATAAACCACCTTCTGAACCATCTTCATACCGTCCTGTTGCACTTTCCTCTGTCTTACTAAAGCTAGCTGAACATTTAGTGAAAAACCGTCTAGAATGGTTTTTAGAAAGTAATAACTTACTATCCCCGAACCAGTTTGGTTTTAGGAAAGGTAAGAGCACCTTAGATAATGTGAGCATTCTTATTTCAGATATTCATATAGCTTTCTCACAAAATTTGTCAATCCTCTCAGCCTTTTTAGATATAAATTCTGCCTATGATAATGTAATAATTTCTATTTTAAAAACTAAATTACAAGCTCTAAATGTACCGGTAATGCTTTCTAATTTCATTATTAATATTTTATCAGAAAGAACAATATATATGAATTTAGATGAAGATACCAAATTATCTAGAACAGTATGGAAAGGCCTTCCACAAGGATCTGTTCTCAGTCCAATCTTATTTAACATATACACATACGATCTAGAATTATTCCTTGATAAATCCGTCAAAATTTTACAATATGCTGATGATCTTTTATTATATTTTATTGCGAAGTCCATAGAATCTGCTTCTGCCAAATTATCTGATTCATTAGATTTGTTAAAAACGTGGTTAGATGCAAATGGTCTTAATCTTTCTGTAACCAAGAGTAGTGTAGTTTTGTTTTCAAGAATGAGATCACCGCAACAAATTAAGGTGCTTTATGATAACTCATACATTCCTATAAAGACTGAAATTAAATTTTTAGGTATCGTGCTAGATAATAAATTAACAGGTCTGTCCCACTGTAATTATATTTCTACGAAATGTGAGCGTAACCTCAACATTCTTAGGTGCCTTGCTGGAGTTTGGTGGGGAGCACATCCCGTTTCACTAAAACTTGCTTATAATGGTCTTATAAGGAGTGTCATTGATTATGGAACTTTTTTGTTAGCTCCAGGAAGTTCATTTGCTTTTAAGAAATTGGATTTAATTCAATCAAAGGCCTTGAGGATTATCTCTGGAGCAATGAAATCAAGTCCAATCAATGCTTTACAGCTCGAAGTCGGTGATCCACCTTTGGTTTTAAGAAGACAATATCTATCTGATCGCTTCTTTTTTCGTTGTTTACAATTATCTGATCATCCGCTTATTCAAAAGTTATCTCAACTACATATCTTTATTTCGTCTTCATCTTATTGGAAACATAAAAAACCTCCATGTTTAATACAAAGTTATGAAAAATATAAATCCATAGAATCTCCCACTTTTACATCGTCCTGTTTTCCCATTTATAAATGCTCATATCAATCTTTAGTTTTATCTCCTAATATTAAATATGATTTTGGGTTATTAAAAAATGATTCAGAATTGAATGCCAAATTTATGTTTATAACTGACATTGAATGGAATGAATGGCACTACATCTTTACTGATGCATCAAAACCAAACAATAGCGGTTGTGTAGGTGTGGGTGTGTTTCATTCACAATTTAATATCGTTCAAAAAATTAAACTTCCACCGGAGTCTTCAGTTTTTACCGGGGAATGTTATGGTATTTTAAAAGCTGTAGAATATATACTTTTAATGAAATTACATAAGGCAATAGTTTTCACTGACTCTATGAGCTCTTTGCAAGCTCTAGCCAAATATCCGTTTAAATCAAAACCAGTTTATCCCATTATTTGTGACATAAGACAAAGTCTTTATCTTTGCATGTTGAGAGGTTATTCCGTTTCTTTTGCCTGGTTACCAGGACACAGTGGTATTAGCGGCAATGACAAAGCTGACCTTATTGCAAGAGAGGCTGTAACTTGTGGTGATATGTATCCGTATCATAATTACTGTAGTGACCTAGCTTGTCTCCCAAAAATATATTTAAGGTATGCCTGGAAGGAATATTGGGAAAAAACAAGTACAATAAAAGGAAGATTTTATCGCCTTATACAACCCGATATTCCTTTCAAACCATGGTTTTGTAAATTAAAGCTTGGAAAGACCGCAACAACTATTATAACTCGTATGCGTCTAGGTCACGTATGCACACCTTCTCATTTATACAAGCTTGGTATTGTACAAAGTTCGTCGTGTAATTGCGGTGCTGAAGTGGCGGACTTGAATCATATATTCTTCTCATGTTCTAAATTTGACCACACCTCCCTTTTTAATCATCTCCGATCCATCCGTGTTCCATTCCCAACTTCTATTCTTACTCTACTTTCTTCCAATGATCCTATTATCTATAAAATACTATCTTCATATATATATGATAACAATATTAAGATTTAGTTATATTACATGAATACATTTATAGTTGCATCAATTGCTTTTCCTATATATTTATAAGTATATTCTCATATGTACAAGTATATCCTTCATATCCTATAAATATCCTAGACCTAATCCTTATCCTTTCTAAATTCGTTTGTGTTAGGTATTTTTATTACTATTATCGTTTCCCCGTTTTGTTCTTGGCAAAATACCCTAATATCGGGGTGAACGCCACAAAAAAACAAAAAAAAAAAAAAAAAAACTTATCTGTGAACTAATGGGTGTCACCATCGTTGTTTAAGTGTTGCTAATTAATTCCAATGTGCACAAAAGTTGGAAAAGTTGATACATATTAATTTAGTTTATATTTACGATAAATAATAGCACCACATTCATAGGGAAAAAAACTGCTGTGGAACATAGGGATTCTATCTATAATATATAATGTTATGTATCTATCTACTGTGATAGCCTTTTAACAAGGAGGTTAAGGTTTACAAGAAGGTTTCAATCTAAACGATTGAAACCTTCTTGTTAAAAGACCCATTTAGATATTAGTGGTAGGCCTAGTTAGGAGATGTAAGTAAAAGAATAACAAAAAAAAAATTTTTAGGATTTTTTTTTGTAAATAGGTAAAGAAGTACCCACAGAGCAAATAATCACTACCCCATAACAGTACCTAGTAAGAGTATCCTTATTCTATGTTTTAATATGAAGTCACAATCATATCGTATTGTAAGTAGTCCAAGTACTAATCAAAACGCTAATTCATTTATTTATTATTTAATATAATTATAATGGAGTTGTACCCTAACCTGCGCTATAATATATACTGAATATACTGATGTGTCACCAGTGAGGGATGATATATGAGAATGAAGCAGGTTAGTTGGCCCATAGTGACGAATTCAACAATAAATCAATGACAACTTCTATATTGCTAACAATAGGTCTTCTAGTCCCATTACTAATAATAATTTCTTCCTACTACTACTAGTGAGGGATGATAGGTGAAGATGAAAAATCAGGTCAGTTAGCTCATCGTGATTATTTCACCAGGAATTAAACATGATGGATGGTTTTCAGGAATGGAATGAAATTATTATGATTATTATTAATGTGATAGATTTGAATTCATAAAGAAATGAAATTTCAAAAATAACAAAAATTCAGGTATTTATCATAATATTAATTTCAATTTATGGACGTAGAGAACTTTATTTTAAATTAATTAAATACTTTTTTCTACCAATTCTTGTACAAAATATCAAAATTATTACTATAATATTGCTTATAAAGAGATAAACGTTTAAATCGTTAATACATGAAAATGTACAATTTTGTATTTATTTTATTTATGTTATATCTACGTAGAACCTAAGAATAAGGAATTACATAGAAAGAATGATGAAATAAAAACTGTATATTATATGATTGCCTCCTTTTTTCTTATGCAAATATAATTAGTAAAAAGAGGACGAAAGAAACACCATCAGTTGCTATTTTTCTCAATTCATAGCAGGCTAGTGTATAAAAAATGTTTGATATGTAAATTTTTTATCAATGATAAATTTTATATTACTAGATTATATATTCGACACAGTTTATGTAGAAAGTATGCAAGTAGGTTGTATCTGAATTTGCTAGGGTTATACGGCCGTATAACATTTTTTATAAATTAGCCTGCTATGAATTCACATTTTTATCACTCCTATGTAATTTCTTGTTGTTAGGGTAGAACACGTTTAGTTCTAATTATACTAATTGCATATATACATATCTGTCATGTTTGTCTCTTAAAACTATTTTCAATTCATAACGTTAAAATGAACTTATATTGTTTATATTCCCCTAAATCACCTTCAATATTCTGTGGATGAGTGTTTTACTTGTATATCTCAAAGTGAGATACATAAGTAAAATATTATTGCTGATGTTGTTATGTATTTTCTTTTTTGCATTACTAATTTATATACTTACTCTACTAATGTAAGTTTTCTCAAGATTTCGTGCTGTTTGTACTTTATAAAAAATATAAAGATAATATCTAGGTATACAGGTTATTTTTATTCTATGCCGGTGGGTCATAATTCTATTATCTCTGGTTTTAGCCTGTCTATGATTAAATAAAAGAAAGTAAAAATGTCTCTGAATAAAATCTACCAACTCTATGGATAGACGGGACGTTTTTCGGCCATATTTGTTATTGTGCTCAATGGGGATTTATTTAGATCACTTGCTTCATTTCATACAATAGTTTGTGATGTATTTTATTTTCAATCATTCTTTTTCTGAACGTTTATCCTTAATTACATAAAACTTCTTGAAAATATAGTTATGCTAATTTACTGACCGAAGTGACCCCCCCCCCTGTGGTAATTCGCTGAAATTATTCAGCGGATTTTATTGTGGAAATATTTAAGTAAATTAAGCTAAAGTGGCGGGGGCTTCAAATAATAATGGCAAAGGGGGTCGCCAAGCTGCCCCAGTCGACGTGGGGTCTCCCCTTCTCGACTGGGAAGAGGGAGACCACTTTAGCTTTGAAGACTCTGAACGTTTTGAAGAAGATTCTTTGTGTAGTTGGAGCTCCGAGCCTGAAAGTTTGTGTAATAACTGGCGAGGATGGAGACGACCAAATCTTCAAATGTCTTTTGCACCCCGAACTGTTAAGAAGGCCGTTCAAGGTAATTCACTCAGCTGATCCTTTGTTTGAAATCATCGACATGACGAATTTGAATATTTCATGGATTTGGCTTATTTAAAGTTAAAAATATTCCTATTTTATGTCATAATTTGATGACATAACAGCTATACGTTCATATTTTCTTTGAGTGTTGATGTGGTGTACTATAGATAGCGAAATTAGATAGGTACATTATGTTTATAGTGTTGCAGTACAAAGAACAGGTGTTGTGAAGTCATTTACCTTTGTAGTGCACCAAGCAGTTAATAATACCATACATTTAAAATCCCGGCCCTTTCTGATGTTGTCTTTGTTGCTTTGTCTTTATATATAGCATATTGATTTAATTTTTGTGTATCATGTATGAAAGTTAATAATTGTAGTAAACTTTCACAACTTTCACATTTTAGAACAAATTGAAAAATAATTCATAAATGAGAAGTTGTGTTTGAACTCCTTTGCTTTAACAATATAGGTTTACAGATTCTAAAAATAACTTGTTTCTATCTGTATTTACTATGTGTTCTTTATTATAAAAATAAACAGATGTCATATTAAAGCAATGTATTGAAATTTATAGATTCTATACTTGTAAAGACCTCTTTTTTCAATGAGCTAGATAATGGGTAAATTATAGAATGCCACCAACTTTGACATAATTCTCATGGGTCTTTAACATGCATATGTATCTCATACATGTTTATATCATATGCTTGTATAAGTAATATAATATTAAGTATAATATAGTAAAGATCTTTAGTGTTAATAGCTGATTAAGTTTATGAAATAAGTAATTTAGGGGTATGTAAACCATATTTTGTCATTATTGCCTTTCTATTTGAGTCTTCATAGACTTCTTTTATCTAAGTGAAATAATCCATATTATGTAATATTTCCATTTATTAATTTAAATAACTTTTGACTATAGCCTTTTTTATAGAATTTATAATATTCTTGTTGTCAAAATTTACCTATGTTAAATTATTAAGCTAATTTGCTAAAGAGATGAATTAGAAGGATAGAGAGAAAGAGAGAGAGAGAGCGAAAGAAAGAGAGAGATTGAACTTGAAAAGAACAAAGAGTTTAAGAAGTTTCACTTTGAATATTTTACAAGTGTTTGCAAGGAGTATGTATATTAGTATTGTGTATATTATTTATGTATGGATATAATTGTTCTAATTTATGTATGTTTAGCTTCACATTAAATTTTTTTTAATATGCACCTAATCATTCCTTCTATAATCCCTTCTACCCAAAGGTTGCCTGGAGGAGATTGCTCAGCATAAGACCACCTTTTATGCAACACTATACTTATTGAAAATCTTTCAACTATTTCTATAATATTAGTGCAATAAAGTGTTAAATAAATAAAGGATGAGTTGAAGTCATTCAATATTTCACAATGAAATTATACTAATGACATTTAGTTTTAATAAATGAATTATTGACTTCCCTTATGAGTATTTTTCTTACAGTTAAAATATTGATGAGATTTATAATTTTTATTGTGCTATAGGCTTTTTTTTAACAAATTGAATATTATGATAAAAATATAATTATATTTTTAAACTAGTTTAAGTATTTTTGTATATTTCTTGAAATGATGAATAAGCTGACTGCCTATTTGATAGAAATTAGTAATGGAAGCTATTGCCTATTAATATAAACAGCACTAAGGACGTACATAAAATATACAAAATAAATCAGTAAAAATTTTAAAACAGTAAATATTATTCAGAGGGAATTGGGAACAAAATATTGTTTTTTGTCAAATGTAATAATTTAGAATACATCAGCCTAGATTTAGTTATATTTTATATCATTACTGATAATTATACTATATGTGCTGTTTTGTTAAGTCATTTGTCTATAATTTGTAATGTATAAGTCCACAATTGACAAGAATTTGAAACATATTGATAAACATTATTGATCAAGTGATCCTAAGGGATAAATAGATATTTATGTCTCTAAAATTTAGACATATAATTAAAGAAAAGTAATTTTCAGATAAAACTGTGTCCACTCTAAGTGAGCTAGCAGCAAAGTGTGTAGCAAGTCATATACCATTTGAACTTGTGGAACATGTATATCCACCAGTACCAGAGCAATTGCAGTTACAAATTGCATTTTGGAGTTTTCCTGATAGCGAAGATGATATTCGGTTGTATTCTTGCTTGGCTAATGGGTCAGCGGATGAGTTCCAGAGAGGAGAACATCTGTTCCGCGATAGAGCTGTTAAAGATGTACTGCAAATTGGTAAGTTACAAATATGTTCCAGGTAGTTTCCTGATTTGTCAGTATAATTCAATATCCTTTCACTCAATAAACTTGCATTAAACTTGTGGGGTATGTAAAACACTAATGCTCACTTATTTATATTCGAACAATGTCATGCTGCCAATTCAGGTGACAATAATTTTAGTTTTGAATAAATGTTTAAAATCATATTTCAATAATTAAGTCCTTACTAATTTCTGATTAATTTTACAGGCTTCCACTTGTCAGCAACAGTTATCCTTACTATGCCTCGTACTCAGTTCAATGTAGCAGTAACATTTGACCGACAAAGGATATCATCATGCAACTGTACATGCTCATCTATGGCACATTGGTGTTCACATATTGTAGCAGTTTGCCTCTACAGAATACACCTAGTAAGTAATTAATTGTAAATTCTATAAAATATTATTTAATATATTCTAAATGAAGGTGTAGAAACAATACAATATGTCACCATTCCTTTGTATATGTAGTGTATCATAGATAAAATAAAATTATGTACCATTAAAACAATAAATTTGGTGAGTGTATTAATAGTGGAATATTTACAGTGGAATGTTAATGGGCTATGTTAGTGTCTATAAAACAATGTCGCCTGTTGCTTTGTATTTGTTTTATGCTTTAAAACAATGTGATGGATGATAAGTTCAGATAATTTATCTAAGTGAAGGAGAAAATCCATATCCATAACCTTTAAGTTTGTTTGAAACTGTAAAATATATGTCTTTTAATTTATATTTATCACAAAGGTAGCAAGATTCACATAGCTGAGTAATTAAGTTTCACGTCATAAAATAGAAATATGTTAAATGTGTGAACGCTTGTATATATTTCATTGTGAAGTAAGGGGGCAGAGGGGTCGTTCTGTTATTTGACGTAGGCCATGTATTTGCATGTATTTGCTTACTGCAAATTATATTAACTATATTACATATAAATTATATTACATTCGATGAGTAAGGTTGTAATTATAGTTCAATTATATGACTCAGGCAGGAAGGTAACTAATCTTTCCTAACTTTTATAATGATCACACTTCTCTTGCTAAGAATAAAACTGACCTAAATATCAGAGATCTGACAACGGTAGCTTACTGATGTTATCTTGACTATACATCGTTATTTATTACATTATGAATTAGGATTTATTATGTTTTGACATTGTAGTAACATTTTGTTTGTTTTTCTTTTTCTTCAAATCTGCTTATAATGGTGTATCTTTATTTAAAACTAGTGACGCGCCCCAGCTTTCTATGAGTAGATAGGTAGAAAGATACATAAAATACAGCCCATGTTACTTGTTTTCTATAGATGAAAGAATTTTTAATCTTAGTTAAGTATTTTTTGAGTTTACCCATCTGAAAACGAATATCAAATTTTTCTTTTTATAATATTAGTTAAAACAGCAATGGGCGGTTTCTTTAACGTAATTCTTTATTGCCTTTTAACGTAACACATATTCTATATAATATACAAGTATTCATTACTAAGTTTTAATATATACATAAAGTGATATGTATTTTGGTGGAAATGCTGTAGCAAGTTTTAATTCAATAACATGAAATAATAGTGATGTGTCATATATGCATTTGTAACCTTTGTATATGAATAAGAATATGTGATATTTATTAAAAACATTTCAAAAAGAACAGTCTAATGTTACTTAGGTGTGTAGTGTGTTTTGTTATAAAATTTTCCTGAACACATATTTTCCTTATCGCAGCTCTAATTTTTAAATGAATCAGTGTTGGAACGAAATAGGTAGATATTTCCATTTAATAATTCATTAGTTTATTTAGTTATAACTTCTTACTTGGTCCTGAATAAGGGGTTGTTAAAAGCTATTCACATTAATTATTTATAATAATATGTTATTTATTTATCTTTGAATAATACCCTTTAAATCAGTGTCAAATTATATAATTGTATATTGTCTATGACGTTAGCAGTATCATACACCTTGTTTATATCACGACGTTTATGGTACTTATGTGGGGACCCATACATTGTACTATAACCGCGTTGCAAATTTAGAGCATTAAACTGCTACCACTTTTGTTAAAGATTAGAATTCTTGAGAGATCATATTCTGGCTATGGAGATTTTTAAGGGATAACCCCGTTTGCGCTATTGGTATACTCTGACAGAAAACGAGTAAGTGATGATGCATGAGGATATAATCAAGTCATTTGATATATTTCGACAAATTTACTAGGCGTTACTCGCGTAATAACAATCCCTTTCCCTTCCCGAATTGTACGGTTATGTACTTACGCCAGTTACAAGATTACTTAAATTTGTATACACCATTAGACAAATTTGTATTTTAGCCAACACAAGTATGTCTGAGAGCGCCAGTATCAGAATCTCTGCAACGGTTACGAAGAGATCAGCTCCAAAAGTTCGCGCAATACCTCATATGGGAGCTGCCTCGCCAAGTGTTACCAACAGCCCAACGAATATTGGACGAACTATTATCAGCTCAGCCGAATCTTATAAACACGACGTGTGGCGCTCCTGACCCAACCGCAGGTGCCTCGGCCTACGAATACACCTCGTGGTTCCTGGACGAGAAAACTTTGCACAACAATATCAATAAGATTTTAGTCAAGTTCTGTGTTCCAGCCCCTATAGTCTTTAGGTAAGTGTTGTATTGGTACTTCATTATGTTTGGTGAACATATATCAATTTCAGTGTACTGTAGGGCAAGTTGTAATGTAAATAATAAAAATAATGATTAAGATGAAGATGATTTTTTTTTTCTATTTTAGACTAATTCTGGTTCATGTAAATGTCTTTAAAAAACTGGTTACAGTTATTAATCTCCATTAAATTATGTGTTGTCGTTGAATATCAAAAGTATGTTTTATTCATATTGTCTTGAAATAAAATTTTACTACTTTATTCTATACCAATTAATACAGGAGAAGTTAAATAAATTTATATAAAAGTTAGTACTTGGTGTCAGATTGTACTCGTAGGATTTAATATTTTTTTTATTAATTTGATATAATGTTTAATAATAATAACAATTGGGGTATACTTACTATTTTAGTGACGTAAATTACCTAAGCACAAGCGCACCACCGGCGGCAGCGGAGTGGTCATCGCTATTACGACCTTTGCGCGGGAGGGAGCCAGAGGGCATGTGGAATCTACTGTCTATAGTCAGGGAGATGTTCAAACGCAATGACAGAAACGCTATACCACTTCTAGAAATTATTACTGAAGAGGTTATGGCATGTGAACAGGTGAGTAATAATAAGTGCCACTCAAATTATATCGATTGATTATGTTAGGAACCTGAGAACAAATATCTTAGGAAAAAAATACATAGTTGTATATAAAGAACATTGATATATAGATGTGGAAACAGATAAACAGTTATGTAGTTTCTCCATTACTAATATTGTAAATACATGCTTTCTAAACTTGTTTTCTATCAGTAAAACTAAATATTTGTCGGATTGAAACATGTGATCAAAACGACAAAAAAAATTTAGTTGTATCCTAAATTGTCGTGAGTATGAAGATACAAACATTTTGAAATTATTTGACCTATGTTTCTTTGAGACAACTATTTAGTTTCGTCGGTAGAGCACTCGTAAAAGGATGCCAGTGAATGGTTTTATACTTTACTGTAGTATGATATAATAGTGTTTATATCATATTAATATTTTGGTTTTATTTCTCTACACAGATTATAGTGTGGTGGTACAGCACAAAGGCGGCGCTGGTGGCGTGGGGTGGAGGAGGAGGAGGCGGTAAACATGGCGGTGGCGGAGGCAATTCCGCTGCCCAGCATGCTTGTTCGTCGCTATGTGATGAGGTATACATTTCTGAATAAGGCTTTGTTGCCCATAAGTAGGATGTCACAAAAACCTTTAATGATTTGCCTGCTGAGGTTTTCCTTAGACACTGTAGTATGGGGTTCTTTAAAAAGGGTGTATTAAGGTTTCTTAATGATCGGCAACGTGTACATGCCTGATGTTATAGGCGTTCTTAGGCTACAGTAACCTTGTTTACTGTCAGACGGGCCGTATGCTTGTTTACCAATTTGTAGTATAAAAAATAGTATTTTTTTTACACTTAATAGACTTTAATACCCTATACTATCATCATGCAGTGCAAATATAGTATTTCTTAATTAACATACCTTTATTTGCTTACAGTAATTGCAATTATAAATTCGAATTCCGATGACAAATTATATAAACTAATTTTATTTTATCAGGTGGTTGTATTATGGCGGCTCGCTGCATTGAATCCAGCTTTGGCGCCTCATGAACGTGATACACTGCACGAACAATTTGCTCAATGGCACATGAAAGTCCTCGATAAGGTAAGAAATAATTATAAAAGCTGTTTATGACATATTAAGTACTAGTTGTTGCCCGCGGCTTTGCACGCGTGGTGTCGTGTTTCTCCTTTATGTTGAAATTTTCTAAAATCTTTCTTAGTGGATGTTTATATTGTTATACTATTGCATTAGGACATAGATTTATTAACCTATGTTAAAAATTTTTGCTTTCTAGACTTAATAGCGTTGTTGTGTTGATAGTTAGCACAAATTATATTATAAGAATAGATCGATGGTCATAATTTTAGGTTAAAGTAATTGGAATTAATTATGCAGAAAACATTACTTGGGATGTCTATAAGAGATAACTGTTTGACTAGGTCCGTTTGTAATTCTTAATGTGCATTTAATATTCTTAATTTGTATAAAAATCTAACAAATACACACACTATTAAAATATAATCAAACAAAAAAAATACTAAAGTAATGAACTTTGTTAGTCTAGTGTCTCATTTTATTATCCATTACCATGTTTAAAAAAATAAAATTTTTGTAGATGCCTCGCCTATGTCATTTATCACTAATTCATGGTTTAATTTCTAAACTAAGTAATTTTCACTGTGTATGATGGTACTTCAGTCAAACTTTTTAATTATAGTATTGGTTTCATTTTACTTTTTGGAGAAAAAATAATCGTTTATTTAGTAATTTGTCTTTAATGTAGTTATAGCTTGTAAATTGGGAACTTAAGAAATACGAGTATATAACTATGGCAAATGTCTCATTCATAAAATGTGTGTACACATAAAACTTATATCAGAGAACAGTATGTTAAATTTGTTTATTGTTTTACTAATAACAGAACTATTTCATATTAGGTGGCTAAGAATCGTAACAACCATATGGGCAGTTCCTCGCATACGCGACATACTCGCGCGCACTCCCATCCTCCATATATCAATGGCATCAGCGAAAACGAAGTATTTCCGGGATTCCACCCAGCAATGGAAGCATGTTTTCTGGAATGGGACGACTATCAGATACCAGGGGTGACATACACAAAGGATTTGAACCCGTTATATCACAGTCCATTTACTATATTCAGACATGCTGATAAGCAGAGCGAGAGTGTTCATCAGGTTGGTATGACTAGTATCTCACATAGATTATATATGCAACGAGTTATGTAATCAAAAAGAACTACTAAGTGCTAATGTCATCTTCCTACCCTTATCCCAATTATTGTTTGGGGTCGGCGTAATATGTTTTTATCCATATTACAAAAAGATTTGGCTTTTAGTTTTACGACCGGCCACCTGCCTGACGTCAACCCTCTTTGGGAAATACTAAGTGCCAATATACAATATGTAAATACGTATTTATTATAACGATCGAACTAAACGAAATTTCGGGGCCAAACGAAACTAATTTGATGTTAAAATTACATAATACACACTGATTAAAAATATTATTTAATAAATAGACTTTCATGGTAGGATTTATGACGAACGAAATGTTAAACTTCATTTACTGAGCCGATTTTGGTATGAACGAAAACACGAAATTGAATCCGAAAATTCCGAATTTCGTTTTATGGTAGACCCCCAGATCCCATTTATGTTCCAACCATTACCTTCAAGGTATTGTGAATCCACTCATATTGAACTGTCTTTCTTTTGTTTTCTATTTTCGCAGGCAGTTCTACTTTACCAGAAAGTCGTGCCAATCCTCCGTGCAAATACAGTCTATTGAAGTACAGAGTGGGTACCTACCCATTCTGTATCTACGCCGCAACGCATTTATATTCATCCGCACCACCATTTTAAAGTTTTTTAATAATAAAATAATAATAAAAGCGTCATGTCTTAGGTTCCTTAAAAAGTTATAAAAGCAATAGTAAAAATGTCATATAACAATTATTATTACAATTTTTTTTCCAGGTGAATTCCTCCAAAGCCGTTTTAAATAATGAAATGTCTCTCAGCTATAGACTGACAAACCCTGATACATCGATGCAGGGTCATCGCACAATAGTACATAGAAATAGTCGCATTAATGTCGATTTAGCTATTCCCGGACCCTCCGGCCAGGTAAGATGTCTTAGAATATTTTAATGATTATTTTTTTTACTATAACAAATTTTGTAATTGACTTTGATTTAAAGATGATATGAAAAAATTGATTTTGTATTAAAAAATGTATTTATATATTTTTTTTAGCCCTGTGGTTCTGGGGAAGGTCCAAATGAACCTCCACGGGATTCTGGTCCCAGTGACGGTAACCATTCTAGTGTATCGTCGGAAGGTGAGTTTTTGACATAAGTCACCTGTTAATTTATTTGTGAAACCGATTATCCACCTTTTTACTGTGATTAATTTTATGTGGCCATTGCTTCTATGGCTCAGTCTCTATCTCTATAGTTTAGTCAGTCTATATTATAAGATATTTCTAAAAAGCTTCTGTTTACTTTTAGGAGCAATTATAATGTTGTCTATATAAATAGTTTATTATTTATTATGTATTTTAAAAATAAGAATATAATGAGAATATATTATATAGGTTTCTGTGAAAATGAGGAGGAGATCCTTCAGCAAAGCGGCGGAGACACTGACTCGCAAGAATCGAGTTCGCCACCCGTATCATCGGACGACGCTCAACGACGAATATCGAATGACGACTCAGTGTCGGATGATGACTGCAATTTGTACTTTTACGATGCTGCGGCTGCTCGCCGCGCGGTATCAGGAGAAGGCAGTTCTGGGACCGCTGTTGTGAGTGTTCATGATAAATTAGTTGAAGTTATTAGTCGGTATTGGGAAGAGTTGGTGCAACTCATTTGTTAAGGTGGTATCAATGGGCAGGATTCTTTTTTATATAATAGTTCAACATGTATTACACATACAAACATAGACATGAAAGAAATGTGAAGAAAAAAATATTTTGCTGAATTATGTCGCCTCACTAGTTGTTTATGCTATGCTTGAAGGATTGGAGATTATAATCAAGTCTGAAGTACAAAATATATACTTTAGTTTTCAATAGTCCAGAAATTTGGTAATTTAACATTCAATTGGGTAAGTGGTTTCTCCGAAAGATCTGAGCTATGGATCAAAATGCTACTAAATGCTACAATGTCTAATTAAATAAATTTAATGAAACATTATGTATAGATTGTGTGGGCCTGGCTTAATTTGTTTGTTCTCAATAATCAAGTATAATGTTTTATTTGATATTGTTGCCATAAAGGTGACTTTATGTTCTTGTTAAAATTACAAGTTATAGAGGTAAAACACCTCTGTTTTAAATTAATATATAAATATATAATATATAATCATTATAATTGTCAGTGTTACGGTAGTAATTAGTGTTTGTTGTATAGCCGTCAGGGTCTAGCAGTACGGGTGCAGGCGCCGGGTCGAGTGGTACTGCAGACGGCGCTACGCTGGAAGGCTGGGAGTGCGGCTGGGAGGTGTCGTTTGCACGCGCCGAGGGTTTGCAGGCCCACGGGCATGCACGGGAAGCGTGCGCGCTGGGTATGTTGCTCGTATTCGTTATTGTATGTACGTTCGGTATAATAATTATTAGCAAACGGTAGGTTATCAATTTGTTTGATTTTTTTTTTGTGATGACCTTAATTTTCAAATTCTTTCATTTGATGTCTATATTGACAGGATTGACAAAATATACATCATCCGCCATCTTGTTGCGGTGGCTATTTTGAAAGTATTATAGTATCAAGTATTGCATATTGTATTATCATTAGAACCATAGGTAATATAATATTGTGTTGTATGTAAAATTTCAATAAAACCTGTTAGAAGGAATCAGTTTAACTTCAATTTGCAAGACTTGACATAAAGTAAATTAAATTGATTTAATTTGGTTTTATTTTAATTTGTTTAATACTAAAAGTTTGTAGAGATGTTAATATGTTTGTCACTTAATCACGCTTAAACGGCTGAACGGATTTCAATGAAATTTATTACACGGACAGATTATATCCTAGCTTAACACACAGGATGCTTTATATAGTGTTTGACGCATGCATAGTCTCTGGAAACAAGTAATAAATATATAAGGAGCGATGGTATGAGTGTGTGTGCGTGTGCAGGCGCGCGGCTGGCGCGCGAGCTGCTGGCGCGGCCGCCGGCGCTGGGCGCGGGCGCGTGCAGCGCGGCGCCGCACGACCCGCGCCGCGCGCGCCGCCGCCACGCGCCCTCGCCGCGCCTGTGCGCCGCCTCGCACCGCCTCTCCTGCCTCGCCTCCGCCACGCTCGCCAAGTGCGCCTTCCTCTGCACGGTCAGTAGCGCGCGTACGCACCGACACAAGCACACGCACACACGCACACACGTACGGATACATACACGCACGAACACACACACGCATGGACACGCACACGCACGACGGATACACGCGTAAGCACGGACACACGCACACGCACGGAAACATACACGCACGAACACATACATGCATGCACAGTGGACTCACGTACACGCATACGATTGAGGTGAGGGGAAGATTAATTGGTAGTAATTGACTCTAACGGCTAATATACAGATATATTTGACTCCTTGTAACTTCAGTTTTTATTGAAAGCTAGAAATATATAAATACATAATGTTTACATATAAAATGTTTGTGTTACATGATTGGGGTGAGGGGAAGATTAATTGGTAGTTATTGACTCTAGCAGCTATTAATATACAGTACGTTAATTAACTTGCCTTGTAACCCCAGCATAGTATAGGCCTTCCTTTCCTTTCCTGTAGGTGTCATGGGTGGCGACTAAGGGAACTAAGTGGTCGAGGGATTGCCAGCAACACCCTTCTTAAAACATCTGTAAAGCCCAACTGCAATTGCCAACTTGTCTGCCAAGTGTGCCAACTAATGTGTTGGCAAAATATCTTTCTTATAAAGGAGGCCTATGTCCAGCAGTGGACAGTTAAGACAATAATAACCCATTGCTTAAAACTAGTGTTAGTATTCATTGATTTTTTTTTAGGAAAATGTTTCGTTAGTTAACAAACTGTATAATATCCTATCAGGCTGATCTGTACTCATTTCTTTCTGGAAATCATTGTGATTAATTTCTGATCAATATCATCATGATAAATTCGTAACATTTTTTTGTTTTTTCCTGACTGTAATCTTACCTGTCATCACTAACTGATGTCTCACTTGTGATATAAAGAGCGCAGGCTATTATATTATATAAAAACGCAGGCACGGGATACGAAAAGACATACATACATATCTGTCACGCCTGTCTCCCATTAGGGTAGACAGAAACAATGGAATGCCAAATGTTTCGATTCAAACAAACCTCTTTCGCTTCTTCCACATCCATCAATCTTGTCATACACGCTCGCCGGTTACGGGTACTTTTAATTTGGCCCTTCTTCAGCACGTCGCCTATTTGGTCGACATACGTTCGTCTATACGAAAAGACATCGACTCTAAATTTAACTTAATCACACATTAACATTTACACATATACAAAAACACCTTCACTCTTTCTTAACATTTTTATACTACATTCAATTACATAAAATGTCATTGTTATTTCTATACTAATTGCTAATATTATTCTCCTTAACTAAATTAGATAGATAATGTATTTGCATTACTTACAGCACACAAATAACAATACAAACATACACATAATACAGATACACAGTAAAAGAGATAAAGAATCAAAAACAAAAAAAGCAATAAACAAAAAAAAAAAAGCAGAATATATAAAACAACAATTTACTTTTTCATGCGTGTGTCATAGTAACACAAAATGGTCACAACTCAGTTTATTGCTTTGCCCTCAAAAGAGCAAAACACTGATATTCTACTGTGGCTAAGAGTCAGTCGAGAAATTCCTTAATAAAAAGAAATATGAATATAATACATTGTGTGTCCATTACATTTGCCTCCATTTGATATTTTATTCTAAATAAATAACAGATACCATTAGATGAGGGGTAGTCAGAGGTAACTTTATGTCACATTTATAGTTCTAAGAATTAAAAAAAAAATAGATTAATTAATTAAAAAGAATTATTAACTCAGATTTTGATACAATTCAGCTTAAATTTTTATTTTATTACTCTATTAACTTCCATCAAAATCTACATTGATTTTTGACACACGATGCGTGGTCATTTTCACAGGCAGTCTTTTATTATAATTATATGTAAGTAGAGATGCAAGGTGAGATAAAAAAAAAAATATAACAAATATAAACAGTTAAATCATAAAGTAACAAACTTATACAGGTTCTCGCGGAATTCAGCGAGCATCACGAATTAGCGTTCCGAGTAGGTTTGTTTGCACTCGAGATGGCCCGACCGCCCGCCAGTACGAAGGCTTTGGAGGTGAAGTTGAACAATCAGGAGACTGAACTAGTCGCTTTGTTGAAGAAACTGCCGACAGGACCCGAGCAGCTTGCTTTAGCTCGCGAAAAGGCTGAACAACTTCGAGATGGCACCCTGAGGTAAGTATAATCTAGTATATTAGATTTTTATTAACTAAATCATGTACTTAATTTTGTTGAGAGTGATAATCAACATTTTTAATTAAAATTTTAGCTGCAGCGAGGTTTGAAGCTGCATCTCTTCCGCACGCATCAGATACTTTTTATATAAGAAATTGGCTAATTATTATATACTATTATAATTACTTATATATATATATATATATATATATATATATATATATATATATATATATATATATATATATATATATATATATATATATATATATATATATATATATATATATATATATATATATATATATATATATATATATATATATATATATATATATATATATATATATATATATATATATATATATGTAGAGGCCGCACCGAACATTCGAAAATTATATCATATTCATTATTTTAATTTAAAAGGATAATAATAGTATTGTTTTCGACCTTATAATTAATGTATTTAAATTGATTATTATAGGAATCGTGGCCCAGCTCTATTGCCTATTGCATTGGCAAGTTTCTTGTTTGATGTCCTCGTTTTATCGGCAACTGACAAAGAAAATAAACATCCGGTGAGTTCTAACTTTATTTAAAAACAAAAAATGCGCATCATTACATTTATGTCGTCATTACAAACTTATCCATTATGTTGCCAGGCAAGAGTACCCACTGATGAAACCTTGGGTTTCGAAGCAGCTGTAGCTGCTTTAGGGCTTAAGGCAAATGTGTCTGAAGCGGAACATCCATTATTATGTGAGGGCACTAGGCGCCAGCGCGGAGAGTTAGCGCTTACATTGCTCTCTTTCTACAAAGATGATCCTGTTAAATTGGCCAGGATAATGAATAAGGTATGTTATTATCGTCTTCATAATTTCTGTCATTTATAGTTACTGGTAAACTGCCTTGCGGTCGTGCCATATGGTAATCGATGGGCGAGCCCTATTTTCAGCATTGGACAAATGCCAAAAATTGTTTTCAGTTTAAAGTTTTCAGATTGGCATTTCTCTATCATGAAATTACAGAGTCAATGAATCTATTATTCAAATATGATGATCTATGTTATTTTTTTTTATACACTGAGTCTAACAATTGAGAATATGGTTCATTTAATTTCAGCTATATCTGACGTATATCGCGCTACCTTAATATAGTAACAGTCCACAACTTAGCTTCTAAGTAAATTATATCCTTGTAATTTTTAAACTAATTTCGGTTGTTTTTGTTTAATCAAATATTTATTTTTGAACAAAATCTTATAAAACATATTGTTTGCAGCTGTTGGACCGTGAAATCCACCAGCTGACTAAGGGGCCGATGGTGAGCATGTACTACACGAACAACCCGCGCCTCTCCGCGTATAGGCCTGATGCTCCACTGCCGACAGCCTATCCTCAACACCAGCAGCATCCCCAGCATCCGCAACACCCACAGCACCAGCAACATCCGCAGCACCCGGCGCATGCGCAGCTGTGCATGCCACCGCCGGTTAGTTTTATTAAATTTTGTTACGTCTATTTTTCATTTCTTTGTCTATATTTGTAATCTAAACTGACAGGTTGCATATTTGTAACTTTGAAAATAAAATGTCTTGGCAATTCTCTCATCCAGCATGGTAATAATAATGTTCACTTTTTATTGGAAGTGACATGTGGCCAGCAATGCATCAGAGTTGTGTCCTCTGTAAAGAAAATTTCTCATTTGTGTTAATTGGTTATTTTTCTGCTGAAGTTGAATACCAAATTGAATGATAGGAGCAGAAGAAATATCTATTCGAAAATGTTTAAAATTAAGTTTACTTGAATAATAATGATTTTTATTTATTTGCCAAAGGTTCATGGGAGTTATGGTATACTATGAATTGTTATGGTTTATGATGATAATGAGATTGACATTGTGTCTTATATAGCAACCTCAGTGTCCTCTGGTAGCGGATATGGAGCGGTTAGTGGTAGCAGAAAGCAGCAGCGGATCTCCGCCTGCACATCCACATCCGCCGCATCAACAGCATCCGCAACACCCACAGCATCCTCAACACCCTCAGCATACACAACACCCGCAGCATCCACCGCTAGCAAGACCGAAGGATTCTAGGTATAATATCGAACATTATATATTTGACTCCTTGTAACTTCAGTTTTTATTGAAAGCTAGAAATATATGAATACACAATGTTTACTGTATAAAATGTTTATGTTACAGATATAAAGGGAAACGTGTTTACCCGTCCGTACCGAATCAACCATCGGAAGCCTCAGCACATTTTATGTTTGAACTTGCAAAGTCGGTGCTTTTCAAAGCTGGTGGCTCATCTAGTACCAGCCTCTTCACTCAAACTTCTTGCGCCAGAGAACATCATGGCCCTCATAGGTAATATAATCTTAGTTCCTAAAAAAATAAGTGATAAGACTGAAATAATATACAATGAAATAGAAAAAAATTGAAATGAGTATTATAAGTACATATAATATATATTTAATTATTATATTCTTTTTCAGAGGTTTACACATGGCTGCATTTCAGCTAGGTCTATATGCACTGGGCCTTCATAATTGCGTTAGTGCAAACTGGTTAAGTCGCACTTATTCGTCACATGTCAGCTGGATCACAGGTTAGTTGTTATTTAGTTTACCTACATATTTACAATTCATTCCTTTCCACGGTTTGTGAATTATTATGTGAGAAGTGCACCTTTTTAGTAGTGGAACAGTGTTTAGAACTGGTTTTATACACTTGTGATGATAGTGCATAATTGTATATGTTGTCTGTCTGTTTCCTTACGTTTAATCTGTGTTCACATTACAATCTTTCATATCGCGTGATTATAAGCATTATTTTTCATTAAAAGTATCTCCCACTGGAAATGGTTCATAGGATATGTTATAGATCATACACCTATGAAACTGTAATACTTCTAATGGTCCTTTGAGCCGGATTTGAATGTGATAATTTAACTGCATGCCCAGACTATGATCTGAAAGGCTTCTACATATATATTAGTCTAGACAGAATATAAATAATGATGGACATTATTAATTTTTTTAGGACAAGCAATGGACATAGGTGCGCCAGCCATTCTATTTCTTATAGATGCTTGGGAAGGACATCTGACGCCACCAGAAGCAGCTGGTATTGCCGACAAGGTAAAATATATTTTGCAAGCAATTTTCAATTACTTGCATACAAATAATTATAAACATAGCTAGAGTATAACTGGAAAGTTTAATATTGTCGACTTTTGAACATAAGTTTATGTATTCTTTCTTAATAAACAGGGTAGTAAACAAATGGGGTACAACATTATCCTATCCAAATTACATAAATATAATTTATGAAAGTAAACAATTTTGTTTGTATGTGTCCAGGCTTCATCAGGACGTGACGTGGCGACGGTTCGCGCGGCGGCTGAGCTAGCCCTATCAGTGTTACCGCATGCTCATGCACTTAATTATAATGAAATCCAGCGAGCCGTGCTGCAGTGCAAGGAACAGAGTGATGCCATGCTTGAGCGTGCCTGTCTTACCGTAGAGGCTGCCGCTAAAGGTACTGTCTTCCTACACACAAAAATTACTATTTATAATTCTGCTAAGATATAAATAATAAATTCCGAACCTGTTGGGTTCAGAATATTTTAATTTATTGGAAAAAAACCCGGAAGAAACTCAGCAGTGATTGTTTTAATTTTTTTTTGTACAAGATAATCTTATATTTGTATGGGTACAATGACTATTATTTTAATTGTTCACAGAGTTATTTAGGTATATTTTTTCAATCAGTCATAAGCAGTAAACATAGCAGATCAGTCACAAGTAGTTTGTTGTTATACTCGTGAAAGGGTATGACGAAATCTCATATTACTAGCTTATATACATAAATATGTGATAAAGAGGTATATATGTGCAGGTGGCGGCGTGTACCCCGAGGTGCTGTACACAGTGGCGCGGTATTGGCACGAGTTGTACCTGCGGCAGGCCAGCGAGGAAGAACCTCCGGACGAACCGCACTATCGCGCGCCGCCACCCGTTGCGCTACCTGTGCCGTACCCGCTGCCGTATCCCTTCACTTACCATCCATATCCGCCGCATATATATCAGCTACAGGTATGTTTTTTTTTAGGGAAAGGTGTGTAAAAAATGCATAAAGTTGTGCTTGCGTGGCTGTTTCGTTTTAAAGGGTAGGATTTCTTTTTCTTAGTGGATTCTTTAAGGTTTAGATCGTTACCACCAGGAATGCTTCTTCCACTGAATGCTTTTCTGGTTTCACTGTCTTGGGCCATATAGATCGCTGACTGAATATTCTGTCATATAGTATATTCGTTTGTATGATTTATATAAGTTTTCGTATCACTGAGCGTCAATGATACTAATGAATATAGATAGAGTTGTACAAAATATATAGAGCGGTATCTCTTTGAAGTGATATTAATAGTCACGTGTCGACGTTCTTTTACACTATTATGGTTTAAAAGAAGACATTGTGTACATACAGTACGGCGGTGCGCCCGCTCCGCATCCGGGCGCGCAGTACGCGCTGCCGCCGTACTTCGTGCGCGGGCTGGTGGCGCCCGCGCCGCCGCCGCACCCGTCGCTGCCGCCGCACGCGCCGCACGCGCCGCACGCCGCCCACGCGTCGCACGCCGCCCACGCGCCGCACACCACCCACGCGGCCCATGCGCCTCATCCGCAGCCGCACCCGCAACACCCGCAGCACATTGCGCATCCGCCGCCCATCGCTGTCAATGTGAGATTATTTATGTGACGTTGTTATAACTTTGTATTCATTAAGGAAGGCGTGCATACTATTCTGGGAATAGTGTTATAATTTTTAATTTTTTTCCCGAGAAAGTGATACTAAATGCGTCTTGTAAGTTTTTTCGAAAGGCGACATGGCGAAACGCATTTTTTGTATAAAAATGTTGAACAAATTGCGATTTGCGTAAGTCGCAAATGTTGCTGGGTCAACCATGTAGTATCTCGTCTAACTTCCGTTTTTCTCCAACCTATTTACAACTTCAAATGACTCAGATAGCTCCAATGGATCATATTTCAGGCTACAATATCATCTGAAATACTCATAATATACATCAATATTAAGTGTCACAAACATCGTTTAATGAAATACAAAGAATAATATGTAAACTGTTGTGTGTTGTTGAGGTCGTTCATGTTTCTAAAATCTGTAATAAATCTGTTCTTTTTTTTTTTTCTTAATTTGAAGCTTAGTTCATACTACAAATCATTATTAAATTAATTGTGTTAATATTGATATTCGTGTAATTGTTATTGTTATTTTGGGCAGCACCCAGCACCGATTCCACCGCCAATGCCGGCGGCCCACAGCAGCGTGGCCAACGTGAGCCTGCCACCGGGTGTGGCTGCGGTGAGCGCTGTGAGCGCAGTGAGCGCAGTGAGCGCAGTGAGCGCAGTGAGCGCGGCCAGCGTGGCCAACGTCAGCGTCGCCGGCGTCAGTGCGCCCGCGCCCGCCCCGGGCCCGCCGCCGCTGCCGCAGGCGCAGCTGCGGCGACTACTCGCCGCGTACAGGGTCGGCATGCTCGCCTTAGAAACGCAGGCTAGGAGGGTTCACGACGACCGACCGCAGAACAAGTTCGGCAGGTGTGCAATTAAGTTTGTCATTGTATGTGGAGTGCAATGTTGTGTTTAATGTGACCAAAGTATCCCTCTTTTAGCTCACTGATAAATTTTAAGCATCTTAAATTATAACTAATATACGTGCCTATTGAACCTAAATAGTCACTTAGAGTGCGGTTTCAAAGGAGTTTTTTCCTGCAGACGCTCAGGCTATGGAATGAGCTTCCCACTGAGGTTTTGTCTAGAAACTACAGTGTGGGGTTCTTCAAAAAGGGTTTATTAAGGTTTCTTCAAGGTTAGCAACATGCAAGTGACCGTTTACAATCAGACGGGCTGTATGCTTGTTTGCCACCTATATGGTATAAAAAAAAGAACACTATTAAATCTTTTTTCTTCAAATTGATATATTTTGGATGTTTGCAGACCTTTGCCCAACCGAGTTTGATTCTATGATGACTCAGTTGAAATCGATCTATAGTAGGAATTTATTATATTATATAAAAATAACAAGACTCATCATCATTACGAAATATTCCAGGAACCCGCCGTACGGCGAGCACGTGAAGTGGCTACTGCGCATATCGAAGCACCTGGGCGCGCAGTACTTGCACCAGTTCTGCGTGTGCGCGGTGAACTCGGTGGTGTCGCCGTTCGTGCTGTACGAGCTGTGCGTGGAGTCGGCGCACTGGCTGGCGCGCGGCGGCCCGCACCACCTCGTCATGCAGCACCTGCGCGGCACGCTCGCGCCGCTCGTGCAGAAGTGCCAGCAGATGTTAGTTACCATTACTTTTTTTTATGGATGAAAATGGTATGGTAACCCCGCCCGCACTGACGGTATACGCTTGCGGAGCACCAGTGAAGGGTGATAGATGAGAATGAAAACAGGCCAGTTAGCCCATCACGATGAATTCATCAGGAATTAACCATGATAGTTTCCAGGGAGAACCACGAGGAGGTCGATCTGGTTAGGTATATTGCTAGCAATGGGATTCTCAGTCTCGATTACTAACAATCCCTTTCCCCCCAAGTTACCATTACTATTACCGGATCGTCACCTATCGTCCCTCACTGGTGCCCGCCGCCAGCGTATACCGATAGCGCAGGCGGGGTTACTATTTCATTATTATACATTAAAAATATCATACTTACCGCGATGAGGAGGGGGGGGGGGGGGGGAATGGATTGTTAGTAATAAGATTTAACAGCTCCATTACTAACAATACACCCTATCAGGTCGACCTCCACGCAGTTCCCTCTGGAAACCATAGTGGTTAATTATTGTTCAATTGGTGACTGGGCCAATTGACCTGTCTTCATCCTCACCTGTCACCCTTCACTGTTGCCCCGCCAGCGTATACCGATAGCGCAGGTGGAGTTACCATTTCATTATCATTCTTTACAAAAAACCATACTTGTACTATTTGCACTAACCGTAACATGCGATATTTTCCACGTTCTTCACACTTTTATCTACTCTTGTCATATTCTATTCAACTTTCTCCGCGCCTCTTATATTTTTACGCTTTCAACACTTGTCACACTTTTCACACTACCCCAACCTACATGTCTGTGATAAACATATCGGTTAGTTAGTATAGGCAAGGGCGTTATTGCTGAATGATTTATGTCTACGTATTGGCTGGTGGGCGGGATGCACTAGCTCATCATACAATGTAAAGTGCCTGCAGATTTCATTATTCATCTTTTTCATACACTTTACATACTTTTCCATTTTGTATACTCTCTGCTTCTCACGCTCTTCTCATTTTCAAAACTCCACACTTCTCGAGTTACCTGCAATTTAAATTTTTAGCCAGCTAGTTAAATTTTTAAATTCAAACCTAGAAATATGAATTTCATTTAAATGCAGTCATATTTTTAAAAGAACACATGAATTGTAGTCATTATAATTTGCAGCTTAATATATACATACTTTGTTTAGGTACATCCAATGCATACATCAAAAGTTGTACCACTTGACATCGGTGGAGTATGAAGAATTTGTAAGCATCGTCCTATCTGCGCGAACAGCCTTCCAATTGACACCGGAAGGTAACACACAGTTCAAAGAGTGGCTCGCGTCTTTGCGCAGGTAAGTTGCTATATACTTATTATCATGTTTTCTTTCACGGCTCCATTGTAATATATATACTTTGTAATAATTGATACATTTAAGAAATACATTTTTTAATGCATTATATTATTTTTTAACCTTATGAATTCATATCTGGAAGTTCGTAAAATTCTCGTTACATATATGTATTGAGATTATAAATATGATGAATAAGATTATGTAGTATGTATGTATGATGATGACAAAAGAAAAGACTTAAATGGAAAAGTCACTGACCTGTACCAATAACACAATATCATCTTAACATAATAAATTGCTTATTCTTTTGCTTTGTATTTTCTAGCAAATCGGAGAATGTTTCTTTTTTTCATTATAGTAGAAATAAACTACTATGTTAATACATGTTTCAAGCGAGGTACTCGCTACGGTTCATTTACACAGCCAGTGGTCGATAGCAAACATAATTTTCAGGTCAAAATCATGCAAGAAAGATCTATGGACGCAACTGAACGCGGCACTGCAAACGAACGGCAAATGACGTCGGCAGCCGATAGTTTGTATGGTGCGGTGCTCCGCGCGCAAACTGTCACACTACAGGCGATGGCCGCGATACCGGCTCCTATACCATCTACATACTCTCTAACTATATTATAAGTTGTGCTATTTGTAATCTCGGTGTCTGAAGCGGACGTGGGCACGGTCAGCCACAGCCGTCTTTTTTCTTGACAGAAACAGAAGTGTTTCAATAATATAGCAGTTTTGACACTTGTCTCTAGTGCACTATAGTCATTCGATCCGATTATTTGAATGCATTAGAGATAACGATTATGATTTATGACATTAATATAAAAGTGAAAGTCATGCATACGGTGCATAAGATATATTTATATATTTATTGACACTTTTATTACAAATATCACAATTTGCGTATTGAAAATGATGGAAATACCTCTGTTAGTAATAGTTTAACTTGATTAGAGGGTAATCGATCTCAGTAAAAACAAACGAACAGAATATTGATCATTGAAAAATGTTGCTAACTCCTAAACGCGCGTGAGGTTACATCTAGTAAGATTGTTTTTCACATACCAATCCCTATTGTAGAAAGTGTATCAATGTGGAGTTGTTAGGATGTTGGCAAACCATCCATCATCGAAAACTAGATCTCAATTTGTACATATTATATTCGTAATTAATCCATTTCTCATTATCAACCATTCACTTCCTTTTTATCACTAACACGGAGAGGTTACAAGCTCATATTGAAGGTTGTGCTTAAAATAGTCGTGAGATTTGGTTGTAATTGGTACTCTATTATAAGACAGTTAAAGACTATCGCTGCTTGATTAACAAAGGAGTTTAGCAACATTTCACTAATTTGCATTATAAATGACGGAATGACATCTCGACTTAGTTGTATGACATCTTTATTTATTCTTTTTATCTTATAGTGTATTTATTGCACAAAATCTTAGTTTTTCGTCCGCTTTACTACTTGACTGTACTATTGGCTAGTCAGTTTGTGGATCCGTCGGAGACCAGCGGGGCTTCAGATGAGCTCATTTAGTTTTCATATATTAATATTAAGGAATTAGTTTGAATTTTATACCTTTTTTTTTTGTTACTATCGCAATTATTATTATGTTGTTGGTATTATAAAAATTCACGAATAACTGGTTTTATATTTATATATAATTTGCAAGTAATAATTCCAAATATAATATGCTCGGTGGACATTGTGTATTAAATACATCTGTAAAGACATAGCAAAGTGTATGGCCTCTGTAGTGCACTGACTCTGTAGTGGGGGGTCTTCATCTAAATGAAGTTTCAGGTTTGATTCTCGGTTAGCTCAATTTAGTAACGAACTTTTCTAGATAGACTCAGGACTAGGTGTATTTTTATTTTTGTGTTTCCATGTTACATGTTATCTTAGTCGGAGGCCCAGGCACTTGGTGTTGTATTGGCACTTTTTAATAGAAATTGAACACTGATAAAAAAAAAAAAACATTCGTAATCATAATAATAAAAAAAAATGAATGAATATAAATTTTTACCAGATATCAACAATGGACATACTAGTCATTTCCAAACTGTCTTGTTGCCACTGGTTTTAATATTTTGGCATGGCTCTGAATATTGAAATAAAAATCTTTAAACTTTTAGTTTATTATGAAGAAATTTTGAAGAAAAAAATGTATAAGTCACAATTGTCCACCAGATATTATCTGTACGATTAAACCAGTTTTTATTTAGCGAATTATTTTGAAGATCTCTTGTCATAATGTTAATGAGTAAGTGTCTAGAAAATATTGACTTCGCTCATCATGTATTCTCCTTTCATTGTTTAGTATAATTTTTTATTAATTTTCTTTTCTGTATTAGAGCAAAATATCGGTTATATTTACGGGAGAGTGTATTATGCATATTTTAAAGTTTTTGAGTATTTTATGCTAACATATGTTAAGCTTAGTGTTTGGGATGTAATGGTTACGTAAATATGGTTTTATTAAAATAAAAAAATAAAACATGTGTAAACCGACAACTATATTGACATTACTATATCTTAAAATCTATTCGGTATATATAAATATTCATAGACTCTCTTAGGTGTCATTAAAGTTGTCGCTTTATAATTGATTGCAACTTTGGACATGACAATTTTATTGTCTAAAATGAATAAGACGTTTCAAAATTATAACAATAGTCCATATTATATTGAGGATTGGCTTAAGATGTTTCAAGTGACCTAAAATAGCGTCATTAGACTACAGAATATTAGACAGAATGTAGGCGATGACCGTCGATACACTATTTTTGATATTCTCTTGTCGAAATTTGCAGTTTCATGAATGTTTATGTAATACGTCTTGCGGATATAAATGTAGACGTGCGTTCGATTAACTATAGTGACTTTATTTACACGTTTATATAATATTATTATATTGTAATGCAAAGTAGCATCTTGAGAGCCTTCGGAGTATAAATATATAATGTAAAGTACGAGCGCTGGCAACAAATACAAGCATGGTATTAATTTGACATATATATTCTATTTTGCTTTATTATTAGCTATTTCAATATTCTGGTTTTAGTTGGTCATAATACTGAATCGGTATACGTTTTGATCCAACTTTTCCATTATGGCAGTAAAATTACTGGTTACAAAGACAACAATTTAAATCTGAAGAATGGTAATACATCAGTCGTTTCATGAGCCTCATAGTGTATCTTTTGGTGTTCATGGTGATATCCTCATCTATAGGCGACAGTTATCACATCCTACTGGGTGGGCTTTAAGCTTGGTTACAATTTTAAATCTTATAGCAACTATTATGATTGATATCAAATAATTGTTTCTTATAAACCACTAAGTAAGGTATGAATAGATTTGGGAATAGGAATGTGAAGACATATTTAATATTTTAAGTTTGTATTTGCTGAAAATCATTCCAAAGTCAGATAGACTTATATACATTATCTACCTACGTATAATAGTAACTTGTGTACTTTGTGTCCCAGTATACTATTTATTGGAATATATTAAGGATCTCTGTATAATAAAATAATACAAAATATACTAAATAAGATCTTCCAACCATGAAGCAATATTAAAATATCATTTTATAAATGTATTTAATAATGATTGTAAGCTATCTAATTTATATCATATAGCGTTTTTTACAGTATACAACATTATATCGAATACACGGAAAATGCATAAGTATTATATTGCGACGTACTATTTTAACTGACACGTATTTATATTCAGTATAAATAATTAAATTAAGAACGTACATCAAATAATAGCTACCGTATACATAAAATGGAAGTGTCAATCCGACATCGTATATAAAATATGAAATTGCTCAAATTAAATACGGAATGTTGTGTGGAAAGTGTAATACACAGCGGGATGTTATCGTGCCTATTTTATATGTCGTCGGAGCAAAGGAAAACGCATCCGTTTGTGCCTTGACAGCAAATGCAGTTAGAGGTTTGCGTATCCTAGTAACATATTCATAAGTAAACAATCGACAATTCAACTACCTTTTATCATGATAATATATGGTACGAAAGTACATCAACGAATTATTATCGTGAGTATAATAACGTTTAGGGTCGCGACCTTCTGAATATCTAAAAATAGTTATATTTGTACGTACAAAGTTTGTAAGTCTTAAGCGCTGCGTTGGTAGATTTTATGCAATGATATCTGTCGCTATATTATGATATTTTCCACCATACGAGTTTTTTTCTCTCTTAGATTCCGTGTGACATGACTAACCTACTTTTTTGTAGCTTTTCCAGGTATAATTTCCCCATCATACAGCGTGTCGGTATTTATTATATTTATATTTTGATTATAGAATACTTTAAAAGTATTTTATCTAAAGAGTCTTTCAAAACATCTCTTATAATTACGATCACAAATTCTATATACGGGTAAATTATTATTTATAAAAAATAAAACATTATTAGAGATGTGATTGCGTTTTTAATCATGTGCCAAAAGTAATACTATGCCAAAACAGCGTGAAAATATTGATATCAGTAAAGAGAAAATAACAAATAGGAAGATTTTAACGTTCTTATCAATTAACGCTTGTGGTCGCGACCCATCAGATTAGATACGATACAGTTTTGTCGTTCGTGTCACATGTATGTTGCCCAGCTTTCTCTTTTAGTATAATATTCCCTAGACATTAGAATAGGCAAGATTGAATACAGTGTTCATCCTTAATACAAATCTGACATTGGAATGAGGCATTTGTTGCCAGACGAGCGTCCAAGTAGTTTTAGTTCAATATCTTTATAAAATAGATGTTTATGTGCATTCATTAAAGTGTGAATGTTTTCAGCATTCAGTAGATAGTAAATTATTAGAATGCTAGTTAGTATAAATTGAAGTTCGTACAGTTTGGATGGAAGCTAAGCAGTTTTGATTTCGGAATTCTGACTGGACTGATTGGTTTGGTTTCAATAGTATTCCTTGGTAGAGTATTTACGATTGATTGTTTTTGTCTACTACTATTTAGCACAACAGTTTTGCTGTAACCGGCTCGTTAATAATGCACTTTGAGTTCCATAGCGTAATCGTCGCAAAGCAATTCCAGAAATGAGATTAAGCTTTTCTTCATAAAGCTCGTAATCATAATTAAAATTCGAGATAATGTGATTAAAAATGAGTCTTATTTTCTTTTCTATTTTGATAATAACATAAAATTGAACTGAAATGATTTTTCATTAAAATGCGTTATTCGAAATTACTATTTTACTTTTCATTCTTTTACTTTTTCTGTGTTTAGGTATTGGTATGCCCAGTAATTTGACATATAATTTGTTATACAATAATTGTAGATCGATTTACAAGTCTATTTCAAATGATTTAGAATCCATAATGTACTATAACTTATTGCATCGTTTCTTTGCGACGAACGAGCGAAACGTACAGCCGTTACTTCTTCATTAAGAGTACGTAATTCTTCGAAAAATCTTGTAAACTTAAGCACTTGCACTCAGAGATTATATTTAATAGAGTGCATAATTTTTGGGTAATATAATAGTTTCTTAATAACTTGCCGTCCATGGTTACTTTGCATATCTGCATCTACTTACATAATGTTTGTGTTTGCAGCGTTTCCTACTTAGATGACTAAAATTACCAAACATATTTACATTTAGATATTGCAGTATTTAATATTACTGTGCTCGTTGGGCATTATTAACAATTTCTGTTATAGTTTTGTCAGAGAGCATAACACTTCTCCATATGACGAAAGAGTGCTTTGACATTTGTCTGAAAAAACTATTTTTACACTTTAAAGCGTATTTAATAATAAAAAAAAAAAAAGATAAATATATCGTTAGTTTCGTAATATAGAATGTTAGTACGGAGCATATTTTAATTAGACTTTTAATGCATGTTCATAGTTGTAATTTGCCCGTATTCGGCAAGTTTGTGGGCCGTTTAATGAGTGTTGTGGTATTTTGATTTGCAGATTATCGATATCACATATCCGTTTGTATTTGATTTAAAAACTGTACCTATATATAAACATGTTATTCATACAATATATCGGTAATAGTTCAAGAGCATGATGCCTTTTGTTCTACAATACTATTATTGGTAACAGTGAATCAGGTGTACCGAAACACGATGTGGATTGGACATACTAGTGACTGAAGTTTACAAATAAAGTCAAGTATTGCAATATCTCAGTTCTCGTTAAGATTTTTACTGACGGCGTAAAGCCACGAGTGCCTATATCTAATAGAACAACTTATATATCCCTGTACTTTAGATGTGATGAATTTCTTCGTATGTCTTTTCCACACTTGTCTAAATATTTATTAACTATTATATATATAATATGATTAGAGTATATCCCCAAAGAAATGAGCAAATGAAATGTAATTACAACGGGAAAAGATTGTACCGAAATTGACTCTCTTCCATCTTGTAGTAGTCGTTAGGTACATGTAATTTTAGTCATATATTGCAAACAGGAGTTCTTGAACGTCAAGTCAAAACAACTATGACGTTGTTCGTTTAAAATCTGTATATTTTGTCCTGTAATACTCAAGAAAATGCTAAACACTACGTCACATCACAGTCGGTTAGGTATCGAGAGTTACAGTATAGCAAATCTATTTAGTTCTAAATGATGCATAATTGTTTTATACATCACAATTTGTAGTTTAATTACACTTTGTAAGTGTGGTGTCTCCGCCTATTAAAATATGTAACCATTGCAGTGTTGAAATGGCTACCTATTAGTGTACGTAATAAAAATAGAATGGTAATTTTATTATTCATATAGCATACATATTGACTCATTTGCAAAAGGTACAGTGAAGAAGACATTACTGTTTGTTAGCGTATATAAACTTTTTAATATCACAAGTTAAGTTTATGCTCACAGTTGCATTATAGATTTTTTTCGAAGTAATTGAAGTCTATTTAATGAATAAATTTTACAAACAGTTCTATCTTCGCGCCGTTTTTTTTTTTTTTGGTGTACACTGTCCACCAACATCACATTGCAGCATGCAGGATGTAAGACTGACAAGAACACTGAAATAGTCGAATGTGAAGTCTTATTTAAAGATCAGGGTGTCTGAAAACAATATAGTTATTACAAAACCGAATTGTCTGTCACTCTCATATGTACGTCTTAAAATTGTTTCATGACATCCTGCATAAATATAGAAGTGCCCATACATTATATAATATTTATTGATATAGCACTAGACATTTTGCTCCGTTGTCGCAAATGGTTGTAATTATAAAAATATAGTTAATATTAATTAGTAAAATGATAGACTGTTTTGCACGATTTCTGGTTTGAACGTGTCGATCCTAACATGTTGTAGCTTCTCATGCAAACAAACATTGTTATTGAACACTTTGTGATGACAAGTTTCAAGTTCGCATGTCAATCAATAACGTGTGGTACATACGATATTTTTATCTATTTGCAATATACCCACATATGTATAAGATTGTATGTTTCCATTCGAACTCGACATATTTTGACCTCTAGAACATTTTTATTATTACTTTTACGATTACACATATAAGTCTTTTTTGGCAACATATTTGAAGTAACATTATTTAATTATTCAATATACTTATTCTATATTTAAAATGTGTGTTATTTATTAAAGATTTCCTTATACCATCATTTTATCTTCCAAGGTTAGAAACCATTTAATCTATTTAATATTAGTGATTCATCATTTATATTTATAGTCTTTAGCAACCGTTGTCTACATAAGATTTCTTCTGTTATGTTTTTCTTTTATGGAGCAATTGGGGATTTCGATTTTTAAAATGAGTCACAACATATCAGATTTTTTTTATATCTAAGTTAATTTGCCTTTGTTCAATGAGGTTTATGACAGATATACATCAAGCAAGATATATCTATTTCTGGTATAGTTAGTACATCGTATGATAGTTGTATCCAGTCCATTGTCTACTCTTCTTCTATCTTTAACTCAATGTCTCCGTATATTATTACAGATTCAAGTTATGGCCTTCGATAAAAATGGTGATAAAATATATTTGAAGGAACAAAATGAACATACATACATCTTATCTAATTGCTAATGAAGAGATTCTGATTAGTAAATAGGACAGTTACTTGCCTAATACTTTACATACTTGAACTCGAACATACTTATTCTTTTTTAAGATTTTTATATGTCTTATTAAGGCTTCGAACGAAAAAATTACCACTGGTGAGTGCCTACATTCAATAGTAGTTTATTATTTATTGAGTAAATAATCTGTATCTCTTGTTTTCAGACATAACTGTCCTTCATATATTATATTTAAGTACTTATTAACTTCTAAGACGGAAAACATATCAAAGAGAAATTTTGTGTAAAAGTAGGCTGCCCACGCAGCCTCTGCCCATTCGTGTTTCTGCCGTGGAGCTGCTGTGATTGCGTCGCTGTGTTTGGTTTGAAGCGTGAGCATATGGTAGTGAAATTACAGGGAACCAACACTCAATGAGTAGGCATCTCCGTGTATGAAGAAAAAGCAGTTGACATCAGGTCTAATAAGTGACGAAATGGCCTAGGCCTGCTTTTGAGACCGTATCTAATCTACATAATTTTCTAAGGCTAAAGAAGACTCAGCTATTAAAAAAATCGCTATTACTGACTTATGCGTTGTTATTTTTGATAATTATGATTATTTAATTGAGCTGTGTTCTGAAACCAAAAATGTCTTTGTATTACTATCGGGTCATAATAGGTTTTGTATGTAAGTTTGTATAGGCGGTTTTCTTTTTTTTATATATTTTGTTGTAATAATGATTTGACAAATTTCGATGAAATGCGGTGTCATGTGAGACAAGTGGGTATGTCGATCTTGGATTAACATATAGAATTTTTTATCACAGCAATGTGTTCCTGTGGAATATATTTAATTATCATAATTGAAGCACTAGCAAACGGGATCTAGTGATTAACACCAGATGCAGTATGGATATTAATGTAAATCAACAATAGTGTAATCAAAATGTGTTATCTATAATTAAAGTATCTATATTTGTTGTTAACATGTTTATCTAAGTACTATTTCATTACTAGGCTGAGACGATAATGTTTAATAGCGAAGAGGCCGCATGTATCTCACGATACTAAAGCGTGACTTGCACGTGAGTCAAACAAATCAGCGTCAGCGTGTTGCGCATTATTGTTAAACGCTTTATTAAAACCAGTTAGAAGCTGAAACTACAGAATGGGTAGGTAAGTAAATAAAGGTCTACTGAAATAAAGAGAACTCGATATGTAGCTGGATCGATCTGGATCAAGCCGTATTGTTGTAACATTAAAAGTAAATACACGTTTAATTAGATATGTAAATACTCGATATTTTTTTGATGGGTGAAAATGGTATGGTAACCTCGCTTGCGCTAACGTTAAATACTAGTTTATGAATGGATACCATCAGTTTTAGAATAACCAAATAGGAATAACGGATCATTTAATAAATGCAAAATAGGTCCGTACCTAGGTTTATCCTTTTGTTTTCATTTTCTCATGTTATGAGATTTAAATGCCATCTGCGATCTACTTATCTACTTAAATCAGGGCCTCTGAAATTTGCATCATCTGAGGGTCTTTACATAGATAACGACTCGGGTAAAAACGACTCTGTCTATCCATGTATTTTCTATACTTCAAATATTTTGGTAGATAAACATGTAAAATATTAAAAAAGAAGAAAAAAAAAAACACGGTAAGTACAGAATAAACTGTGTTACATGCACGGTTGCCTTAATATACTTAAGTATTATATTACGAGCAATTATGACGAAGACCCAGATATATTTATCGATTGTATGTATATGTCACAATTTCATATAATTAGTTTCTGTTCTGATATTTTACTGACCTACATCTGTGCCTATATTGAATAAATAAGTAATATATGGAATAGTGGATTAATGGAATATATTGCCGTGTGTATCCCAGCATAGAACGGGCCACCCCTTCCTATCCCGATGGGCAGCAAACCTAACTGCGGTTGCCAACCCGTCTGCCAAGCGTGGCAGTTACTGGCAAAACTAGCCTTATGGGGAATGCTTATGTCCAGCAGTGGACAGTTAACGGCTGAAATAATAATGTAATATGATGAAAAGTAGTAATCGTACGTAGCTTATAGACATGAACAGTGCTAGTATAGGATTCTTATAGAGCTTCAAAATCTTTAAAAACCATGCAATATAAATACGATCAAATGATACCTATTGGAAACAAATATCACTCGTGGGTAATTTCGATAGCAAGGGTAATGACGTTGACTTTTTGAACTTGAATGGTTGTGGACCGGACGAAATCTAGTTTGAAGAGGTTTTTATTTACTTTAAAATATAATATGGGCGCCGTATTTAACTCATATTGTAATAGAAATATAAAATTTCAGATAACAAATAGACCGCTAAGTACCTACTAATGCAAAAGGCAAAATAATTTTGTTACTAAGTAGGTGGTAGTAGTATTTGTTAAGATAGTAACGTAGATAATAATATTTAGTAAATTATATATGTATTTAATCGTAAAATCTTATACCTAATATTATACCATATAATATATAGTCAATTACACTACCTATTACATTTGGAAATGCCATTATAAGGACGAGATTTTTTGACTAACGGATAATTTCAAATCAAAATTTTCATACCTCAAGTTGATAATGTTTGGATTTTATCTTGGACTTAAAAAAAAAATAGTGTACACAATTTTTGAATATGATTTTAAAATTCACTCTGTAGTACATTAAAATGTTGAGAATTAAATATAGTATAATATGAAAATATTATTTTCATTAAATTCTGTAATTATTATCATATATAAATATTATTATAGGTAAATTAAAATGATAATTCATTATAGAGCCATATTTACACTTATTACAATTTAGAAATAATGTAGAATCGTGTAATTTCTTTGTTTTGCTCCCTCTTAGATTGCAGAGATGAAGGGGATTTAAGTAATTAAGTAAATGAGTAGGTATTTGTGTAATTTTCCAACGTTACCTAAGTAAATGGATTTAATTAAATAAAAGATTTCACGCGTCACAGTGCAGTATATCTAGCTGCCTACTATCTTCATGTAAAGGGACTCTAACACGGTCAAACAATTTGAATCAAACCTTACCTAGTTTGACGAAATATTTGATGGTCTGAAGGCTTCTAAAATATATCTGCACGGTTTGGAGATTCAATTCATTTGATTTATTTTAATTTTATTATATTAATACTTAACATCAATAAATGTTATGATATTCTTGATGTTGGTTTTTACACATGAGGTTACATTCAAAGAAAGTTATAGAAATCTGAAAAAAATTGACTATTTAAAGATAATAAAATGACGGCTTTTAAGATAAATATATTATAATGGCAAATAAGCTGATGGCCCACCTGATGGAAAATAATTGTCGCAATAGACATGAACAGAACCATTGATAAATATAACAAAAACACTATCAAACAATAATTAAACTCGCTAAATTTTGATAAATCGCTCAAATTAACGCAATAAAAATCTAAATGGTTTGATTCAAACCAGAATTTACGTGTTTCGAACATTTACAGTTTGATCGTCTTTGGGGACTCTTAATGTGAATAAAGATAGGTAGGTAGGTACGTTCAAGTTTATTGATCTTTAATAAATAAAATGATGACATAAATATGGCGAATTTGTATTTGTTTAACGTCACCAAACAAACCTGTGACATTAACGACACTACTGCGATAATTTCTAGCGCCGTTATTTATAGATGGAAAATTCTGTAGGCAGGATTACCGTACAAATAGGTATATGTGTTTGTTTGCGATTGTGTTATTTTACGTTTGACTATTACTTGACACTATCATTTTGCGTATAAACAAAGATGTTCTATTTATAAAATAAGTACTGGCAGCAAATAAGAATTTTTTAATATTTTTTTATTCTTATTTTTTTTTTTGCAATTATATGATTATTTGAGGTCGATGCGGTGTTTTTTTAATAATCCCTAATAAGTAATCTGTGGCTACTTACATTTCTTCAGGCGTGTTGTTGAAATATTAAAGGCAAGTCAGTTAGTCCACAGTTTTCCGTACGGTCTTTGCATAGAATGGGCTACCCTTCATTTTCCATGGATGTCGTAAGAGCTGACTAAGGGATTTTAATGGTCGAGTGATTGACAGCAGTATCGTTCTCAAAATGTCATCAAAGCCTAATTGCGATTGCTAACCCGCTTACTAAGCATGGCAAATACTGGCAAAACCCCTATATGAGGGTAGTCTTTAATGGATGATGATTGAATGGTAACCCCACCTGCGCTAATGATATACGCGGGCGGGGTACCAGTGAGGGATGATAGGTGGGAATGAAAAGGCCAGTTAGCCATTATTATGAATATACCTGGAATATAGCACGATGGATTCCAGGGGAGACCACATTGAGGTTGATCTGACAGGGTATATTGTTAGCAATCAGACTCGTAGTCCACATTATTAATAATACCTTCCCCTTTCTCCTTATGGGGGAGGATTATGTTCAGCAGTGGATATTTATAAGCTGATATGACTAACAATCCTTTTCCCCTCTCGTTGTCTAGTTAGTAACAGGCTGAGTCAGGTTGACTCGAGTGCCGATACGAATGTCTACTGGTACTCAAGAATTCAATATACAGAATTCGGATATACGATATTCGAATACAGGTTTCGAGTACTGTACTATTCGAATACTAGTCTTTTGTGTAACGTTTATTTTGTAATCGATTGAAAAATTACTTAAGACTATTGAAATATTCGAATAGTCAATTCGGGCAAGTATTCCAGTGCTTGTTCGAGTCCTTAGACTCAAATCAAAATTAGATGCTTTTTTAACAAATACCTTAGTACTCAAATAGGATACAAAAAACACTACAGGGTATCCTACAAACTCAAAACTTTGTAATAAAAAATTTAAGATTGTTACAGTCAAGTTATTATAATGTCATATTTACCAGAGGAAGACTTTGTACAGAAGTCGTTTGCTTGGGCACCTTTGACACATTCGTATTTCTACCGTGAAGCAATTATGTTTGCATGGCTGTTTCGGTTTGAAGGGTGGGATATGGCAGTGAATTTACAGGGTACCAACAGAGAAATAACACCTGAGTCCTCAGGAATGGCAACGCAATGGGAGGTGTCATGGGCGAAATAGTAAACTCTGTTATGTCAATGGTACTGCTCATGTCTATAGGCGACGGTTATCACTTTCCATCGGGTGGGCCGTCAGCTTGTTTGCCATTCTAAGTGGCATAAAAAAATGTCGCTAATATTAGTGCCCCGCTCTTGCGATGAATGTGTATACACAATATAGCTAGTGTCTCATAAATGCTAAACATATCTTTATATTAAATATAAATATTCCTTGACGACTCTTATCATTACGTTGACCATACCTTTACATGATATTATCTCAACGGAATAATTATCACTTTAATAATAGATTTAGTTATACACAATCATATAAATTATATAACCTTAAATTAACCCAGAGACAATTTGGTAGGTAAGCAACAATATATACCTATAGAATAAAACTTCATAACAAATATGATATTTTTTAGATACTTTACATTTACTATACGAAGTACATCGTAATCGTTGTACTTCGGTTATACTTTCTTCTGACGGTGCTAATACCTATTCATAGTTAAATATAGCAAATGTTCGTATATTAAAAGATTTTTTTAATATTATATCTTGCCATAAATGTATAATATTTGTTATTATAATTACTTAAAATTTGTATCTTTAATAATATTTATTGTTATTATTAATTGGAAAATGCATGCAACATGATGCACAAACAGAGCCATGCGACCGTGATGCTCTGTATATGACCAAGGGTTTAAAAAGTTTACATTACACAAATTATAATAGGATTTGCTTTGTATATCCTGCCAAATTTAGTAGGCCGTTTGCGCTGAGGGCATTATACTAACAGACTAGTACATTTACATCGGTGGGTTATAAAAAACAAATACTCGTGATGATTCGTTCACAATGACTTTTTTAACTCCCATGCCAACATTACATAATTAATGATTAGCTGTTATTGGCATTTGGCGTTGTTATTGGGTCTATATCTTAACTAATAGCCGCTAACATTAGATTAGGATTTTATTTGTGAAATAATAATAAAAACAAAATGAAAAAAGTTAGGCTGCCTTTATGGTAATCATAGTATCTCGAAAGTCTAAAGTTCAGTGGTTCTATAAATTTGATATGTAAGAGTTGTAAAAAAGAAACTAGAAGACACAACAACTAAAATCTAATGGTATATATAACTGCTACATTTATAAAGTAAAGAATAAGCATGATATCTGACTGCATATTTTGATATAATATGAATATTTGGACATTTTGTTGACCATACTTTTGAGTCAATTTCGCAATTTAATAGGGTTCGCCGACTGTTTTAACTGATAAGGGTTCTTTACTAATTTGATATGGTATCAAGCGGAAATTTATTTTAAAAAATAATATACATATTTGTTACTTGAATATATATTTAGTGCAGTACAATGTCTGACATAAGAGGCGTAACGTTTTGGGGTCAGCTCAGATTAAGTAAGTGGTTCACATATGATTTTGGTTAGCTCAGTATACGGTTGATATTACGAGCGAATTGAGAATTTTCTCCTTTTCCATTGGAAGTCGCGGTTGCAGTCTGCCTCTAGCCTTATAGAAACTATTGGTTATGAAATAAAAGTTGACTCTAATATTTTGAACATACGGTTGAAGTTAGTATAACAATTATACGGAAGTTTGTAGAGGTGTTCGACTACATTCTGAGTTTAGGCCTCATCGTTTTTGTTTGTTTACGCTGATCCTTATTTTTTTAAATTGGCCAAGTTATTTATTATGAACAATATTTATATTTTATATTGTGGTATACTTTGTCTTCCGTACATAGATTAAGGTAATTTTCTCCAGCTGATCCGTCAACTTGTTTGACATTCACATTAGAAAATTTATTTTACCGACTAGCAACACTGCAATCTATTATCATTATAAATGTATTTCTTCTATAAAGTTAAAAATGAGTAATACTAATCGATGGTTACGAATAATATTACAAACACATTATTTTGAAATATTTATTACTTCTATATATAATTTAATTATAATTAAATTGACCTCAGTAATATTAGTAAAATTATTCCTAATTTTAGGCCATTAACTATTTACAAAAATGAAATAAGTAATATTTTTTCCATTAATTTATGACTAATAAAGAAAAAAATTGAACTTGCACAAAACAAAACCGGTTGATGGCACTCATTCCTAGGTTCTAAATCAACTTTAATATAAAACAGATTTTTTTTAAACTCACTAATTTAATCTAGACTTTTAATTGTATTAAAATGTTATAAGACAATTTAGATATTTCGTTTTCTAAATCAAATAAGCCGACATTGAACTCTAGACATCCCTTTAGACAAAGGACGTGAATTTATACGTGCATACATGTGTGTTTACCATAAGAGTAAATATGTCTTTACATAGTGTTATTATCGTATTTATGCAAATATCATGTTTACATGCTTACCTACGCTGATTAAATAATGTCCGTATGTACATAATATGACATTCTACTAAATTTATAATGGTGAAAGTGTGAAGATCTTTAAATATTTGTTATTTACCTACTCATTAGGAATATTTTGTTTTCAGCTATTCCTAGGGGAAAACAATAAAAACACAAATAAGTATATAAATACAAAGGGGAAACTGAAAACAAGTAAAAAACTAGGTGCATTTGAATATATATATATATATATGCACCTACTTTTTATAAAAAATAACCGAATTCAGTTACAAGAAAATAAGTTTTTTAACCCAGAATCTAAGGAAATATCAGTTTACAAAGAGATACGCGCAGAAACGCTATTCCTCAGGTACTCCTTCTTTAAAGTCTTTTAAAAAGAAACTAAAGAGGGAAGAAAAAATAATTATTGGAATACGTTCTATTTTTAAATTTTATATTGAATATTATTTTTGTCTATGTATTTGCCGGTATTTATAATTTCTTTTACCTATATCACGTGTAAGCATAATAAAAATACGATTCATATGTATTGCCCTTAACGCCCATGCATGTGCCGTGTGCCCCATAGCATGTTGTCATCGCCGCCGCGTGGTCGCTGACTTACCGTGATGTATTCTTATCAGCACTGATAACACTATTACGGATGCTTTTGTTTTTATTGGACTTGCGGAGGGCGCGCCTCTGCCCGCCTCTATAAAATAGAGTAACCGCTAACGTAATGCAGCATTCTTTGCTCGTTCTTTGCTTGTGACGCATCACGTCACACGCTTCCTCACAGCATAACACGCCCCCATCGCTATCCATTCACATTGTAGTATTCATTCATTCTATTTATAAGTTGGTAAGCTTCTGTTTGTATTAATGAGTAATTGTACATTGTGTACATATTTTTTTAATTTTTTATTTGTGTCAACTATTTAATTTATTAATTTTCAGATAATAATCAAATACAATGGCTTATTTACAATCGATGCCTAAATCTGAAACTATCAGGCTCCGGGAGAAACATGTCGGGTGAGTGACGTATTTTTAATTTTGGTCGAGATTTTTGATACTGTATTTTTTGTGTATTTAATAAAAAAAGTAAGTAATATTTTGTGCCTTAATGTTGTATTATTAGGATTTTATTATTAATATTTGTTAAAAAAATATTATATGTAATACGATAATCACGACTTCATCCCTGATACAAATACAATAAATTTTTTAGCTTTGCATGCGATTCGATTGATTCAGTATTTTATTAAACCGTAACAAATAGATATGTTTTCGCATTCCGATATTAATATGGGTATGTAAAGATATTTTATTTAAATAATATTTTATATTATTATAAAGGTATTTTTGTTGCTAACAGAGCTGCATGCCAGCTGTTCTTCCGTTCATCCCCCCTGAAAATCGTCAGGGGTGTCGCTCAGTTTATGTATGACGAAACGGGCGAGAGGTATTTGGACTGCATCAATAATGTGGCTCACGGTATGTAAATATTTTATTTGAAGATTTGTAGCTTTAGTAGTAAAATATGGCTTTATCACTCTTGACGCAGATCACTCTTGATCGCTACGAACAACGATTTCCAAATTTTGAAATAATGTCATAATAAAATCTTAATAATTAAAATCACAAACTACCAAAATAAATTAATTTAATTTCAAATAATTTCACGTGATGTTCCGTTCTTTTGTCTTATTTTTCTATATCTTTAAGAGGTTAAAAATGTGGAAAAACTAAGAATATAAAAGAATAAATAATACAAGAAATTAAACCTGTCATAAAAGACTGGTTGAAATAATTTAACATCAATAATACTAATTTATGTTTAATAGCTGACCATTAGACCAGCAAATTAAAAATTTTAATAAATGAATTTAATTTAATTGAAATATATTTCTTATCATAAAAACTAAAAGACAAAATAGCAAAATCAGATCAACTATACAACAAAATTAAAGATCAACTACTTATCTATGTGTGAAGCTAGGGGTTGCTAGTATTAATTAAATAACAAAAACAAAAACAATTTTGAATAACAAAAACAAAATTTAATCAATGAGTACTGAAAGTTCCTAGATAAGTCGAACTCGAAAATGTCCCTTACATTATTTAGATGGTTGTGTACGGCACGAAACCTCTACGTGCATATTATCTTCAAGACGTCCAATGTCCGTGTCCTACTTACTTATATTCAAATAAATGTTAACTAGACGTTCTAGTCTGCCATTAGATATTTAAAGTGTGTAAATAAAAAAAAAATAATTAAATAACACATAAAGTATTTTTAATTTTTTTTATATGACATCAGAATGGCAATTAGGCTGTGTCACTTCATCTGATGAAAACTGAAGGTTCTATCTCTGAAAACTGAAATTTTTTATGTTCAACAGAATTATTTGGATTTACTATGGTATTATGCATGACCTTGCTTGTTTTAGCGTTGCTTAATTAAGATCTACTATATGTATCAATAGCTTTTTATATGTATTGCTTGGGTAGGTACTAATAACAGATATAAGACAAATAAAAGTAATCTTAAGGAGTGGCGATGCTTTAGTGCATTTAGTTGTTCAAGCAACGGTCACTATTTATTGCTAGCTGTATCCCGCGTCTTCGTCCTCGAAAATTTGTATATAAACCATATACTAAATTTTATTCAAATCCGCTCAGAAGTTTTTGCGTGAAAGAGTAACAAACATTCATTCATCCATCGTTACAAACTTTCGCATTTACTATATTAAAAAAAGTAGCCAATCCCTTTATAATTTCTAATAAAATAAAAAAGTTCAATTGTAAAAGCCTAAGAAAATTTAATTTTTGTTTGTCCATTAGTTGGCCACTGTCATCCACATGTCGTGGAAGCTGGCAGAAATCAAATGTCTCTTATATCAACCAACAATCGTTATCTACATGATGAACTGGTCATCCTCGCCGAGAGACTCGTGAAGACATTACCTGAACCACTGTCAGTTTGTTTCTTCGTCAACTCCGGATCGGAGGCCAATGACCTAGCATTAAGATTGGCTAGGATTTACACTAAGAACAAAGATGTTGTAACTTTGGATCAGTAAGTTCCTATTCTTTAACTCTTTATTTCATAAGTTCGGTTTTGGGGCTATTCGGTTGTTAATTGCGTGACAGTACGTTGAGAGGTGAAAGCGTTGGCAAAAAATAATACTTTATGTTATTTTTGTAATTTGTAAACGCGCGTATTTAGGAATGTTTTCCAAAGGACGGCTCACGAAGGGAAATGTCAATCGTTTTGAAATCATATTTACAGTTAAATGAACAAGTAATTTGTGTTATAACAAATATAATTTGATTTACATTTTCTTTCTGAGAACCTCCAAAAAAGTTAGAAAGATGGGTTTTCATATTTATGAATGTTACTATGTTAAATTTTGATACTTATAATAAATAAAAATACTTCAAGTATAATTGAGGTAACATACACAGCTTATTCTTGAGAGTATGCTGCGTATAATGATTTATGTACACCCATCTTGTTTGTAGTAAACATTTCGTTATGCTTTAATTTAAATGGATGTAGATAAGAAGCTATGTCAATAACCTCGCGAAAGCTTGGATAGAAATAAATAAAATTTTAATTAAGTACAATGACGGAATTATTTCGGTTTACAGTTACAAATGGATATTGATAAAATGTTAACATACATTGTTAATATTAGACATAAAATTTACTAATGCTTTGAAGATGTACCATTGTTAATAGTTGTATATTATTGCAAATCTAAGATTTTATACGTATATAATATCATACTATACATCTTTATTGTATAGGTTATAACAATATAAGAACAATATCTTTTTCAATTTATCCAGAACTATGGATAAAATTGAAAAAGATTTTTAGAAGAGTATGGTAGACCTTATCTGCGTCCAAAAATAAGTATGAATAAGTAGATTGAAAATTATAAAATTCCACTTTATAGACAACCCTATTATTTCATATTTTTTCTAATTTTGAATTTCTCTCGCTCTCTTTCTCTCTCTCTGTCTCTCTGAAAATGTTTAATTTTGAAAATGTTCCTAAATATTTAAAAAAATAAAACGCACAGAGTAATATTTAATATGCCAACAAATATTGAGTGAATGGTGTATGCATGTTTCTTGTCGTTACTTCGAGATACTCGAAGTGTTTTTAGGGTGCTACTAGCGCCTGTTTGTTACAGCGCTTATCATGGTCACCTTACGTCTATGATCGATGTCTCTCCCTACAAACTGAACCTACCCGGAGGCCCCGAGAAGCCAGAGTGGGTTCATGTGGTAAGTTAGTCACGTATTCGATGTCTCAACGTGGGTCCGCACCTTAACTTGGTCCCATTATGTTCGTAGGAATAAAAGAACAGATAATTTAATTTTGGCGAACCCATCTTTGCCGCGTTTTATTTCTATTAAATAAGAGTTTCGCTCAACTTATGTAATGGATAAATCAAAACATTTTCCTTGTAAAATATGAGTAAATTTTAAACCATTAGTCGGAAATTCCGCTCCATTTAATCAACTGTTAATTATTTACTATTTTTATGGACTTTTTGACATATTTCAATATTCTATGATCTAGGTCATAAATAAATAGAATGGAACATGGTTGAATAACTTCAAATTAAAAATAGTTAAAAAATTTAATAATCAAAAGAGTATTTTCAATTTTAAAGCATTAGACAATTATCTAATACTATTAACATCACACAGGCGCCAGTTCCTGATGTATACAGAGGAAAATACACATATCCGAATGACTCTCAATCTGAAGGGGAGCTAGCAGAAATGTACGCGGTTGAAGTTGACAAGATATGCAAAGAGATCGTTAAGAAAAATGGCGGCGTATGCGCCTTTATAGCGGAAAGCTTGCAGAGCTGCGGTGGACAAATCATACCTCCTGATGGATACATGAAACGCGTATATGAGTAAGTATCTTATTAATATTATAAATTTGAATTTTTGTATGTCTGTTACTCAATTATGCTTAAATGGCTGAACGGAAATTTAATACACCCGATAGGTTATATCCTAAAATAAAACACAGAATATTTTATACACTGATTCATGGGGCAAAGCGACAAACAGCAATTTTTTTAATAATAATAATGTTAGCTCATTTGTTATCTATAAGGATTACGATTAGTACATTTCCTTTATGCAACTTAGAATGGCAGAGTGTTAACCATCGCCTGTATACTTTAATATAATCATGGATATTGTTTTTTTCTATACCACTGAGGTGGCAAATAAGCATACGGCCCACCTGATGGTAAACGGTTACCGTAGCTTATGAACGCCTGCAATACCAGAGGTATTACGCGTGCGTTGCCGACCCTGAAGAAACCTCTTTACCCCCCTTTTGAAGAACCCCATGCTGTTGTCTCTTGGGAAAACCTCGGCAGGGAGCTCATTCTATAACCATTGTCATTCTTGAGGATTATGGTGTTATCGATTGATTGTATTATGGTTTGTGCTACTACTGAAAAATGAATATTTATAAATTAAAAATTAATGTAAAAAATGTAATAAAAAATATTCATTTGTATAGAAGGATAATCTATATATTTTTATAGTGATTACAATATATTAAATAAGTTTGTTCTAATTTTAAATAACCACTAATTGATATTGATAAATATTTGCTTCTTCACTATCAATCTTACAACTCATTCAAAAGTCACAATTTATGAATACTAAGAATATCTTTGATTTACATTACATGACTACGTGTGAAAAAAAAGCACAAGCTTTATTTTTAATCGAAAGGAACGCGTCCAAATTAATATTCACATGTGTAGATGACGCCATAGATTACGATGTAACTTGCTAATATTAAAAGATAACTACAACTACACAATAATAATGAGAATATTGCGTAGTATATGCTCTTAATTGTTCTAACCATTTTGGTTAGTGACGTGTAAGTTGTATATATAAAGAGACTTTATTTTTGTTTTTCATTAATATGTCTCTAAATTTTAATAACAATGGCAGGACTGTAAAGTTTATATTTTCTGAATGACGGCAATTTATTTAAACAGCATCCGTAACATAAATATATCTAAACTGATGTTTCTATATGTATATCTATGACTTTATAAAGCATTGGGTTGATAATTGCTGAATAATAGATAAAGTTATCAAACCTTAAGTTTCGCAGTATTATAGTATTATATTACTTTGAGAGTTTATAATAAAATCAGTCAGGCGGAAAAGTTTATTATCTACAAAATACATACAAACGACCTAGCTTGTTTTAACCGGTTAAATGTTTCTACTATTTGTGGAAGAATCTTTTGTAGAGATAACGATGTTTAATATCGCTATTTTGTCCCATTTATAAAAGATATCTGTTATCAAATTCTAGCTTATTAAATAATATTAGGTAAATTTATTTTGTAAGTACCCATGCACCGAATATCAATAAAGGCTTACACTATGAATTACTAGATTTTTTTTTATACCACTGAGGTGGCAAAACTCTTGGGAAAACCTCGGCAGCTCATTCTATAATCTGAGTGTTCGTGGGAGGAAACATCTCTGAAACCGCGCAGTACGCGACCATTGAGGCTGTAGGACATGAGTATGAACTCCCTGTCGATGGCGAGCCGTACGATGGTAGAAAGCGGCTGTGGGCATCATATTGAACAATTCCTCTGAGCACAATCCATTGTACAGGCGGTAGAACACGCAGAGTGAAGCAAATTATTATTAGATCATTTGTATTATCTTAGTTAACATTCGAATGACATGAGTTAATAGGTAGGTATACTAGTATATTAGTTTAGGTTATCATTATACTTATTGAGAAATGATGGCTACTAACAGTCATAATTATTAATCCTAATTATATATGTCATCATCATCATTCCAAGTTTATGATATGTCATATATCACAACTGGGAAAAATACCATTCTTAATTATATTTATTTATTATGGTCATTGGATATGATGTACTATTTTTTGTTCTTCTTTCCAAATCGACTCGATTTTTTATATTTTGAATTTATGTTGCCTGTACAATCGTATTATATTAGTTATAAGTTTGTATGAAATGCGTAACATAGCATAAACAGTCGTGTTTGTTAGAAAACTGTGGTGATAATGAGTGATAAATAATCCTACAGGCCTTATTTAACGCACTTATGGAAGATTTTCATTTGTGTCTATAGATTAGCTGGTTACTGATAATATCTGACTCCGAGCTGCATGTTTGTTATGACAGTAATTATCTATCTATCTAAATAAAGCTTAACACAATAATGATTATATTTAAATATTGAAATCTGCTCAATTAAATGATCATCTTGTATTTATATGTCGTCAATTATGCTGTTAAAAGATTTTGGTCATAGAGACAAGAATGTGACATTTTTTAATGAGTTCTAATTGAGTCGATTTAGATTTTTTTTTAATAATGTGTATCTGTTCTATATTTTTAAAAATTAAATGAATAAAAGAAGGAATAGGTTCTCATTTTGAGGATATTTTTATTGTGTGTAACATACACATACATACACACACAGATACACAATATCTTTTGCTATCGGTAGCGTTTAATCCCTTGTTGGATAATTATATATATACATTTATACATTATTATAATTGTCATCTTATATTTATTTCTAGGCATGTTCGAGAGGCGTCAGGTGTTTGTATTGCTGATGAAGTCCAAGTGGGCTTCGGGCGTGTTGGGACCCACATGTGGGCTTTCGAGACCCAAGATGTGGTACCTGACATAGTGACTATAGGCAAACCAATGGGCAACGGTCACCCTGTCGCTGCTGTTATCACAACACCAGAAATCGCAAAGAGTTTTGCTGATACTGGTGTGGAATATTTCAATACGGTAATTTCCTTTAATTGCTTGCAAATAAAATTAACATAGAAGCGTGAATTCGTGAAACAAATAGAACGTGACTTCGTTACCGGGATCCGTGTTAAACAGCAGTATAGCTATAGGAACTATCTATTGTATATGGAAACTGAATAATGGTTTGAAAAAAAATATATGAACACCACTATAATTATAGGTTGAATAGACAGACGAGTTTAGTTTTAAACATAACAATGAGTTATGGAATAATCCCCTGTTCATAAAAAAACCTCTTTTTCTAAACTTTTAGCTAATGGAGTAATTTGTCTCTTTGTAAGTAATTTATTAGTTTACACAAAAATTATGAAACACACTTAATAGTTTTAATGGGATTGTAGGATTTAGTCATTATAAATAAGGTAGTAAACATATTTGAATATAATTTAGCAACTATAAATTTAATTAATGCGCAATCTCATATATAAATTTATATTTTTATTTAGTAAGGTTACTAATATATAAAAAAAAAAATTAGACAGCGTCTGAATATGGGAGATATTTATGAAAAATTTTATATTAATAATAAAACAATAGAAGCAAAACAATATTTTTTAGAAACGTAGTCGGTTTTTCTGTCTGTATTTTTGTTCTGATATTCCGAAAATACTATTTTGCACGAAATTGGACTTGGTTTTAACAGTTATATTCTTGAAGGTCTCACTTAAAAACTACTGTATGATTTATTTTGATACGTCTATTAGAAGAGTTTTTCTACTTTAGAAATTCAGGCGTTCATAAATAAAAGCTTTAAAAACATTAAATATCTAATATAGCTGCGAATTTAGCAATTTTCTTTTTTATTTCAATTTGTAGTTTAAAAAAAAAATCACAACAAATCATTAGGTTTGTAGTAGGTTTTAATTTAATTAAAAAACTTGGAAATTGATTATACAATTCATTTATTATACTTTTATTTGATGAAATCTTAAAATATAACTACGGATAGTCGGGTTTATGGCATGTTGAAAATAAAACTCAAACATGGGTATGAGTACATAGCTATACTTAGGTATCTACAGTTATTCTTTGAATGAGTAAAATATTTAGCTAATTAATTTAACCAGGCAATTAGCTAACTTTGTAATTCCTAATTTAGGTAATTGTTACGACTATCGCACGACTACGCAACGGCCATTGCCATTAACATGTTTGATGGTCATTTGGTATTTTGAAATATCAAAGTAGATATTATATTAAGCTAAAAAGGTCCGCACAATTTACCATGTTATTTTTTTAATTTGTTTTCCTTATATCTTTATAGTTGTTCAATTTTAAACATAAATTTTCTATTTATTAGTTAGAGCACAAATCAACAAAAAGCAAAGTCACGACAAATCGTTATTAAAAACGAAAATAACTAGATATAATGATTTTTATACATATTCCTTGTTATGCATATACCTAGTAAAATATAAATATTACTTATTTTACTAAAATATGACAATTATGCATAAGCACCCATATACAATGTGATTGCAGCTAGATAATACCTACATACTTGATTTTTAATCGCATCGTTAAAAAAGTATGTTTGAAATATGTGTCAAGAACGCCAAAGTAAAATGTAGTATGTATAAGATACTGTTACTTTATTATTGTTTCAATGTTCGTTTACGATAGTCGAAATCGTTAAACCGATTTTAATGAAATTTTGTAATCTTGATAGATAGCATATCTGTTATCCCGATTAGAAAATGAATCCAGTCGTTACCTACTGGGTAGGGGACAAACCAACGTTTATTTATTAATTGACCCAACAGGTCAATTAATCCTACTTAATAAGTTTGTAAAGTTGTTACCTTTTAAAATATGCCCAACTAACTGTGGTTTAACTACAATTGCCAACCCGCCTAACAAGCGTGGTAATCATTAGCTCCCTAATAGGGGGAGGCCTTAGCAGTGGATAATTTTTTTTATGGATGATAATGAAATGGTAACCTAGCCTTCGCTATTGGTGTACACTGGCGGGGCATCAGTGAGGGATGGCAGATGAGAATGAAAAAGCAGATCAATTAGCCCATAGTGGTATGCACCTGGAATTCAACATGATGGTTTCCAGGGGAGGGGGCCACGTGGAGGTCGACCTAACAGGGTATACGAGTATTACTAGCAATAGAACTGCTGGTTCACATTACTAAAAATCCCTTCCACCCCTAGCAGTATGCAAAATTTCACACAAAGGATACTTTATATATTGAGTTGGGAAGACCGCGAGAAATAGCTAATTTAAATATAAATGATTTTTTACAGTACGGCGGTAATCCAGTGTCGTGCGCCATTGCGAACGCAGTCCTTGATGTCATAGAAGAAGAGCGACTGTTGGAACGAGCAACTCGTGTTGGTAGCCATTTGTTGGCCCGCTGCAATGATCTCAAACTTAAGCATAGACTGATCGGCGACGTGCGGGGGAGAGGACTATTTGTCGGTGTAGAACTAGTTACAGACAGGGAGACTAGAACACCAGCCACGGCTGAGGCTAAACATATTATTAACAGGTTTGTTTAACAAGTACATTTTGCTCTGAAAAAATTGGAACTTCAATCATCACAAAACACCAATAATGTTTCGTAGACATCTTGGTTTGTATATATTTGTATTTAAAACGAGGAATCCTGTGTGTCTACATGTAATTTTGCTTCGTAATAAGTAGATTTTTCTTCACAAAAAAAAAAAAAATACGATGGCTTCAATTGTTACACATTAATATGAGACGAATATTGAAGTAAACTCGATTGTGAAAATAATTACTTTTAATTAGTTTATTATTGGTAACGCTATCACCATATAGCTACAAATAAATACTTACAGACGAATTGAGAATCTTCTCCTTTTAAAGTAGCTTAAAATACTATAGATAATAATGTTTACAAGGAGCTTATTGTTTGAGAAACATATTTATTTATTTAAAATTCAATGCACAGTTATTTAAAATAAAGTAAGTGTACATATGGTGGATTTAACACCTAATGGATTACTCCACCAGTTAGCCATGAGGCAAACAGAAAATTCAGTAGGCGGTGCATATCTCTAACAAAAATTCTATCAAAAGATAAAAGAAATTAATAACACAAAAAGTCATGAACCATATAATATAAAGACAAATATAGAAATATAATTCTGTGTTAAAATTACTGTAAAACATCTGTAATTTGTTAGATAACTGATGTTGGCATGATATAAGTAAATTATAAATTTGATCTTCAGGATGCGAGAAGAAAAGATCCTGATTAGCCGCGATGGGCCTGACAGTAATGTGCTGAAGTTTAAACCACCAATGGTGTTTACTACCCAAGATGCTGACCGTCTTGTCGATACATTGGACAGAGTGCTGGCTGAATTGGATGGCAATAGAGCGCCTGTTACGAATCTTAAACTCGAGGTAAGCAAAAATTGTGTTGTAGTGGAAGCAGTTTGGTATGCACTGTCTGACAGCAACTAGTATGTCAAGATTGAATCCTCATTCAAAACGGATTTTTTTTTCTAAAAATCGTTTTTTTAATAATAATAGATACGGTTAAACATATGACATGGTGCCATCTAGTGTAAAATTAAGTAAAGTTAGTACTGTGAATAAATACCCACAATATATTAAATAATTAATAAAACACTTTTTTTTTTAAATATGTAGATACTTATCATATATTGGCAACATTTAGACCAATACAAACAGACATAATCATCAATAGAATTATTTGTATTATGCGGGGACTGAATTCGCGACTATCGTGAGATTTTTTATGCAACTTACAATGGCAAATAAGCTGTTGCCCTACTTGATGGAAAGTGGTAACCGTCTGTAAACAAGAATAACACCATGGACATAACAGAGCATACTGTTTCGTCCATGATACCCCTCTTACGTTACATTCCTGGGGACTAGGGTGTTATGTCTTTGTGCCTTGTAAGTTACTGCCATGTCCCATTATCCAGACCAAAACACAGTCTTGCAAATACAATTGCTTCACGGCAGAAACACAAATGGGACAGACTTATTGTAGGTAGATACTGTAACACTTATAAACACATTAATTTCTTTATAAAAGTAAACAAGTGCGCAAAAATATGTTTTGTATTTTCAATTATATTTACATACCTACAAAAATAAATTCTTGAAGACATAATAAATGAGAAGTTACATACACACATTATTAACATTACAACCATGTCAAAGTTGATATTTAGATGTTTCATAAAGAGCTGAAAATGTATACAACTGCCTAAGTGACTTACGTTAGAGGCTTTTCGATAATTTAGGAAAGTATGGATATTATATTTAATATATGAACAAAGTTAGTAACAAAACACCGCGCTTTTTTATCATTTGGTGGTAGAAGTTGTTTGTATAATTGTTTTCGATATATTGTTTTTCATTGTATAATTTGTTTTTATAATTATTTTCAGGTATTAGTCACGCCTATCAGCAAAGATATGACACAGAGTGATGCAATCGTAAATAAAAATATACAGAGCATCAAGAGTTCATGACTTTACCACACCCAATAAGTATTATCAACACTGTAAATATAGATGTATATATTTTTGTAAATATTGCTCTAATATTAAGATTAAAATATATGTTTAGAATAAAATTCAATACAAATATATTAATAATATATTAAAAACAAAATATGACAATATTTAGTTTATTTTATTGAAATAAATAATTGTTATGTGAAATGTATTGATTATACTTGTAGCTTTTAATAAACTATTGATTTCTGTTAGCATTTTTAGGCTATTTCCTTACTTGATTAAAGTAACGAAATTACGTTAAATGTAAACTTAGTTAAATGCTAATGAACTGTGGTACTTTATTTACAGACTGTACTAACTATTTTGTCTATGGAAGTATATAGAAATTCATAAAAAAATATATTACACTTTAACATTGTATGTAACTAACATCACCTGTTTTTGAGATTAAAAAAACAAAAGTTCCTTTTAATCAATTTATTATTTATTTGTGATAGCAAGTACAAACTTATCTAATACTTATAAGATTTAAGGTTAATTAAGCACAATTAATTGTCAATGTTTTATCAAATGTTCACATTTTATATGTAAACAATTCATTTATAAAATTAAAAACTAATAACCAATTTTCAAATGGTATTATTTTTTGTCAGTAAAACACACAAAAGTCTAGAGATTAAAAAGTGAAAGTTGGTTTTTATTTGTACAATTTTATTATAAAAAAATCAACTAATTAGAACTTACTTACTTGCAAGTACTAATGAATTGTTGTCTTAAAAGATAATAAATTTATGACAATTCATCTGGTACATACGTAAAAAGCAATAAAAAAAAACAAGTAAAAATATTGGTTTTAATAACATTAGTTAGGACTTCTGCTTTAAAAAAATTGTTGCATTAAGGGTCCCTCATAAAGCATTTAGGGATAGGTGATTTATTACGTTTACGTTTTTTGGCCAATTGAGTATTTTTATACTGTTTAGATGCGGGACAATAAGAACACTTGTGATAGTTAGCAGTGTGGGGCCCATTACAATTTGCACATTTTGGAGGCTCTACTTTTGCGTCTCTTGTACACTTATTGGACATATGATTACCAGCACATTTCACACATTTAATTATTCCTTGGCAATAACGCTGAGTGTGACCCCATTTTTGGCAACGATGGCACTGTTTTGGCTTATGAAATGGAGGTTCTATAGTCACATCATGGTGTGATACCTTTTTTAATTTTAACAACTTAAGCCCTGCTAAACCGTAAGGCACGACAGCTAAAACCAATGTAGGGAATTTCTTTTTAGGATCCTTCACAACTTTGGTACGCATTTTGTGAATTCTTATGATAGGGATCGAATGAGACTTTAAGGCTTCTTTTAACTCATTTAAGTCAATATCGTCAGGGAGACCTCTTATGATTACTTTCATTTTCTTCTTATCCGGATAGCCATATGTGTGGAAAGGTACATCCATGCCTTGTAAGTATTGTACTAAGAAACCATGGTCCTCGAATGAACCACATATTAATTTGGTGAAGTTGCGTCCTGGAGATGGATGGTAAAGCTTGATACCTATTTTTATAATTTCACGAGCATGATCTTCAAAATTCACAGGATTGTGTACGAAGATTGCCTGTACATATGACTTAAGTTTCGGAAACCGAATTAAAAAGTCCGGTTTTATATCATTAGCAAAAATCAATTTATACGACTGTACCTCTTTGCTTGTGCTTGCTGATGGTTGTTGTGTTTCTTCAGTTGCTGCTGGTGTAATTTGGCACTTTTTAATAGCTTCAGTAAGTTTTTCCACTTTCTTTCTCTGTTGTTTTGGTGGCATTTTATCTGAGTACAAATTTTTTCTAGATCATTAATTTTTATCTAGATGTGAGTACTGTACGTGATTTTATAGGTGTGTAGTTACACTTAATTAATTCTCATCTCTCCTGCCTAATACTAAAAACAGTTATAGGCAGGTATGTTGTTAAATTAATTTATTAAATATGCCCACTTACAAACAAAGACAGCTACAGCGATTAGGGTTTATGTTTCTACCGTCGGGTATAAGCGGTTTTTTTTAGTAGGATAGTAGGTAGATGGTGAGGATGATATGTTTTTTTTCTTATTTTTAATAATGGCAATTCATTAATTCTTTATTGGAGGACCGTATATAACCGTATATGACCGTAATATTATTAGGAAATTTTTGGCAGTGTCAATTTTAGATATTTCCCATTTTAGTTATTTATTTTAATGCATTTATGTACATAATATTACGGAATTACTATTCATATTCAAATTAATATAAATGGTAATTCCGTCTACGTTATTGGCTATTGCCATACTATGGCTGGCGAGATATATGTATATACGAGGTTTGTCCGGAAAGTACGTATAAAAGTTTCTTAAAAATTTTATTTTACAATTATTCAGGTAAATCAATTTTATCCCCTTCAAAGTACTAACATAATGCACTTGTGCCAACGCCGTTTCCACTGTGAAAAGGCTCCTTGAAAGTAGGTTTCTCATGCCCCGTCGTATTTTTTTATCTCATTTATGTCCCCCAAATGCCGCCCCCGAAGTTTTGGTTTTTGGGAACAAGAAGAAGTCACACGGGGCCAAATCCGGCGAATAGGGGGGTGTTCGGTCATAATGGAATTTTTACTCAAAAACTCACGGACAACAAGAGAGGTGTGGGCAGGGGCATTGTCGTGGTGAAGAATCCAATGCCCCTCTCGCGCCAATTCTGACGAACTCGTGCCACACGAGCTTTGAGGCGTCTGAGCACATCGACGTAGAATTTTCCATCAACTGTCTGGCCTGGAGGGATTCGTCGGAATAAGTGGAAGGACGTAACGTGGGTCATCTTGAACGCTTTCTCGGCCCTCTCTGAATCTTTTTAGCCACTTGTGGACGGTTGGTTCCTTCAATATCCCCATAAACTGTTCTGAGATCGGCAAAAATTTCACGGCCATTCTTGCCGAGTTTCGAGAGAAACTTGATTACGACGCGCTGCTCTTCAACGGAAGCGGGCTCCATGCCGACGGGGTTTCGTTAAGAGGTAACCATGGCGTGACAAGCCAGTTCGCACCGCACGGCGGTCAGACCAGAACTGAACATTGTTAGGGACATAAGGAAGGGGTCCTGCGCTTACCTGGCCTCCCCACTCCTCTTTCTCGCATTCCAGAACACTTTTATACGAACTTTCCGGACAGACCTCGTACTGTCAAAAGATAATATACACTGGTTGTGCCTGCAACTTTGTCCATGTGAACTAGATAAGAAAGCACTTTGCATATCTTTTTCAAGCTGAATACTACGTGCTAGGATTATATATATGTATCATGATTGGTTAAATTCTTGAGGCGCCAAGTAGTGATAAATATAAAAATATAAAAAACTAAACTGATATTGCCAGGTCATTGCGAGAGATACGATGTGCAATGTGGTCTACATTGCACATCGTATATTATTAGTCTAGAATGACCACACACTTTTAGGTAGTTAGTTATTAAAATAAGTTTAGTAATCGGTTACAAATGTATACAAATGGATTACATTTCTTTTCCGACATTTTATTATAAAAATACCTATAAGGTATCTATGTTGGTATCTATAAAAGAGTCTAAAAAATCTGGTTGGAGGTTATTTTATTTAATAATAGTTTCGTTCTTATATTATCCGACACAAACTGTACAATACTTTTTTTTCTATATTTAATTTTTACAAAAACGGTGTCTTAAGATATAAAATATAGATGCGCAGCCGGTCGTAGCACGTGCGCAAGTTTGCCGCCGGCCTTTATTCAATGTTGTCTAATATAACCCCAAAAAATAATATGTTTATACAATGAGTTTTGAGTCATTACAAAAACAAATAAATACTCATATTAATAAAATTAAATTTTCTAATATTATTAGACATACATACTCATATTTTTAAACTCTTTTTGGAAAATAAAAAAAAAACTTGTCTGGCGTACCACTAGTGCCAGGTTAACACGTTGAGCGCCACGCGTATTTCTACAGCAATCCCGTTCAAGCCACGTGCGCCGCTTCGAAGCGCTGGTACTGCAGGAGCTGGTGTTTCCTATCGTAGTAGAAGGTAGTTTACGTTTGGAACGTGATTCCTATAGGCATTCATTGAACACGTTACGCACCAAGTCTGTTTTGTTTTCTTTATCGTTTGACCTGCTAGACAAGATTTTATCGAAATGTATCCGTAACCGGTGTTCCCTTTGTAAATTTTAAATAAATTTAATTTAATTTAATTAAAGTAAATTTTAAATAAATTTTCTGTAATTCCGTAAAATAGTGTAAAATTTTATAGTTCTCATGTTACACGCTGTCAGACACCGATGGCTGACGCGGCCTAAACGGAAAGTTTAGTGTCAGCCACCGATGGCTGACATGGCGCTCAACGTGTTAATAGGCATTAATGAACGAGGAGGTTACACGGGAAGAAGGAAATAGCTAATTTGATAAGTGTTAGTATCTTATGTTATATAAACAAAAACGTGATCGGCATGGTTTAGCTATGTATGGATCACAATAATGCTTATTAGTTGACAATAGTTGTTTTTTTTTATATTTTGACTATACAACTACACAATAGTTTTTTTTTTCTATCTAATTATAACAGGAACGTTGGCGTGTCTCTTTAACTTTTTTTATAACGTCTCAAGATATAGACTCGCAGCCGGCCGCAGCACGTGCGCAAACTTGCCACCGGCCGTTACATCAATCTTGTCAACCTTTGTGTCTTATGCAACTTTTTTGGTGTCTTTCTATTTTAAAAAAATTGTCTTTACCATTTGGTAATAAAGTTCAAAGTTGTTTGACAGTTTATAGTGCTTGCGCTCCTTTAAGTTAATACGAATCGGTACCTTCTGTAGACAATGAAGGTATTCACTGTCTGGACAATGCGAGGAGGTCCCGGTTTTGCACCGATTAGTCGGATTTATTTAACGGTCTCGATCTCGAGGAAGACATTGCAGACACCGAGACATTCGAGATTGGGGGATATGTAACGGACGAAGGGATAGGTTGTAAAAAAGACACCTATTGTGTAGTGATAACGGTTATTTGTACAGTTACATTACAGTTTTAAAAATGTTTATAACCATTTGTTTTTGTAGGTACAAGATTTTACAACAATGTGCATAGATTGTAAATATATTTTTTTTTTATTTTTACGCTGCATTTATTAATGACGACGTTCGTTACGTAGCAGGTGGGAAAATGTGTTGTTTTGCGTGAAAAAAGATTCCGGATTCGATTCCTGGTCCGGCTAATTTAGGAAACGAAGTTTTTTCAATTGGCTCAAGTCTGAGTGTTCTGGGACCTAGAACATCTGGAGGCACAACCCAGAATGTAGAAGGGGAAAGGGATTGTTAGTAATTAGGTATGACATCGCCATTGCTAGCAATATACCCTATCAGGGCGACCCCCATGAGGTTCCCCCTGGAAACTACCGTGATTAATTCTTCCATTAGTCCCGATGGGCTAACTGATCTGTTTTCATTCTCACCTGTCATCCCTTATTGGTGCCCCGCCAGCGTATACCGATAGTGCTGACGGGGTACCATTCAGTCATCACCCATTAAAAAAAACAGAATCTGGGGGAGGGAAGGG